TCACTCCTGCTGGGTGTGGCTCCTCTGGACTCTGTCTGCCCAGCTTTCACATGAGGTGTGTTCAGTTGGCAGTATAGCCTCGTACAGTTGCCCCACTTGCAAAAGGGGCTCTGCACCCAGTGCCTGCCAGCACACCTCAAGCTTAATGCTGAGTGGCTCCGTTCCCTGTGCCCCCAGGCCCACCGCCCCCATTGTCTCATTCAGTGATCACAAACACCCCACAGGAGAAGAACTGTTCACCAACGTGTGACAGGTGTGTTCTGGGCTTCCCCAGCCCACTTGCTGCTCCTCCAAACACCTTGATCTCTTTTTTGTCTTCGGTTGCACATACCCCAGGAAGCAATGACTGGCTTCCTCTACTTGTCTGAGCTGTTGCACCTGTTCTCAGCTCTGTGCCCTGTCTTCCAGGGCACACGAGGCTCTGCCTGGCTGCTGTCATACCCACCGCAGGACTGAGTGCCAGCTTGAGGCAGACAGTGGGCCGGCAGCAGCTCTCATGTCACTGGTTTCTTACCTGTCTTGGGGATCGCTGTCTTATGTTGCATGGTGTCCACTGCTTGGCTGGCTGAGGATTTGCTTTGCATATCTCGGGAAGAACTTCCAGTCTCAGCCCTGGGCCTGCACCCTTGCTGGGAGCTTGCCCTGTGCAGATCTTCCTTTTTGTAAGATTTACTTACTTTTATTGGAAAGGCAGATTTACAGAAAAGGAGAGACAAAAGTCTTCCATCTGCTGGTTCACTCTCCAAGTGGGCACAGTGGCCAGATCTAAGAGTATCTGAAGCCAGGAGCCTCTTGTGGGTCTCCCATAAGGCCACAGGGTCCCGAGGCTTTCGGCTATCCCCCATTGCTTTCCCAGGCCAAAAACAGAGAGCTAGAATCGAAGTGGAGCAGCCAGGAACATGAACCGGCACTCATATGGGATTCCAGCACTTGAAAGGGGAGGATTAGCCAATTGAGCCAGTGTGATCCTGGCACATTTCTTAGCAGCAAAGAAAGCATCAGCTGGGATAAGCTGATGAAAGCCATCGCAGTGAGCCTCGTGCTGTCTCTGCTTGCCCCCACCAGTGTGCTCTTCTCCACAGGCACCCAAAGTGCTTCCTGCAAAAGGCAGACGAAGCCCTGCAGAGCTGTGACAGAGCGGCAGGTCAGCACTGCCTTTGTGTCACATTCCAGAAGCTTGGCTGGGAGCAGAAGGCAGAGGGTGACGGGGAGGCAGAGGGTGACGGGGAGGCAGAGGGTGACAGGTGCCTCATTCCTCGGACTTCACACTCTGACTCAGTCTTCCCCATCGGACCACCTGCCTCCCATAAGACACCACCGTCACCCCAAACCACCTTAGCACCTGTAGAGCAACCTTCACTTGCACCTGAGTTCTCTCTCTCATCTCTGGCTCCTGCAGCTAAATGGTCAAGGTCTTAGTCAGCTTTGTAATGAGCCGTGGGACAGCTGGTGCCATCTGTGTCTAATTCATCTTTGGATTCCCAGCTCCTAACACATCACTGGGCCCCAAGGATGCTCAGTGTATCCTTGAGGGATGGATGAATGAATGAGCAGGTGAGCAGGTGAGTGCTGTCTCAGCCATGGACCGGCAGTCTGCCCACATTAGAAGCTGCCTTGCTACTGTGAAAGAGGCCCTGGCCGTGCGGGACTGGGAGGGGGCGGGGGGGACAGGAGAGAGATGCAGCGAACAGAGTTGGCCTGCTTCTGCATTCTGAGCACCAGTCTCTCTTCTCTTATCTGAACTGGCACCCTCCAGCTCCCACACTCACCTGCTGACCCAAGCCAACCCGGTAAATGAAGACTCACTCTCAGAACTCAGCAGCTGGTATGGGGAGCAAAACTCGATGTAGATTCCACCTCTCGTTTCACCTGTCTTGCACTTTTGCCTTGGGTATTTTTTTAAAAAGATTTATTTATTTATTTATTTATTTATTTATTTATTTTATTGCAAAGTCAGATATATATAGAGAGGAGAGACAGAGAGGAAAATCTCTGATGGTTCACTCCCCAAGTGAGCACAACGGTCAGAGCTGAATTGATATGGAGCCAGGAGCCAGGAGCTCTTCTGGGTCTCCCACATAGGTGCAGAGTCCCAAAGGCTTTCCCAGGCCACAGGCAGGGAGATGGCTGGGAAGCAGGGCCGCCGGGATTAGAACCGATGCCCACATGGGATCCTGGCACATTCAAGGTGAGGACTTTAGCCTCTAGGCCACCACACTGGGCCCTTGGGCACCTGCTGGCATGGGGTGATCAACGCCCTGCTGACTACTGGGTGTGGGGCCCCAGGCAGAAAGAAAAGCAGCTCACAACTCTCCATGTCCATCTTGTCTGAGAAGTCATTAGAAGACAAAATCCCACCTCATTAACAGAGCAGAGGTAGCTGGGAAGTAAGTGCCAACATCACAGTGAGGTTTGCTAGCCTTCGAGCTGTTGGGCTTTCTCAACAGAAGCCCTCTTACATTGTGGAGGCTGTCCATTTCATTGTCATGAACATCCGTGACTGCTGGACGCACTCCTTGTGGCAACCAAAGACAGCCCTTGCCCCCGACCCTTATCACCAAGTGGTTTCAGCAGCAGCCCCCGCTTGAGGTCACACATGGGTGGCGACATGCCAGAAGCTCAGCTTAGTCACGGAGTCAGTGATGGTCCCTGGGCAGGGATGCTGAAAGCCAAGCCTTTCGGGAAGACAGCCCTGGGCACTCTGTGGCATGAGGATTCTTCTCTCAAGGCACCCCTCCTCCCCGTGCAGCACTGAGCCCCCACTCTTCAGGGACACCCCAGCATGAGAAACTAAAGGGCTTGGTTCTGGTATTCCACCAAAAGCAGTCCTGAGCAAGTTCCTCCCCAGAGAAAATGAGCATGCTGATGACCCTGCTTCTTCTCACAGTCCAGTCTCCTTCCATTCTGAATTCTGCCCCCTGTAGCTTCTTCATGTTTCTAAACACTTGACTCTGCTTTGGCTCGCAGCAGCCAAGTGGCGCCCCGTCGCAGCTGATTCTAGCGTGCAGCGCTGACACTGCCTGGCTTTGAGACGCTCCTCACTGGGGACCTGGCCTTTGATCATCAGTGCTGAGCATCCCCTGGTCCCCTGGGGAGAATCCAATGGCTTCCTGGATCTTCCAGCTACAGCAATCAGGTCCCAAGACAGCAGCCACACCCTTCTCAGTCTCCTTCCTTCTGCATAGAAGAACCACAGCACAAGCACTGGCAGTGCCAAGCGTAGGGAGGAAGACACAGCCTGTGGGAGTGGGCACGCACGAGAGTAGGTACGGCAGCTTGCTTAGCCTCATGCACAGCTGGGCGAGCTCAGCTATGCACCTACAGGGGACTTGCTTCTACTGGAATACTACTTGGCCATAAGAAGGAAGGGCCCTTCCGAATATGCACCAACAAACAAAGAAAAACACACACACTGCCCGATTCCATTTATACAAATGTCAACAGCCAGCAAGCCTGGTTTAAGACTTTAGAAATCAGAATAGCAACCGCCCCTAGGGCAGGTTTTTTTTTTTTAAGGTATGCTTTCCAAGCGCTCACAAACTCTGTCCTCTATTCAATTCAGCTTTCCATTTTTATTTGTTTTCATTTTGTCTGACACAGAGAGATTGATTGTCCATCCCTGCTTTACTCCCCGGATGCTTGAAGCAGCCTGGGCTGGACCAAGCAAAGTCAGGGTCCTGGGACTCCATCCACATCTCTCCCTTGTGGGTGAATGGGACTTGCATTCTTTCTGCACCTGCTGCCTCCCAGGAGGTGCACCTGCCAGAATCTAGATGTGTAACAAAGTAGTCAGAGCTCTAATCAGTTAACATCTGTGCCAAACGCTCACCCCAGCGCACGGTAATGGGGGACAGAGAAGACCCTCCCGGGTGTCAGAAACTCCCTTACAGCAGAGGTGTGGCGTCCACTTCTGTCTGCATGTGTTGGAGCCGATCAGACGAATCAGCAGATGGGCGCATCTCACTGACGTCATAAGCCAGTCCTTGGGTAACACCAAGGAGTTACAATGAAGACGTCCAAGGTTCCCTTTGCAAGACCACCCTGCACTTCTCCCTTGTGCTGGTCCGCGCCTTCCCCCAGAGGCCAGCCATGGAGTGGACACAGAGACCTTTTTGTGTAAATTTACATCTTGAAGACCTGCCCAGAGCTGCTGCTGCTGTCCGTCCAGCGCAGAGCGCCTCCTCCCTCGTTCCCCCTCCCCAGACCTCCCTGCCTTCCTCTCCCTTTCCTTTCACAGCTCTGAGCCCTTTTTCCAGCTGTGTCTAAGGTAGATGCACTGTGGACATGTGGGTTTTTTTCCAGCGGGAAGTGACCAAGCCTTGTCTACACCTGTTTGTTTTGAGTGTATCCAACACCGCATGGGCCAAGACGGGAAGAACAGGATCAACCCCAAGCACTCCATAGTGATGGGAGGGGCCCTAAAACAGCCAGGGTCAGACCCATTGCCAAGGACAGACTTCTCCAAATGTCAGCTGTGCCCGCACAAGCTGGGATGGCTGCAAGTGCCCATCACACATGCAGAATCCAAAAGGGGAGAGGAGAGCTGTCTCTTGCGAGAAATTAGCTTAAGAGCTGAATCCCGCTCCGGCCTCCCTTCCTCTCCTTCCTCCCCCAGCGTCCCCTGTGAGCCCTGCTCCCCACCCCCACCTGCACAGGAACCGGATCTAATGCCTTAACCGAGAGAATGAGATGTTCTGTTATTTTTCATAGGGAATTAGACTTGACCCTGCTGGCCGTTAGCTCATGCCAAGAGACGATGGATGGCCAGGGCCCGGCGCTCAACCCCTGCTCTGAGCACGCCAGGCCTGGCTGGAGGCTCTAGGGGCAGCAGCCTGGCTGGGGGCCAGCCATGACGTCACCTGCTGTGGGTGGGGGTGGGGATGGCGGGGAAAGGCAGACAGGCTTCATGCAGCGATGGATGTCAGTGTCACCGCTAGCGGTCCCACCTGCTGACCGAGCTTGTCCGGGGGTACTGACCCTGCCCCTCCTGTCTCTTTCAGCTCCCAACTCCACCTCGGGCCCTGCTGAGGAGAGCTGGTGGTCGGGGCTGGTGATCGTCATTGCCGTATGCTGTGCCTCGCTGGTGTTCCTGACCGTGCTGGTTATCATTTGCTACAAAGCCATAAAAAGGTGAGTGCCCGTCCCCTGCACCAGCTCTGAGCCTGGGGGGCCGAGCCACCCGCCTCGGGGATCTGTGAATTAGAAGGAGGCTGGATGCTCACCTCCATGCAGTAACAGTTCCCTAGATGTTGCTGTGTTTGCTGCAGCTGTTTCTCCTCTGCTTCTCTTTCTCATTGTTGGAGTAGGCATGACATCCCCACACGTTCAGGAGTTCGGTTTCACCAACATTGGATGAACACCTGTTCTGTGTCAGGCCCAGTACAGTGTAAAACAGAAAAGGAATGACTTCAATTCACCAAAGGGGAGCAGGACTTGTAACAGCAGTGTTTAGTTGTTTAATTCCCTGGGGCCCAAAGTGCACTTGAACTATTTACCTTAGCATGTTTTGAGTTCATTGAAAGACAGACAGAGAGGAACAGTAAGTGTGTGGACACAGTGGTGCCACCTGGGACGGGCCCTGCCTTAGGCACCTGCTCCCCACCCAGACTCCCCACTTCTAGCTCCCCCTGCCCCAACATCATGTTTTTTTTTCAAGGCTCAGTCTCCACTACACAACAGTCTCCAAAAACAGTGACCAGGAATGTGGGCATCACTGTCATAGGGCAATGCCAGGGCTGGGCACAGGGCTCCTCACTGGCCCCCTCTCTCAGTCCCTCGTCCCTGCATCTTTCCCTACTCAGCTCCACTTTGCAGATGGGGAAAGGGGTGAGGGAGCTGCCCAGGCCATGCACTTGGAGCCCAGGACCATAAGATGGCCACGCCCTGGCCCTTCCCGGCTGCCCTTCCTCAGTAGTATAGACATGGATGCCCCTTCGAAGCCAGCAGACAGACATCCTGAAACCCACATGAATGTGTTAGAGTCACATGTAGGGAGGCAACTGGTCTAATTCCCAGTGGTCTGTTGGTACCAGACCAGGAGGGCACAGCCAGGTTAAACCCAGCTATGAATAGCAGGGCCTATGTGAACCCACAGTAGGCACCCAGAGCAGACTTGATGAGTTCTGATAAATCACATAGCACTTGGGCTTAGAGGGAAGAATGCCTGGAGGGAGGGATGCGAGGGCAGGGAGCCCACCAGGGGAAGCCTGTGTCCACAGGCTGAGCACTGGGCCCTGGGAGGATGCTGCTCCAGTAGGGCAGGACCTAAGCTGCCCATCACCACTCCCTCCCCCCGAGACCTCAGTCAGCATGATTCCCCTTATCTCCCTGCCCAACACCGGCGTGTCCCCCGGAAGGGCTTTGTTCCAGTGGACCCTGGGCTTCCCAGGAAGGAAGGCAGGAGAGAGGTGCCTTTCAGTGTGGGCAGGGCCCTCCCCAGGCACCCTTGAGTCCCTCAGCAGAAAGGGTCCAGCTCAGAGGGGACACAAGGCCAGGCCAGGGGAGGAACTGTCACATCGGGACCCAGTGACCTGGAGCCTCACTCGTTCTAGGGACTACCCAGGAGGAGCCGTGGCTGGAACTGCCAGAGATGCAGTGGGGTGCAGCCCCAAAGAAGGTTGGGGGAGCAGACAGGGTAGCAAGGTCTCCTGTGGGACAAGCCCAAGACTCAGGGACAGCAGGGAGGGAGCTGGAGGTACAGGGCAGGGTGCATGAGTGAGATGGTAGCACCCCACACTGTGTCACCCCTGGGGATATGGAGTAAGAGGCTGGAGGCTGCACCCTGGGAATCCACCCCTATTCAGAGAGGGTGTCCGTGCAGCTCGCAAGATGGCAGGTGGAGGCAGCCTAGGCCAACCTGGTGCCTGCCTTGCCAGGGCGCTGAGAGATGCTTCCCCAGCTGCCTGCCTGCATCTCTCTGCAGAGTAAATGGAGCATTTGTACTCATAGCAGGTGGAAAAGGAGCTCCTGTAGGCCAACACTTCATTCTGTGACTCCACAAGACATCCCCAGGAACCCACTCTGGGGGGAGTGGGCCACCAGGAACCCACTCTGGGGGGAGAGGTCACTGAGAGGACGAGGGAGGGGTCACTCAGAAGGCGGGGGGGGGGCATGCAGACTTGGGAGCTGCATAGGTTTCTTAGAAGCAGGTGCATTTGCCAGGTCAGGGGACTGAAGTGAGGTGCTCCCCAAATCGGGGCTAGCTGATGCATTGGTCCCGAAGCTCTCTGCTGGCTTTTACAAACTCTAGAATTTTGGGGGAGCCCACACAGTTTGCATTTTGGTTGCCTCCCTGTCCCGAGCTTGTTCTGAACAAACTTCTTTCTCCAAAGTACTAAAGCCCATGGTGTGTTGTGCCCTCATGTGCCACAACCAGGTGGGCCCTCTCTTCCCAATGCTAGGCCTGACATGCCCGTTCTGGGCTGTGCATGTGTATGTGCATATGTATTTGTGTATATGGGTGTATACGGGTATGTTTGTAGGTGTGTAGGTGTGTGTCTGCAGGGGTGTGTTGGAGAGAGTATGTGTATGTGTTTATCTGCATATGTGTGTGTGCATGGGGTATGTGTATAGGGGTGTATACATGTGAGGTGGTGTGCATGTGCCAGGGTGGGCAGTGGGGTGGGTGAATGCCAGCATTGGGAGAAGCAGATGGCTAATAGCACACCTGCCGAGGACACACAGACCCCCTTCTCCCTGCCCTGAGCAGCTGGGGACAAGTGCCGTCACATCACCATCAGCCACACCCCAAGAGGTGCCCGGTGCTGGCCCTGCCTCTCCAGCCTGCTGTGCCAGCACAGGTTCCTGGTGCCCACAGGCGAGCAGAGGAAGAGGCCACCCTCCCATGGCCAGGACTCCTGGCACAGCCAAGGAAAAGCTCACCAAACTTTCTCTTGGTTTTAGGAACCACAGCATTTAGGGCACCCTCAGGGGGCACGTGGCCCAGCCTGGGGTGGAAGGTCCCTTTGTGGCTGCATAGGATTAGCTCTGGCTGGCTCCAGCAGCTCCGGCGACTTCGAAGCCCACAGGCATGTGTCTGGTAGGAAGTCTGTACAGACTGCAGTTCCCGCTGGTACCTGCCAACACTTACAGGGCACCTGCCATGTGCCAGCTCCTTGACTAAGCGCTTAACCCACATTAACATGTCTCATCCTCCCAGCTAGCCTATGGAGTGGACACCAGCACCGTGCCCATTTTATAGACAGGGAAACTGAAGCTTGCTCAAGGTCGCATAGCCAGAAAGTGGCAGAACGCAGGGTCGCTGAGCCACGACCTCTGGCCTGGGCAGTGTCACTGTGGAGGCAGCGCTTGTGAGGGGACGAGGTCGGGAGCAGAGGACACAGGAACTGGGCCACAGCTTCCATCATCTGCTAGACCCACCAACTGGAAAGTGGCAGAGAACATCCAAGTAAGTGGGCCGCTCAGATCCCACTGCTCCCAGACACGGCCCGGGAGATGAGATGGGCCTTTTGGAGGGCGCCATCCAATTTCCAGGCTGCTCTCTGCAGAACTTGAGAGCCTGGTTTTAGGAATGGCCTGTGAAGGGATACTGCTTTGCCAGGGAGATGTCTGGACTAGGACGCTGTAGCACTGGGTGCCAGCCCAGGACTCACCCTGAACACCTCCTGGTGGTCCTTGGGCAAGTCAGAGCTTCCTTAAGCCTCAGTCCCCTCACGTCAGACCTGGCTGCCTCCAGGGACTGCCAGGAGAGGGGCCCAGGGTGTCTCCACCATGGAGACCGGAGGCAAAGCAAGGATTTGCACATTGCACCTCTAGCAGGTATCAGGGTGGTGGGCGTGGCTAGAGTGAATGCCCTGAGGCATTTGTGCACCGAGTCAAGAGAAGAATTAGGGGTTGGATCTTGGTGTTGTGATCTCGGCAGGCCAGGTCCAGTCCTGACTCCACCCATAATCCTTCCCTGCCCTGCCCCTCCTCCCCTGAACTGATGCAGACAGGCTCTGGCCAACAGGCAGCAAGCACATGGTGATGGAGCAGCAGCTCTTCTCAGGCCTGTCCCCTCCTAACCTCTCCTGGGTCCTGGCTTTCCTGGTTACTACGCTGGTTATTTCCCTGGCTACCCAGGATAAGATCAGACCCAGCTTCCAACCGGCTCAGTGGCACACATCCTGCGTGGACTTCCTTCTGGAGCTCATAGACTGTGAGAGGCAGCTGGGAGGTTGCGCCCTGGCACCGCTCTCTAACGCGGTGCCTGCCCCCTCCCCCTTGCCCTCCCTGCTCCCTGCACCCCTTCCAGGAAACCACTGAGGAAAGACGAGAATGGCACCAGCACCGCTGAGTACCCCATGAGCGCCTCACGCAGCAGCAAAGCGGTGGACGTGAACAACGCTGTGGTGTGAGTCTGCAGCCCCCACCCCTACTGGCCAGGGGAACGGCGTCATGGCAGCAGCAGCGGACAGGGGCAAGCAGGTGGACACGAGCTGACCCCTGGGTTTATCGTGGACTTCATCAGAGGAGCCGTCCTCTTCCCAGGCTCGCCCTGGCCACTTGTGGGCCAGGGGCAGCCCCACACCAGGCTGAGCCCGGCTCCCCCGCATGCAGCCCTGCAGCCACAGAAGCCCCCCAGATGTTCCCCTTGTCTGTGTCTGATCCACTTCTGCCTCCCACCCCAAGCTGCTGTCTAAAGCTCGCTCTGACAAACGCAGGAAGTCTGGCTGCTGGAGAGGGGTGGCATCCCCCGTTGGCCAAAAGGAAGCCAGTTTCCAGGGGCCCACTCCCCTGCCTGAAAACCTCTCCCCCTCCAGGAAGCCCACCTGTTGATGTTCCCAACAAAGCCATTGGCCACAAGACAGACCTCCCTTTCAAAGGTGCTTGCCAAACACCCACCCTATGCCCCTTTCCCATCTGACATCCTTTGAGCTGCAGGACCCGCCTCCTTCCTCCCCTCCCCACCTGCATCTCAGGCCCTGGACTCCCAACCACCTGCCATAGCGGGCTGTGAGCCCCGCCTGCAAAGCCCCCTCCTGAGGAGCAGACAGAACCGTGGGCCACGGGTGGGCATCTGGCAGGGGCAGAGTCCAAGGTCCCACACCTGTTCTGCCCCCTTCCTGCCCTGACACCATGGAAACCTGTCCGTCCATTGCGAGCCAGGCCCTGGAGGCCACCACTTGTGCCAACCCCCCGGGACTGTCTGTGCCAGGCCCTGCCGGCCCCGGAGCTGAGTCCCCATTCCCCCTCACCTGGGGGCAGGTGAGGCGCTTCCCAAGTCACCCCAGAGCTGGCTGGAAAGGCAGAGAGGACAGGGCATGGGAGCCCTCAGGCCTGAGGCCGTCCTGCCAGTTTCCCAGGGTCTCCCTGGTCTGGGATCGGGATCATCTGACTTGGGAGAGAACCAGACAAGTTAAATGACTGCACTTGGTGCCCTGTGGGCACTTGGCTCGGTGGACCCCACTGGCCTCCTAAACCACCTGCCAGCTTCTCTGGGCGGGGGAGGGGGAAGACTGCAGGAGAGATTTGGCACAGTCCAGGTAAGACCCAGGCAGGTAAAGCAGCAATGCCACAGCTGGTCCTGCTGTCTCTGTGCGCCTTGTCGTGAGGCTGAAGACAGGCTGGCTGCACTTCCTCTAAGGAGGGTTTCTTTCTGTTTCTTCCTCCGTTTGAGGACTTCCTTGGGGTTAAATCCCAAGTTTCACGTTCCCGGCCCCTCACCCTGGTGAGTGCTTGGCAGGTGCTGTCAGGGCAGGGGGGAGGGTCTCGCATACCCACCCCAGAGTGCCTCCTGGTGCCTGTGAGCCCCCCTGCTATACCTGGACAGGACTCTGCCCCTAAACACATCCCACCCTGGGCTTCACCAATGAGAAAACGCAGCTGCCTGGGGCTGGCTAGGGCTCAGGGGTCATCAGAGTGCATCTTCCACTGGAATGGAGGCTCCTGGGGGAAGGACGCCCCGGGGGTGTAGGGGTCTACCATCCACCTTGGGTCCCTGCCCTGCTCTGGGTCCCAGGCATCTCTCGCCCTGGTGTGAATTCTAGGAGGCCCACACATTGCCCTTGGCCTCAGCGCCCAGCCCAGGAGAGAAACCTCAGTGATGCCATGCATTAAGCTTGGGAGGCACAGGATGCTCCAATTTGCACATAAGCTGTGCCTCGTCTGGGCTTATCAACTCCCTCCCCGCCCGTAAGGGAAGCAAGGGAAGAGCCTGGTGTTAGAAAGGCCCTCTCCCCACCACACACACCTACAAGCCGAGGACCAGCCAGAGGGTAGCTCATCTCCCGGCCCAGCGCAGAGTCCTCACCAGGCATTTAGCTTCTGAGACTGAGGCGAACACAAAGCTACATCAGGCCTCGTATGTGAGCTTAGGACTTTGAAGATAAAGCTGCAGCCCCTAAGCACGGATCCAAGTCCCCGTCTTGTTCAAGGCCAAGAATGACACGTGCACTCCCTGCCTCTCGGCTTTCTCCCATAGATGTCCTAGCGTCTCAGAGCTGCACCTGCCCTTGGAGCTCAGTGGCCAGTGGGCGTTCGGGTTGTTCTTGGGAAGAAAGACAACTAGGTGTTAAAAAAACATAAACATATATTCTATAGAGCTATATATATTTAAAGAGATATTCATATCTACAAAATTCCTGTGCTCCCTGCAATCTGTACAAAGCAGGCTTCGGCAGCGTGGGGGTGTGAGACGCCGTGCGGGGGTGTGAGTGCCCCCACGCTTCACCAGCCTGGGGGTGTGAGACGCCGTGTGGGGTGTGAGCGTCCCAAGCACTGCCTTCTGGGCGCTGCCTCAAGGGACATAGCCGGTCAACACTGTCTTGTCCACCCATGAGCCCCTCATGTTGGCTTCATACAGAAGCAGGACTGGTGGCAGAGCAGGGAAGGGGAGTGTGTACTGTTGCTATTACTTACAAGGAAGAAAGCATTGTGACTTTTTTTTTTCAATAAAAATATCCTTATAAGATGGCTGTCGTGTGTGGCCGTGTGTGCTTGGCACTGGGCCCCGGGTGTGAGGTGGGCAGGGGAGGGAAAGGCAAGAGAGGGTGGGGCCTCACTTCCTGCTCTGGGGCTCAGCTGCTGTCGGCCAGGGGCGAGACCACGGGACGCACTGGGGTACACTGCAGTGGGTGTACCGCCCTGGGGTACAGCACCGTGAAAGTTGGTCCCTTGAGGCTGAGGGCACTGTAGCACAGAACCCCAGTGCTCGCTCAAGCTCCATCTCTAGGCACATGCACCCAACCCTTCCCTCCCTCTTCCAGACTGCTTTTGGAAATCATTTGGTAACTCCCTTGCCACACACCCAGTGCCTATCTTCCTCCCTGGGGACCAGGTGCCTCTGTCTGCCCTTTACTTAGGGGGTCCAGCTGGAGAACCACCCCCCACCCCATTCTTCTCTGCTGGAGGAACACCAGTCCGCTCCCCACCCTCACCAGGTTGTCCTGCGCTTCCTGACTTCAGATCCTCCATCATTTGTCATGCAGACATCCAGGCACCCTCCAAATATGTATGGGAAGTCTGTTAACTGCCACCTCAACTTCACCCACCGCTAGTCCCAGCTGGAATCCTCAAGGGTTCTCAGCCTCTGGAGCCTGGTGGAGCCTGCCTTGGTCCTGCAGTCTGGCCCCTAGTCCACCTCCATTCGCCCTATCCAGCCCACATCTATCCCTGCTCTCTGCTGCCCAGGTGTCTCAGCACTCATTGCCTGGTCACTCAGGATATCCCTAGCACTCCTTGGTCTGGCTGCCCTGGGCCCTGCTGACCAACTCCCTTGACACAGCTGGTGGCTAGCTGCCAGCCTTTCCGCCCCTGTGCTGTGCTGGTTACCCGGCTCTCTGTTTTTGCGTGGCTATATCTTTGGAGACAGACAAGTCCAGCTCCGTTTCCAAAGCTGCCTCCCACCTGAGCCCACTCGAGTGCACATCCACACTTAGAGCTGGAGGGAACGGCCGGCCACCTTTTGGGGCCAGCACCCATGGCCTGAGGCGTGGCCCCTGTGTCTGTCCCATCTCCTCTGAAACTGTGGGTCCCTCCACAGCTTCAGCTGACTCACTCTAGGTGTGGACCAAGGATGCACACTGGGTCCCAGGGGGGACACACAGGGCCCTGCTTCCCAGGAGCAAGGTGGCAGTAGACTGGCCATGTGCACAGAGAAGCCAATGCCAGTGTGCACACGAAGGGGCATCAGTGCCAGCTTCCCGGAGCTGCTTCTCTCTTCTTGGCCCAGGAGGCACCAAGGTCACCCCACTTTCCAGACAGAAAGAATGAGGTTCAGGGGCTTAGTGAGGGCCCAAAAAAAGCAGCCCGTGGCAGAGCTGCCGTTCAGACCTGGCTGTCTGAAGCTGACAGCCCCTCGGGTTTCACATGCAGCATCCCAGCTGGACATGTACCTGCTGGACACTGGAAGTCCCCTTGCGGGGAGGAGAAGGGAGGAACTACCACTCCTGGTCTCAGCAGTCCTCTCACCCTAAGGATGTTCAACCTGTGTCTCCCTGGGCAGAAGTTTTTGGTGTCTGATGTGGGGGAGCTGGTCCCAGACCCCAGTGGGGTCTTCAGGGTTTCCACACCTCCCTGATGCAAGGTGCTGGCCTGGACTACCTTCTGGTAATGGTGGGCTGATTTCACACTGAGGGCCAATGGACCACCTGCAGCTGTCAGAGCTGTAGCCACCATCTATCTCATCATCTTGGCAGGTGGGCAGCAGCCCCCAGCATGTTGCAGTCAAGCGAGGGGTTGTGACCACCGCCCCCAAAGGTGGGGGCTACCTGGTACATTTCCAGCTGGACATTTTCCTCTGGCGACCACCTCCCAAGAGGGAGCTGAAGCCACGCCCACCTGGCCCTGGACCCCGCCCTGTTTGCCGCCCCGTTGTTCTTTGGTTACCATTCCATCAGGGGCATAAGAGATGTGGGCTCTGATCAGAACATTCCCTGTGCGCTAACCTCGTCCTTGTCCTATGCTGTCCATGGAACCAGGCCCGGACACGCTGGCTGCCGAAGAATAAAAAGGAGCTGTGTGGAGTTTTCCCCACCAGGTTGCCCTGGCGCCCAGGCCACTGCTCACGGGCACCATCTGCAGGACGAGCCCCCAGCCACACATTCACAGGCACCCAGGCGGGGGAGCACAGTCACTCCCGGGCCTCGCAGTGTGCGAACGCCACGGTGGTAGCAAGCTGTGATTTCGTTTCAGCAAAACACCAGCTGCCACCCGGCGTGGAAGCAAGGCGCTCACACGGAGCCAGGCGTAGGGGGAATTGGGAAGGCCCGGGAGGGCATAGCGCTGGCTTACTTGGGACTGCCTGTCTTCTGGTGCTAAGCCCCTAACCCACTGACAGCGCTTGGGAACACTGACTACAGACAGGAATCCTCCACTTCACAGTCGATAAAACCTGGACTGAGCCAGAGGGAGGCAGAGAACCGGTTGTGCGAAAGATCCGTGCTTAGTCAGAACTGTGTCGGCGGGCTGTGTCTTCTCTCTGCCACCCAAGGGACACCCCTTGCTGCCTGCACGCCCTCCAACCTGTCTCCGTTCCCCACCCCACCCCCAATGCTGCCCACATGCAAGGCAGCCCCACTCAACCTGTCTCCATTCCCCACCCCACCCCCAACGCTGCCCACATGCAAGGCAGCCTGACCGACCTCACCTGGAGAGGCTTCTGACCTTCATGCTTGATTGCTTGCTGGATCCTTGTCCACGTGGCCACTTCAAGGAGCGGAAATCAGGGCCTGGGCCAAGCAGCCCCGAGAAGCCACCTTCTCCACCGGCCTGCATGATCACCGAACCAGCTCTGCTCTGAGGCAACAGCACCCACACTATGCGTGATGCTGGGCAGAGATGGTGCCACCAGCTCACCTCTGCCCTCCACCTGGCTTGGGCTTCCAACCAGAAAGGGGATGGCTGGGCAGAGTAGCAGGGTACAGGGGTGAGGGCAGGGACAGAAGGCCAATAGGGGGCTGAGAGTCTGGCCTGAGGTCCTGCCTGGCTTTTGGCTTAGAGACTGGGGAAGGTGGGTACATCCCATCCTCTCCTGGGCCCACTGAGGGTAGCAAAATCACAGGCCCTGGGCCGGGTAGCTGCATGCTGCAAGCCGAGCAGGCCTCGTCCCTACCAAAGGCCCCACTGGCTTCTCATCAACAGTTGCTGGGTGGGCCAGTGGTGGGAACCCAGCAGTCAGGAACCAGATGGTCCCCGGAGGAGCCCAAATCAAAAGTATTTAGGAATGCCAAATATCGGATAATAGGTCTATGGGGATGCCAGCCTCAGGGATGGTCACTTAGCTTGCTGGTCCAATAAGCAGCAGGGGGCGCTCCCTAGGAGCTCTGGAGTAGACAGAACCTGCACCCCAGAGCCACACCCAGATTCTCTCTGACTCTTGCAAACATCACTTCTGTCAGCTTTCTCATCACTAATGTGCTACTGATAATCAAGCACCTACTTGACACCACTGCTGTGAGTGGAAGTGACATCAGCACACTCCAAGCTCTCACAGGAGGAGCTGTGATTAGAATGAGAGCGCACTGGGGCCGGCAGGATGGCTCAATGGACTAAGCCTCTACCTGTGGCACCAGCATCCCATGTGGGTGCTGGTTCGTGTCCTGGCTGCTCTCTGCTTATGACCTGAGAAAACAGTGGAGAATGGACCAAGTCTTTGGGCCTCTGCACCTGATGGGAGACCAGGAGGAAGTTCCTGGCTCCTGGTTTTGTGCTCAGCTCCAGCTGTTGCAGCCATTTAGGAGCGAACCAGTGGATTGAAGATCTTTCTCTCACGCTCTCTCCTTCTCTCTGTAAATCTTTCAAAAAATTTAAATAAAAGTGTTACTGAGCACGAAGTCTCTGGATCACAACCTTCCTTGCCTACAGCAGTGTTGTGAAATGCTGTCCTGTCCTAACCCTAACTCCTCTTCATAACATTATTGTCTTAAGAAGGAAACCGTGTGAGCCATCCCGTTCCCCTGTGAATGCGCTCCCAAGCAAGCAGGTGTCCAATCCTGCTGTCAGCTGGCCTGATGCTGATCTATGGTAGCTGAGCAGGCTGCCTCAGAAAATCCCCAGGGTCCTCCAGCCTGTGCCTTGGCACATTTTAACCGAGAGCTCAGAACCACAAACTGGAAGCTCTGGTCTTCAGTCCGACAGTGTCCGGTTCTGAGGCTGCTATGGCCAGCTGAGGCCCTTGAACTCTGGGGATAACAACCACACCTGCCTCGCCCCAGGGAGGGGCTGAGGAGTAAACGAGGCCCACGTGTGTGAAGCACCTGGTACCTGGCAGATGCTCAACCAATAGCAGCTCCTGCGGTTCACCTCCGACCCCCTTCCCAACAAGCTCACCACTTGATCTGCACCCACTCTGCCCGCCCCACCTCTTCCTCAGAACACCTCAAGCCACAGGACAGGATTTGGTATTATTATTGGTTGAGTTCCAATCAACTACCTCCGTCATTCTTAGGAGCCCAATGAGACTATATCAGACACCCCATTCCCCCAAACACATTGGCAAGTTAGTTCTATTAAATAGGTATAATCAATGATCAGCATTGTCCAATTCATGCCAGAGGCCCTTCAGCCCCCTCAGAAGAGTGCTGCAGGGTGAGCCATCTTCTCGGCGATGTGATCCAACTCACTGGCCAGTGGAGATGCAGACAAGCGCTGTGACCACTCGGCTCGGACGAGACGTGTGGGGAAGAGGTGTGCCGGCCACACACAGTCTGGATGATATGTGTTCCAATGCCCACCATCCTGCAGAGACTGGGTAGCTTGGTACTCGTGGCCACGTTTTCACTTCCACGCACCTTGTAGGTCTTGAGGCGGAGACACTGGCCAAAAGCCAAGCCGCGGGAGCCTGCAGCCAGACGCTGTCCCTGGCGAGCATCTCACCAAACAGCAGCAGTCTGCTGGGGGCTCTGAAGACCCCAGCGCAGCCTCCCAAGCGTCAGCACAGCCCTCTGTCCACGGGCGCTTTTCAGGCCCCGCAAGGATAGCTCCATATTACAGAAAGAAACGCCAAGGTCCAGAGAAATTGTATTCACTTGTCAAGGTCACCCAACCAGTCAGAGGCACGCCTGCCATGAGAGCTCCCTGAGAACAGAAGTCAGGCATTTGGAGATTCTAGCCCATCCACCTGTCAGTTCATCTCTCAACCTTGTCTTCACACACAGATCAGTGGGAGTCCGTGAAGGAAGGACAACAGAGGCTGTTCCTCGGTCCTCCTCTGAGCCAGGGCAGGGATGGGGACATCTGGACCAGAGGTTGCTCTGCCCTCTGGTCTGCCTTCACCTGAGGCTGCGTGTGGTGCAGTCGGGATGGGTAGTGATGGAGAGCAGTCCTCACTGAGGGTGGGGAAGGGTCAGTGCGTGCAGTCCAAGTCCTGCCCCACCCCTTACTGGAGGTGTGGCCTTCGGCAAGTAATGCTTCACCAGGTGTTCACACGAGGCAAACATCAGCACTGGTACCCGGGGAATGATCGGGCTGCCAGCTTGCTTTCACCTGCTCAACCCTTGGAGGTAGAATATGTGACGGTCCCACGGAACAGATGAGCAGACATTAACAGTGAGCTTCCAAACCCTTCAGGTGGTGGGAAAAGCAGCACTGTGCCAGGGTTCCAGCAAAGGCTCCTTGGCAAGCCCGTACCGTGGCCAGGGGTTGGCACACCTTTTTCTACAAAGGGCCAGAAGGTCATCACTTTTGGCTTTCTGGCCCATCAGTCCCTTTCACAACTCTTCCATTGTAGCACAAAGGTAGCCTATAGCGCCGACATCCCATTTGAGCTCTGGTTCAAATCCCTGCTTCTCCACTTCCTATCCAGATCCCTGCTAATGAACCTGGGAAGTGCTTGGGCCTCTGTCCCTCTGTAGGAGACGTGGATGGAGTTGAGGGCTCCTGATCCAGCCAGTGCTGACATGCAGGGAGTGAACAAGTGGATGGAATATCTGTGTCTCTTATCTCCTTGTCCTCACTTTAACTTGGCTTTTCAAATAAGCAAAATAAGCCTTCTTAAAAAATTAAAGGCAGCCACAGAAAAATGGCAGGTGTGGCTGTTACCAATGAAACTTGACCAAGACAGGCAGAGGACTGTCTCTGGTCCCTGAACTGCAGAGGGCTGTAACTTACTGACTGACCTCTGACCTAGGCAAAGGGCTTCTCCCACAGGTTAGACTGAGTCCTGCTACGTTTCCAGAAGTCCCCTCTCATCTGGCTTTCTTCTCAGTGCCTGCACCCTGCCTACTGAGGGGCTGAGACAATCAGTGAAGGAAGGTGAAGGCGGGAAGTATGTGGGGATGGGGCAGGCTCCCAAACTCACTGACCCCTTAAGAGCCAGGGCAGTGGTCAGGTGCCAGCAGGGGCAGCACTGCATCCTGCAGGGCAATGAGGTAGTGTCCTCAAGCTGTGCTTTTGTGGGACTAAGACCCCATGGGGTGACCAAGGTCATGTTAACAGGTGCAGGCAGTGGGAAGCAGTCTAAGGGGCCAGGTCAACAGTGCTGAGTTCAGGGTTCATGTCCAGCCTTTGGGGGAGATACAGATCTAAAGGGCAGTTGAGGCAGCTGCCCACTCAGTCAGACCAAAGGGGTGAGTTGGAGAAGCCTCCAAGGGTAGGGTGGACCTGGCTAAGGGCTGGGGCTCCAGCCTGCTCCATCACCTTTCCAAGGAGCTCCCTGCCTAGAAACGGATCAGCACAACCCAGCCCCTGCCAGGGCTGCTCAGTAGCTCATCTGGCCTAACTGAATCCATTCCATTCAAGCGACATCCAACTGGCACTAAGTGCCAAGCCCTGGGGGCACGGAGAGAGGCCTCACCATTGGAACTGCCAGGCTTCACAAGTGAGACTCATCAGCACAACCCACCACAGTGCAGAGCACACAGCATGGAGCAGAGGTGGGCGGGTGTGGGGCTCTCAGCAGCGCCCTCTGTCAGTCCAGGGAGGCATTGCTGCCTCTAGCCTGCAGAGAGGGTCTGCATGGCTCAATGTACTTATTCCTACGCACACCCTTCTAGAACGCATGTGAGGCAGTCACCGTGCGAGGACTGGTGTTCCTGAGAAGCACTAAGGCACCAGACCTCCCAGAAGCCAAGGGCTGTCCCCTCAGTTGCCAACATTTCCAAAACGCCACGCCTCCTGCCCCCGGGATCCTTCTGAGAGAAGGGATTCCGGGTCACTTCTGTGTTTCTCTCTGGCTCAAAAAAAAAAAAAGCCTTTCCCTCTTACCAACTGCAGTCTAAAGGGAAGTTAAAAAAGTTGAGGAGGAATGGCGGTCCAGAACTAAACTCTAGCTCTATAAACTGGTTGTAAAAAACCCCAGGCTCACAGAGTCAATAAAAAAATGCATTTAATAGCATATCAATATACAGCTTCAAGATGTAGTAAGTCTTCTTTTAAGTCAGTGCATTACAGGGACGAAGGAGAGAGATTTCATTTGGAACGCACAGTCAGATGCTAGCGGTCAGTGCTGACAGGTCTCGGGGCTGACGCTCCTAGGAGGCCGTCTTATGAACTGTCACTCCCCACGTGGTGCCCTGTGCCAGCGTGGCATTCGTCTGACCCAATAAGCAACCTGCTGTTGTAATGGACTTGTATATGAGTCTATAACCAAAGAATAAAATTTATTCTTCACAAAACTAAAGTGGTTGTCATAAAGCTTACAAGAGAGTACAGCCTGGAACAAATGAATTGGAAAAAAAAAAGACTAGTTTTAAAAATAATAAAATGTACTAGACAGTTTTGGAAAATGAGGTTATAAAACAACAAACACCATTGGCACGGTTTGACCACCTAATTTCTAAGTGCACTTTGTAATGTTCCTCGCAAGCTGCCACTTTTCCCAGGATTATGACAAAAAAGCATCAGTCAGGTGTTCCTGGCTTATGGTGACGGTTTTTTGTTTGTTTGTTTTTTATTGCATTGCCAAGAGTGGATTTTAAGAAAAAACACTACAAAGGTTTCAAAAACCCTATTTATTCTCTATCATCAAAAATAGCAACAGGGGGCTTAGACAACTGTTCTGTGAGTACCCGCCAGTCTATTTTTTTTTCTTAAAAAAAATAGAAGTTAGTTAAAGAAAAATGATTTGGTTTTTTTTTTTTTCTTAAAAAATAATGTAAGGAAACACTTAATCAGATAGCCCAAGGAGTCATCAGAAATGTGTGTAGCAAGAAAGCTTCTTGTTGGCCCTCTCTGGCCTCTGCGCGTCCTTTTACTAAACTAGAAAGAGAAGGTACAGTACCAATATGTTCCCCAACCTGCTTGGATCAAATTGTTTTGTTTTTGAAACCCATTATTGCTAAACCAGAGTGTTGACACTGAGAGCCGAGGAGTCCGCTCAAAGAGGATAGAACTGCGAGGCTGCTTCCGAGGACTGGATCTCCACCTGCGCCATTTTGAACTGGGTGCACTGCAGCCACTTGCGGAGGGCTGCGAGGCCAGCACTGCTCTGGCCCGAGCCGGGCAGCGTCCTTAGGCTATGGTGGTTCACGTTGGTCTGAATGGCCTGGAGGCGAAGTTGGAGGCCCGCGGGTAAGTGCTGTTAAGAAAGGGCAGACCACTTAGTGCCTTGTACCCCCATGGCCCAGGACTTGGGGCCCAGAGAAGGCAAACTCCTGAACTTGGCAGAGCTCAGGACGCCAGCTCATTCCACATCTCTACAGTCGCCCTGGCCCAGATCCATCTGGTTGCTGACCAGTTTGTCAGGCCCGGCACAGACAACAGGAGCACAAAGCTGACACTGGTCCGGTTTGACACACACTCTTAATACCCAGAAACCATCTACCACACGGGTCGGTATCAGGGTGAAGGGCCTGGACCCTGATATCAGGGTGCCTACATTGAAAATTCTGGCTCCTCTTGGGGTGACTTGGGGCAGAGGGCTTTCCAGGCTACATTTGAATCATCTCATCAACAGGTGGAGACAGGAACACTGGAGGGGCTCTTGGTGCAGGGAGTCCACCAAAGGGCCTGACCCCTCCAAGTGCCCACTGTGTTTTCATCAGCCCATAAGCCCTCCATCCTTGTACCAGTTCCTTCAAAGTTCTACTGGCTTCTCACAGCACTCTGTGCAATGTCCAATTGCCACAGACCACCAGACAGCAGGAAGACAGGTGCAAGCCTTGTGGATGGGACCAAGTCTCCCAACCTACAGAGTGGAAATCTAGACTTGGAGGAGGTTGGCAGCAGCGCCAATGCCCCCACACCCCAGGTGGCCACACTTGGCACCAGTTTCCAAGGCACTTAAAGCCATGGTCACTGCAGACCACTCCATTCCCCTCTTCTCATGCTGGGGATCTTGAACTCAACCCTCTTCCTAACACTAGCACCCTTCCCTTTGGCCCCTTCTAGCACTGAAGAATCAGGCAGGTGGGGACCACAAATGCATCTGGTTTCGCTGATTAGTATCAGTGAAATGTCATCCCCAATGACATCTGACATGCTTGTCCCCACCATGACAAAATGCCACTCAAGGTAAGGTCTGGGGCCGGGGAATACATGTGACCAGCGTCTCCCTTTCCCGCCCTGGGACCCTAACCAAGTCACTCTTCCTTTTACTCCTGAACTTCCTCAGATGTCCAGGGGAGGGCTACAGGTGTCTTCCAACTCAATTCTGGCATCTGTTCAATGCTGTACTTTCCTAATAGACTTCCCTCCACCACTGAAAAACAACACTAGTGATCAGGAGACATCTCCAGGCGTGCCTAGGACCAACAGTCTGGGCCTCCTCAGTGACCTCAGGGACACGTAGCTCCTCCACCCATACCCACATCAGCAGTGAGCAGTAGACAGTGCTGCCCTGCCTGCCTCCCCCGTCTCCCGCCTCACCAGACTGATGCAAGCTGGGTTAGGCTGACCTCATCTTTCTGCAAAGTCAGCATGGCACTGACAAGCCCTAAGAATGCTCTGTGGGGGAAGGTGAGCACCCACAGGCGGGGTGGCGGCAGGGAGTGGGGGGACGGATAACTTACCTTGCTATTGGACTGAATCATTGGCAGCCACATAGGTATGAGCTGTGTAGAGAAAGACAGAAGCCTGTTATCGCTGTTCTCCACTCTCTCCCACGCACACTCCCGCTACCTCCAGAGGAGACACACACACACCGAGTCCCCAGCATGCTGCTGCGTGGCTGTGGCCCCCACGGTGGGGCTGCCCACTTTCAGTCAACCCCGCAGGGCTGGCAACATTTGAGGTTAATAAGCCCGCCAGGGGTGCCTGTGACATACACACTTCAGAGTAGATGACTGATTGCTCTTAAAAGCCACCAAGCTCTGGAAAATTAAATGTGTATTTATTTCATTAAATTTTCACTTTCTTGAAACAGAATTTCCTGCACGGGCTCCATGGAGCAGAGCCTGAGCAGCTTTATCTGCCTGAGTCCTTAGGAAGCAAGGAAGACACTCCAGTGAGAGTGGAAGGAGCAACCAACAAGACAGAGCTCGGGGTGGAAAGAGGGTTAATGCCCACACGGGGTGATCAGCACCAAGTCCCCCTGGGGTGACCAGCCCCTGGAGGGGTCATAGGTGGTCCTGGCCCAAGCACCCACAGAAGTAGCTCCTTACTCTGGTTTCTCCATCATATCTCAGGCCTTCAGGATCTAAGCAGGCATTCACAGCCTGGGAAATCCGGAAGTCAGAGGCCAAACAGGATGCTCCTCTGGGTGTGCTGCAGAGAGCTCTGGTCTGGTGAGGTGTGGACAAGGAGAGAACTGTGGCCCTGCTGGAAACACTCGTCTCTGTTCTTCACTGACATCTCACTCCAGCTTCCCTCCAAAGCGGCAGAGGGAATGATTCGGTAGGACCTGACGCGTGTCCTAACCCCTCTGTCTCCCAGTGTGACCTCTGGGGAATGAGATGGTTCAAGATGCAATCAGGTATGGTGGGGTTGCCATGCAGGAGGGTGGGCCCTTGCTGCACTGTAACTGGTGTCTTCGTCATCAGGGGAGGTAGGACACAACACACACACAGAAAGTGCCCTGTGGCTACTTCGGGCCTGCAGAAATGAGAGAAAATGCATGTCTGTGGCTCAAGCCTCAGGCCTGGGGCACTGTGCCACAGTGCCTTGGGGAGTTAGTGCCAACAGTGTGGGCACCGAAGGGAAAGCAGGAGCATGGCTCTGTGGTGGGAGTGTGCGGGGACACAGATATGACCCAGATCCTAGGAGAGGCCCCGGAGAAGGCCAGAGGAGAGCCCAGGGCCAATGGGGCAGTCTGGCTGGCATCCCAACCCCAGGATGACTTCATCGTGAGTGGAACTGTGCTCTGAGGGGATGGCAGCATCTGCAGCACATGGGGAGGAAGGCCTGCAGACCACCGGCACAGTGCCAGGTGTGGCTGCCTCAGAGGGCTAGGCATGACCAGGACGGGGGGCTGAGAATAGAGAGGGACCCTGCCTGTGGAGGCAAGTCGCGGAGCTGAGGGTGAGGCCTTCAGAACTGCCACGGGGTCAACAAAGTGTCAGCTGCAAGCCTGGGCAAACCGCAGGGCCCTGACACAAGACAGAGTGGCAGGAGGAGGACCTCTGGGACGCAGGGTGCAGACACAGCTGGCCATGGCCTCAGGCTGACAACTCACCACAGGCATCAAGTCAGTTTCTTAAAACCAAGCTGGGTGAACAATGAAGTGCCTCTCTGTCGGCTTTGGTTTCCGAGGCTAACTCTTCTTTCAGTGTTGTCTTGATGGGTACAACGTGCATATTTGCCTTCCACTCATGCCTGCCCCTCCACATTCCGGGGCCCCCGCCTCTACAGCAAAACTCTGGGCCTGCAGCAGTTGCCAGCCAGATGCGGGCCTTCAGAAGGATGGGGCCATCGAAGTATTCAAGATGGGAGCGGGACGGGGCACTGGGATAGCTGACTCCCATACACTCCCTGCACAGCACGGGGCAAGGCCTGAGTCCCAGGGTTTACAGACTTTAGCTGACCTTTGAGTCTTTGATGTGGAACCTGTCCCACACAGTGAGGCTGATTTTAAGGAGGCTTTTATCCTTTCCCCATTGAAGTAACATACGGTCACAGGTGGAAAAGTCTGTCTGCGAGGGGCCTTCACTTTTTGGTCCTATAGAACAACAAGCCTGAAGGTATCAGCTTAACGCTCATCCTTATCACTGGCAAACACTCCTCAGTCATCCTATTTCAGGAATGCTAATTTGACTTCCTGAGTACTATTCATTTTTGCTCCTTTTTGCTAGTAACTCCTGCAATGCTATCATTGAAAATGAGATGTGATTTGGGGGGACTCTGAAACGTTATAATCAAGTCGGCTGGGTTATTTTTCCTCCCCAGAGATAATATCCCTAAGACTGAACAAAATATTTTTACATAGGTTGCTCTTCATCAAATAAAAGTGGGAAACTCTTCTCTTGGTTCACACTGCACAATGTGGAAGATTTCCTGAATGGTTGGACTGCGTTCAGCCCACCCTGCTCAGTGCAGCCCTCAAAGCCAAAACTGGTGGTAAAGTCTTGTCCTTCAGCCAAACTGGAATCACACAGACCAGATTTTTCCTCCCGCCTGCAGCCACGGAAAACTCAAACTTTCTGAAACAATGGCTTTCACATACCAAGCATCTGGCCATGCAGGCTAGAGATCGCCAAAGGAGAGGGAACGTACAGGGACCCCACTGGCCCCAGAGGGTCTTCAGGCACTGGCTAAGGGAGCAGAGGCCTGGGGGAGGCTGGCTGTCTTCCTGAGTGGATAAGATGCCAAGGGTAGAGGGCGCGAGGCAGATACCAGAGAGGTGAGAACTGCACCCACACAGTGAACTCTGCAGATCTGCAGAGGGACCCTCTGAGTGCGCACTGCGAAGAGAACTGCCCGGGGCTCAAGCAGAAACAACCCACAGGCATCAAGAGGGTAAAACCTCTGGAGATCGCAGAGCCAGCAACAGAGTGCTCCTGCCAGATGGAGTGGGAAAATGCTGTTCATACAACATCAGGTGAGGCACCCCAGGCCAGGGGCGGCGGCGTCACAGTGGTAGTGAGAAAAGCAGCCCTAGGAAAAATGCCATCTCCACCGTCCCAACCTGGCTGAGAAGCAAGCCTCAAAAGGACAAAATATCTGTGAATAATCTCACTGTTATAGAATATGGCCCAAACATTTATATGAATGCGAAAATGTCCAGGAGCCTAGAAAGGCAAATGGACAGTGTCAAAAATCTGATAAGAAATGATGACCAGGCATGCAAAGAAACAGGGCAATGTGACCCAAAATCAGAACAGAAATCCATCAAAAGGGGCAGAAATGACACAGTTGTTAGTATCGGCACACAAGGACCTTAAAGAAGTCATTACGACTACATTCAGTAGGGTCCAGACAAGAGAAAAGGTTGAGCACACTCAGTAGAGGCACTGAGGAAACACACAAAGAAACACTGGTTGATCCTTTCCAAATCCAGAGGGAAAAAAAGGTCCTGTGAATCCACAGAATCAAGAAGCTCAAAGCCAAGTCCAAGAAGCATATAGGCAAATCACACTGCAGTGGGGCTTCACCAAGTTGCTACCCGACTGTGCAAAAACAAAAGTTTCAAAGTAGTGAGCACACACAGGCGTTCTGCAGACGGACAGGAAAGAGAAGTAGGGCAGGGATTTCAGGGTGGAAATAATGTAAGCGGGAAGACGGTGAAGAAGGAACATCTCAACTCCTGCAGGAAAAACCCTGGCAATCTGAATCCAATACCCAGTGGAATCATCTTTCCAGAATGAAAGCAAGATAAACACTTTCCATCTGAGGAGAAAAGCTGAACGAATTAACCACTGGAAGATTTGCACAAGAAATGAACCAGAAAGTCCTCAGGGCAGAAGGAAAGATAATAAAAGTTGGGGGTTTAAATCAATGAAAAGGATTGAGGAGCTCTAAAGATGGGAAAATGTGATGTTGCAGTAATAGCAAAGAAGAAGTAGAAAACTTAACATCTCTTTATGAGATAACTGGTCATTTAAGGCCGGATACTTGAGACGTATGGTTTGCTTTAAAACATAAATAGGAGCAAAACGCATGACAACAATAGCACAAAGCCAGGAATCAGGTCATGGCAGGCCTCTGCTGTGCAGTTCTCACTCAGTATACGGAGTGTTTTATATTCCTTGAAGGCAGACTGCGATCAAGTTTAAAACATACACTAATCATACTTCTAAAAACATAAAAAATGCACTTCTAGAGTTTCAAAAAGAAACCAAAATGGAAATTAGGAACTAATTTTAACTGAATGCAAGTGAGAATAGATCAAAATTGGGCTGGGGAAGCAAACAAAGCAGTACTTAACAGAACCAAGCACTAAATACTGGGATTTAAAAAGAAGGTGATTCTGCAGTTAATAATGACTTCAATTTCCATATTAAGAAACTAGTCAAATAGGTAGAAATTATATCCAAAAATTCAGCATAAGGATGAAATGAATGTAGTCAAAGGTATGACAGACATGTTAGCCTAGCAGTTAAGAGGCCCATATCCCACGTGCAATGGTTAGATGTGATGCCTGGCTCTACCTGAAGTCCTGCTTCCCATCAAAGCTGACCCTTGCAGGCAAGTGTCCCAGCCCTAGTAACTGAGTTCTGCTCTGGCCACAGTTCAGGCTCAGCCCCAGCACAGGTTCAGCCCAGCACAGCCCCAGCACAGGCTCAGCCCAGCACAGGCTCAGCCCCAGCACAGGTTCAGCCCAGCACACCCCCAGCACAGGATCAGTCCAGCACAGCCCAAGCACAGACTCAGCACAGGCTCAGTCCCAGCACAGCCCAAGCACAGGCTCAGCCCAGCACAGCCCCAGCACAGGCTCAGTCCTAGCACAGGTTCAGCACCAGCTGTTGCAGCATCATACAAATCAACAGAAAACTGCACAGTCTCTCTCTCTCTGTAACTATTGACTTTCCAAAAAAATTAAATAAATAAGTATCTTTTTAAAAATCCAAAAGGTACAATAAAAGAGAGAATAAGAGACAAAGACTAGAAGGAAATGTAGGGGGAGAGAGCACGATAATGAATTTAAACCTAAAATTGTCACAGAACTCATTATATAAAAGACAGTCTAGGGAAAAAATCTTTCAGATTAGAGTTTTTTAATAAGTAAAATTAAAGTGTATACTCTATATAAGAAATCTTTCAAAGATAGTTAAGGTTAAAAGTAAAAGAACTGAAATTTATATATACTATTCTAACATTACCATAAAAAGCCTGGATTGTTTTTACAAACATCAGACAAGCTGCTTTTGTATTACCAAGCACAAAGAGAAGTTCAGACTTTAAACTCATCACTGAAACATAATAATCACAAACATTTATGCACCAAAGACAGTTTCATTATACACAAACCAACAACTTTTAGACCTTAAAGGATAAACAAGCCCACAATTGAAACACAGATGTTTCAATAACTAAAAATTCACAGAAGGGGCCTGGTGCAGTAGCCTAGCGGCCAAGATCTTCAGGTTACACGTGCCAGGATCCTATATGGGCACCGGTTCATAACTTAGATGCTCCACTTCCAATCCAGCTCTCTGTTTCGGCCTGGAAAAGAAGTTGAAGATGGCCCCCAAGCCTTGGGACCCCACACCTACGTGGGAGACCCAGAGGAAGCTCCTGGCTCCTGGCTTTGTATTGGAGCTCAGCTCCACAATTACAGCCATTTGGGGAGTGAACCAATGGACGGAAGATCTTTCTGTCTCTTTCTCTCTTTGAGAATCTCACTTTCCAAGAAAAACAAATCAATCTTTAAAAAGTGATCCTACAAATATCAAAAGTATAATGGAAGAATAATATAATCAATTTAATGCCAAGAAATGATTATTTTTATGAAATGAAAACACAAATCCCTTGAAAGACATTAACTCTCAAAGTTCACTCAAGAATAACTTGATAACTTGATTAACCCTGTATCTACTTTAAAAATTGAATTCATCATTTAAAATCGTTCTGCAAAAAAAAAAAAAATTCTAAGCTCAGATAATTCCAGATGAATTCTACCAAATATCGAAGAGAGAAAAAATACCAGTTCTACATAAACTTCTTCAAAAAGCAGAAAAGAATGACTTCCCCAGTCATTCTACGGGGCCAGCAACACCCTGATTCTAAAGACAAATATAGTTAGGGCAAGAAAATTACATTTCAAAATCCCTCATGAACATCGATGCAAAAATTGTTTTTAAAAGTCAGCAAATTGAATTCAGCAAGATACAAAAAGGGCAAGTATGGTTTGTCTCGGGAACACAGACTGGCTTAACATTCAAAAATCACCAGGGCAACTTACCACCCTACCGGTCAAAACAGAAAGGTCATTTGACCATCTCAGTGGACACTGAGAACATGTTTGAAAAAGTTGGCATCCATTCCTTACAAGAGTTCCTGACAGAAGAGGAGCAGAACAGTACTCAGCCTGTTTGAAGGTATCCGTAAGGAATGACAGCCGGTGTCTACAGTTAGTGACGGAAGTACAATTGCTTTCCTCTTGGGAATGGGAATAAGTCAAAGTATCACTTTGTGTCACTTGTACTCAGCCTGGACTGTAGGATCTAGCCAGAACAATCAAACAAAATGGGATGGGCACTGTGGCACAGGGGGTTAAGCCCCTGCTTGTCATGCCAATATCCCACTTCAATCTGCCTGTGTGCTTCTGAACCAGCTTCTTACTAATGCACATGGGAAGGAAGCAAAACATGAATGAAGTATTTGAGTTCCTGTCAATCACGTGGGAGACCTGGATGGAGTTTCCTGGTTCCTGATCTGTCACAGACCCAATTGTTGTGGGCATTTGGGGAGTTAGCCAGCAGATGGTAGAGCTCCACTTCTGTCATTCTGCTTTTCAAGCAAATAAGTAAATAAATAAACAACCTTTTGTAAAAGAAACAAAACAGAGCTGCGGTTGTGTAAGATGCTGTTTACTCCAGCAGCCAGTTTAAGTTCAGCTGTTCCATTTCCAATTCAGCTGCCTGTTAATACACCTGAGAAAGTGGCAGAAGATGGCTCAAGTACTTGGGCCTCTGAAGCCCAAGTGAGAGACCTGGATGAAGTTCCAGGCTCCTGGCTTCAGCCTGGCCCAGCCCAGGCACTGCAGCCACTTGGGGAGTGAATCAGTGGGTGGAAGATTGCTCTTTTCCCCCTCCCCGTGTAACTCTGCCTTTTAGATAAACACATCTAAAAAAGAAAAAAAAGCTACAAAGATTGAAAAGGAAGAAATAAAAATGATCTTATTTTCACATGACATAGAAAAACCTATAGAACTAAGACATGGGCTTAACATGTAGTAAAGTCAAAACTCCACACAAAACACTAGCAATGAAAAATCAGAAATTTAAATATAAGAAGCCACACTATTTACCATAGCATATAAACACAACTGTTTTCTAAGTTTAACAAAAACACTAGATATATATGAAAAACTATAAAATATTGTCAAGAAAAGTTAAAGAAGACATAAATGGAGAAGCATACCATGTTCATGGACTGGAGGGCTTACTACAGTTAAGATCTCAATCCTCTTCAAACGCAATCTGAGCAAGACTCCCAGAAGTATTTCTGTTGAAACTGACAAGCTGATTTAAAATGTACAGTCACACAAATGATATAGAATAGTCAAACTAACTTTGAAAAGGCTGACTACATTTAGAAGACTAACACCATCTAATTTCAAGGCAAAGAAACAGTCATTTTGACAGTCTGGCATAGAGACAGACAAGGAGATCAAAGAAACAAAATTCAGATTCCAGAGAGAGAGAATCATATACACGTGGTTCGTTGATTTTTCACAAAAGCTCGAAGGCAATTATGGGAAAAGGGTAATGTTTCTAACAATGCTGTTAGAGTAACTGGTCTCAATCCACCGGTACACCATATCACAAAGGCAACTTAAAGCGGATCACGGACAGAAAGTAACAGGGAGAAGAGAGAAGTGATCCTGGATTAGGCAAAGTTTTAAAAAATAAAACATCAAAGCATGATTTATAAAAGAAAACCCTGACAAACAGTTTGCCATTAAAATTAAGAACTTTGACTCTGCCAAAATACTGTCTAAAGAGCAAAAAGGCAAGCCGCCGAGACGGTCTTTGCAAGTCTCCTCATAGCTGACTTATATCTCAAAATAAAATAAGAAGAAAACCCAACCTGGGAAGAAATAATTTTAACAGACACATCACCAAGCAGATATATGGACAGCAAGCTGGCACATGAAAGAATGCTTAACATCATTTGTCAATAGAGCAAAAACTATTTAAAAACACAGTTCATAACACTTAGGATAACTGACATTCAAGACTGACTGAACTATGTCAAAGCTAGGAAGAGGCTGGAATGCTCAAACACTTCTAGTCTGAACATAACAAGGCATGATCATTCCGGAAAACAATTGGCTAATATTTTAAAGTTCAATATGTAGCTTCTTATTGCCTATTCTACTCCCATACTCAACAGAGCTAAAAGCATAGATGCACACAAAGGCTTACATGTGGACATTCATAGCAGCTTGATTTGTAATATCCCAGAATTACCAATCAACCTATCAATAGATAATATAAAATGTGGTATATCCCTACAACTGGATATTCCTCAGAAATGGTCTATTAACACATGCATATCATGGGTTAATTTCAAACAATTACTGTGCTCAGAAGAAGGCAGGTTAAAAATGTGTATTATATAAACCCATTTACAGGAAATTCTAGAAAGTTCCAACTAACTATACTGACAGAAAACAAAGCAGTAATGACCTGGAGAAAGAAATGGAAGAAGAGAGTGATCTTACATGGGTAGAAGGAAACTTGTGGAGAAGTCGGACATGTGATCTCGAAAGTTCCGTGGGTGTGATTTAAGTCAGGACAAATGAAACCATTGACTTTGAATAGGTATGGTTTGCTGAACGGAATTCATATTCCCATAGAAACAGTCAGTTATAACCAGTTAACGGTCAGGGATGCAGTATCTCTCACAGTGTTGACTTTCGCTCTATCAGGCTGAGAAAGGTCTACCTGTCCCTCTTGAACCAATGAACTTCCACCGCGGTGATCAAGTCTCCTCTACAGGGCTACTTTGCTTCAGCACAATTTGCAGGACGAGCATCTTTAACAAGAGGGCGGTTAGCCCAGGAGGGAAACAGGAGGTGGCGGAGTGGGTGGGCAAGAGGACAGAACACAGATGCAAGGGAAGGGGCGTGGGGCAGTGGGACAAGTAGGCAGACTGGCAGGAAGGAGAAGAAAAAGCGGGGAAACAGAGCAAGTGGGAATCTATCTCATCCTGGACTCTCATTTTTTTAAATAACATTAGTCTGCTTCCAACATCCTCAGGCAGATAACAAGTGCTTTGAATTACTTTCAAACACTGTATAATGATTTAAAGTAATAGCATTTGGAACTAAATTAATTAATCTTCAAGAAAAGCACCAGATACCAAAGGCAGGCAATTACAGGCTATTTTTCTTGATTTTTCTGGATATCTTTCAAAAGGAAAAGTATCACTCAGCAATTGGTATGAGTCTAGAGTCATTGCCAGCGCCCTGTTCCCAGGTAATATCTCACTTCGTGCACTCTGTTCTCACATTGCACCTGTGCAGCTGGTCACAGCGGCACAGCAGTAGAGCAGAACACAGTGTCCGTTCATAAAAGGTTGGTACAGGAGCTTGATTTCTCCAGCCCCAATTCTGAATATTAAAACCAAACCACACTGCTTTCCTCTTTAGAAAGCACACTCAAAATAAATCCACATTTGTTTTTAGCAATAAGAAACAGTCTGTAAAAATTGTAAGATTTTCCTACCTTGACAAAAATGGTTGAATTGCATTCTTGTAATGCCTCCATTAAACTAATCACATGGAGACACACCATTTCTACCATCTGAAACAACAAACAGGAAAGTCAGGTCCACTCCTAACAAGAGGTAAAACTTGCAGACCGGTCGACAGCCACACACAACCGTTATCTAGTACCCAGGAGACATTCCTGCGTAATGACCGTGGGGGCAGTGGTGCTCATTCACCTCTGAACTTGAATCCAGAAGTAGGATTTGTAAGGGCAGTGGAGAGCTGCAGGTGAACTCAGGCTTCAGTGTCGCTAACCTGCTCCATACTGGGAGTCACGCCAGAGGAGAGTGGCTTCTGCTCCCATCCTTCTCTCCAGCCGGAGTGTTCTGAGTGATGCCTCAGCATCAGGGAGGATGACCTGATGATGCACAGCAGCGCTCACTCTGATGCTCAACGCTGCTGCACCTAGCATGTTCAGAAGTACACTACACTTGACATGTAAGGCTGCCAATTCCCAAGGCTGAGCTTAAACACACGGGGGGGGGGGGGGGGGGGCGGGTAGGGTTTGACAAGATTGGCTTATGCGGCTTGACAACATCCCCAGGCTAAAATTCATTTGAACTCATTTGGAACATCATTTGCTTCAAATTGACTCCTAACAAATTAATTTGTAACATTTGAATATTAAAAGACATTAAAAAGCAATGGCAATAGAAGAAGGGCTTTTTTTTTAAAAAAAAAAAGATCTATTTTATTTATTTGAAGGGTAAAGTGATATAGGGTAATGAACAAAAAGAGAGAGAAAAAGATCTTCCATCCGCTGGTTCCCTCCTGAAACGGTTGAAACAGCTAATGCTGGGCTGGGCTTAAGTCAAGAACTCCATCCGGGTCTCCCATGTGGATTCCAGGTGTCCCAGTACTTGGGCCATTGTACTGCCTTCCCAGATGCTATTCAGGAAACAACTGCAAGAGGAGCTGCTGGAACTTAATCTATCACTCTGGCTGGAGATGCCAGCACTGTAGGCAGTGACTTCACCCACCATACCACAAAACCGGCTCCCAGAAGAAAATGTAAAATTCTAGTTTAAGCTCAAGGTCCTAGTTTCACTGATTGTACAAAGCAACAGACTAGGATATTGGATATTGACATTCTCATTAGTCACAGACTCTGACCCAACCAATGTGAGTCCTCTGGACAGCAGCTAGAACTCTCCATGAACCAACCCTAACATGCATTTCCTTTAACTACAACATCTCTCTGTGGACAAGTATTTGACAATACTTGTGGTTAGCTCACTGCTTGGGGTACACACTTCCAGTGCTAAGTCCCAGCTACTCTGCTCCTGATCCATTTGTATCTGTTCCTGTACACCCTGGTGTGGTGGGTAATGACTCAAGCACTGTGTCCTTGCCACTCCTGTGGCACATTTAAAAAAATAACATATTAAAACATATTTAATAACATAAAAAATGCACAGGGCCTGGCGCAGTGGCACAGTGGTTAAGGTCCTTACCTTGCACGCCCGGGATCCCATATGGGCGCTGGTTCTAATCCCGGCAGCCCCGCTTCCCTTCCAGCTCCCTGCCTGTGGCCCGGGAAAGCAGTCGAGGACGGCTCAAAGCTTTGGGACCCTACACCTGCATGGGAGACCCAGAAGAGGCTCCTGGCTTCGGATCGGCATAGCATCGGCCGTTGCGCTCACTTGGGGAATGAATGATCGGATGGAAGATCTTCCTCTCTGTCTCTCCTCTCTGTATATCCGCCTTTCCAATAAAAATAAAAATAAATCTTTTTAAAAAAATGCACAGTTTTTTTTTTAAACAATGTAGTCTCCATGAACTTTCCAAATGGAGCTGAAAGAAGACATTGTTTTTGACATACAGTGAAGTAAAAAAAAGAAAATCATGTTCTGAATGCCTGTCACAGTGGACAGTGCAGTAATGGATTTCTGGGCACACTGGAGTATCACCATGATGCCCTTCAACCCCTACAGAAGAGGGCTACTCTTAGACTGGCATTGTGGCATAGCACGTTGAGGTCCTGCCTGAGATGCCAGCTCAAGTCCTGTCACTTTACATACAACCCAGCTCCCTGTTAATGTGCATGAAAGAGCAGCACAGATGGCACAAGTCCTTGGGCCCCTGTGTCCAGGTGGGAGAACTGGAGAGATCCTGGCTCCTGGCCTTGGCCGGACCCAACCCTAGCTGTTGCAACCATTTGGGGAGTAAACAAGTGCATGGAAAATTCTCTCTTTCTCTCCCCCCCCACCCCTGTTTCCTCCATTCTTCTCTCCTTTTCCTTATTTATATCTAAATCTCTTAAATTAAAAAAAAAAAAAAACACCTCTTAGAAAGAAACAAGAGAATGGCACTGCTAGTGTGCCCATAAACAAGACCTTGACTGCTGCAAAAGCAAGCAAAGACTTCCCATGCCAATACCTTGCATGTGCCCTTTCCTCTCAATTCCACAAGGACCAGCCCAAGCTAGTGGCACAAAGTCAGCTCTGGCCAGACACACCCAGATGTTTCCCAGGTGGCCTGTGAGCAGCCAGCCCCGGGGGGATGTGGGGAGCAATGGTCCTGGGTCTGAAGCCTGAGGTCCTCACAAGGACAACTCCGAAAGGGGAGAAGGTTTTGAGCACAGACAGCGAACAACTGAGGTCTAGCTCCTTGGAAACCACGAAAAAAATGACCTCATCTGCCCAAGGTTTTCCCAAATTACTTGCAGACCTGAAAAGAACATGTAGTTCATTCCCAGGCCACTTTCTTTATAGTGCATGGACAACCCTTATGTGTAGAAACCTCACATATGTTTCAGTTGGCCCCAGGCAGATGAGACAGACAGGCTTGTAATGAATGGACTGGCTTTCTGGATTGATTCTGTATGTCTATTGTATACAACCCAATGTTCTAGTGCTAAGTATGTAGCATGGAATGGTTAAATCAAGCCCTTTGACATCTGCATGGCCTTACATAGAAGTAATTTGTGTTTGTATGTGTGTGCCCGTGAGAGAGAGAGAGAGACAGAGTAGGTAAAAAAAAAAAAAAAAAAAAAAATTACTCTCTCAGCACTTCTCAGCACTTCCCAAAGGTCACTGTATTGTTCATAGGCATAGAGACCATGATGTGCAATGCCACCAACTATTGCTTGCTTGGTTGGTTTTCATCAGAGACTCTTGGGAAGTGGAGCAGCCACCATCACAGGTAACAAAATCCCGATTCTAGCATGTCCTCTTACACCCGGGGCCGCAGACACTCGGGGAGGGAGAGGAGAAAGGTCACTGCCCAGAGAACTCACCACTTTGTTATGGGCCATGAGCTGCAGGATGCTGGGAGTGACCCTGCTCCAAAACTCCAACGCCGTCAAGATGGCCGTGAAGCTGAATTCATTCTGGTTCTGCACATTTGTGGCGACGGCGCTTTGCTCGCAATACACGGTCCAGAGCTGAGCGAAGATGAAGGCGTGGAAGAGCGAGCACATGTGTAGCACGGAGGTCTGGGAAGGAAGCAGGCAGGTGTGCTGCGGCTGGGGTGGGGCTTCCCGGAGGCATCGGCCCTCTCCCTGTCCCGGAGCCCGCCAGCGCCAATGCTGCGTGGAAACCTCTAAGCTACAGATCCGTGACTCACCAGCTGCAGACACAGTGCTTCCCCTGGTCAGAGCACTCCCTCCCCCGCCGCTACCCAGGGAATGGGGCAGCTCTTCCGTGGGGGAGCACCTGACTGCGGTAATCTGCCCAGCCCCGGTGGCTTTCATCAAAGTCACAGGCCCTGTTCCCACATCACATTAGGAAAGTCAATCCACTTGCCACGTGAGGACACTTCCTCGTTTATTAAATGCAGCCAGAGTAGCCTTTTCTGAGAACCGGAGGAGGAGCAAGGGGGTAGGGGTGCACAGGGGAATGCCCTGGCCAGCACCCACAGATGCCACTGCTGGGTGTGGACCAAGCATTAGCTGTAATGCTCCCCGCGGAGGCCCAGGGAAGGTCTTGCCTCCGACAGCCCTCAAATTCTCCAACTACTCCCACCACCAGCTATTCTACAGATGAAGCTCAGAGAGTTAAAGTAACCTTTTTTTTCAGACCATAAAATGGCAAGTTTAGAGTTAGAAATGAAACAGTTTTGCTGCAAATACAATGCGTGTGTGTGTGTGTGTTTTAGTTCAACCTTTGTTTTAACTCTTGGTCAAGCAAATTGGGAGGAATTACATATTCCCATAGTTTCAGTGATTTTGTGACTACTTAAAAATGCCCATGAATGGGATTGAACTGCTTTTCCTTTGAGTACTGTGTACAGTCCTGGCCTGTATTCTTGTTGGACCAGAATCTTTTTGCTTTTTATTGATCTCACCCTTTATTTAATGGAGCCGAATGGAGTACTATCTCAAAAAATAATCAATAAAAAATTAAAAAGAAAAATATCTGGGTGGCAATATTAGGAAGTGAGTGCCTAATTCTTTCTGCCAACATCATGCAGGTGGCTCGGCTGGGTGCTCAGTTCACTGCACAATCAGCTCCTTCAGGCCTAAATCACAGCTCTCCCAGAATGCACCAGGCCTCCCAGGGCTGGCCTGTGGCTCCCCGGAGCTGATGGGCGCTGGGGCCTCCCAGGGCTGGCCTGTGGCTCCCCGGAGCTGATGGGCGCTGGGGCCTCCCAGGGCTGGCCTGTGGCTCCCCGGAGCTGATGGGCGCTGGGGCCTCCCAGGGCTGGCCTGTGGCTTCCTGGAGCTGATGAGCACCGCTGTGTCTGGTTTGCTTGTACAAGTTCACAACTGATGCCTGCCTGGGGTTCACTCGACTCCCTTAAGCACAGCATCCGTCATCACAATTCACAGAGCTCCTCTGAGGAGATGAACCCAGTGTGTGCCCTTCCGAGTTCCCAACCGACCTTCTTGTTTTCCTTTCACAACTTCCGACACCTGGGATTTGAACTGCACAGACAGGGCCTGAAGTAGGAGACGGGGCCCATCTCTCCTTCCCACTTCATCCCTGGTTCTGAAAACCCAGCTAGGAATTCTCATTTTTTCATGTAGGCTCACTAACTTTGAGACAGCAATGCCTAGGGATACAACTCAGGCTTTTACCCTCATAATTTATCTCCATAAAAGGAGGCAGGAAGACAATTTAAGGGGAGAAACAAAGGACAGTGAATTTAAACAACTTTAAATAAGACATTAACACAAGGTTGCTTTTCCAACCTCTCCAGGAGGCAAAAGATAAGATGCAATTTCTTCTCAAAAGAAACATAATTAGCTGATAAGAGTCTCCATTAGCAATTTGGATGCACATGGTCTTGATCCCACTGGAATCACTTACCTTTGATTGCTCTGGGAATCCAATCAGGATCACAATCAGGTGGTCTGCGATGTGGGATCCCGCATCCAGAGGTATGGGGAGGCAGGGCGAAGAGGAGTTTGGGCACACCGCATTGTGAGTGAGCGAGCCCAGGAGCAACCAGGACAACAGGCGGATGTGGGAGACGCACTCGATGAATTCCTTAGGTCTGTGGGGCAAGAAGGAAGGGATCACGATGAGTACATTGACCGTGTCGCTGGGTGTGTCCTAAAGGGAGGGGTGAGAAGTGCAGCCCTGCCGGCAATCCCTGAAAATGAAGGGCCCAGGCAGCCAAGGGCTTCTCCACTCTCCTCCCGCCAGCTTCGCAGCAAAACACAAGCTTCCGTGACACCTGCGGTAATGGCATCTGATGCTTGGATTAGTTCCTCTTCTGAAATTCTCTTTTGACTTGTTGGGAAATTCTTCTCCAGGAGCTGGGGTTTGGCACAGCAGTTAAGATACCACTTGGCATGCCTACATCTATTTGGAGTGCCTGAGTTTGCGCCCATCTCCCCTTTTCTATTCTAGCCCCACTGTTGAGTCCAGCGGAATTTCCTGTTAACGCACACACTGAGAGGCAGCAGTGGTGGCTCTAACACTTGGGTCCCTGCCACCCGTGTGTGAGACCTGGAGTGGCTTCCAGGCTCCTGGTTTCCATGGGGGCCAGCCTTTGATATAGCTGGCATTTGAGAGGGTGGTGTTGAACCAGTGGGTGGGAGACCTCTGTCTGTCTCTCTCTTTGCAATTTAAATAAAATAAAATAAAAACAAGTATTCTCTTAAAAAAATGTCCTCTGTGACATCTCTGACAGAGTGGCAGGACAGAGGAGAAGGCGTCACACACAGGTACGCACGTTCCTGCTCACCAACAGCAAGTGTTCTCCACCCTCCTCGCTGCCCTCTAAACTGCCCCGTTAGCCAGGAAGGCTCACCATGCCAGACAGCAGGTCCAGGCCTGTCTGAATCTGAGGAAACTGGCCCAGACGCCCTGCCCTCCTTTCTAATCCCCTTAAGAAACAGGATGGGGTGGGGGGGCTAGCACCTGTTCTGTTTCATCCCTGCTATCGCTAAGCTGCTTGGAGGCGGAGGCCAGGGAAGTGCTCAATAGGGCCCATTAATTTTCTGAGCTGGCTGGGATGAAGGATCGCATCCTCCAGGATCACTGACACTCTGCAGCAGAGTGTGTTTCTTTTGCTGGCAGCAGGTCCCAATTGCTCCAGGCCAGCAAGTAAAACGGCAGCAGCCTCAGCTTGTTTCCCTCCCTGCGTGTCTCACATGTCCTCCCAGAATGCATAAGTTGGAAACTTGGTCCTCAGCAGGGAGGCGTGGAGATGGTGGGACCTTCAAGAGGTGGAGCCTGGTTCACTGGGAACACAGCTCAGGAAGGAAGGAAGGCCGTTCTCCTAGGGGGCGACATTTGTCACTCTGACTTACTGTCTGGCCATGGGATCTATGCCTTCCCACAGGCACCCTACAGCTATGATGCCACCCATGCTGAGACTCTTATCAGAAATGAGTAAAAGCCAGTATCATACCCTTGAACCTTCAGAGTTAGAAGCCAAATAAGCCTCTTTTCTTTAAGAGTTCCCAGACTCAGCTCTTTCCTTGTGGTAGTGGGAACCAGACAAACAAACCACCTGAGCCATGTTTCACTCTCACCAGGCAGCTTAGCGGCCCCTCCTGCCTTACGAGGGTCTTACCCTTGCTGCATTGCCGAAGGAGGGTGGTAGAGCCAAGGCAGGTAGCGGATCACAGCTTTGTTATCTCTGTGGTTGCCCCTGGAGATTTCCATTGCTGCAATCTGAGCTAGCCCAACTTTGAGATGTCCACCAAAGGTATCTTCGTGCAAAGGCTGGGAACATGTCTTCATGTGGCTCTACAAAACCAAACAGCATTGTGTAAGACCCGGATTATCTTTCTTCCCTCTCCTTTCATTCACTGGAGCCTACCACCTGTTGAGGACCCCCACTATCTTTAGGACATAGAGCAAAACACTCCTTAGGATGTTCTATAAAGCTAGAATGAGCTCTGCTCCTTGCCCCTTCCCTCTGCGGCTCCAGCGGTACAGGCTCCACGTGTCCCCGCCCACTGAAAAGCTGCTCCGGCGGTGACTCACATCCCAACTCATACCATACCCACGGGGAAGCCTTCTCTGAGTGCCCTCAGCATGTGCAGGCTGCTCTCTACCCATTCTTCAGAACAAGCAGGAGTCACAGTATTACTCTGGCTTGTGAGATGTGCTTGTTAAACCTGGTTTCTGTTCATACAAATTAAATGAAGGCATCCCCCTACCCCCATCTGTTTTTGTTCATCATTATAACTCCAATGCCCAAATCAGGGCCAGGCATGCCGTCGGTGCTGAAAGCATATTTATTGATTAACATTTGAAGACATTCTTTTTTGAACTGGAAGCTGCAAACTGGGTTCTAGAACCTAGTTCTGCCCTAAACAGTCATCTGGCCTCAGACAGCCCCTTGTCACTTGATTTTTCCAATCACATAACATCTGCAGTCCTCAATCTTCTCATTATCATGGATCCCTCTTACTATTTTCAAAAGTGTTTGCCAAGCAAGCTCAGAGTGTTTCTCTATGTACTTAAGCGTGGGGAATGGACGCAGCACCAGGAACTAGCATCCGACTGGCTGACGAGGGGTTTAGGGATCACTGGGCTGGCAGATCATGGATGCCATCTGTCTAAATGGCATTTTCACTCCTATCCTTGCATTTATGAAGGTGATTCAAAACGTTTACAGAAAAATGGGTTACAGATAAGCCCAGGGCCAGAGATGGCACAGTGAGTGATCTGTGACAGCAGCCTTGGCTGTTGTGGCCATGGAGTGGACTGATGCAAGGAAGGTATTCTCTCTTTCACTCTACCTTTCATACAAGAAAATAATTAATACTGAAAAAGGAGTCATTAATGCCAGGTCCCATCTGGCTGCTCTTTGCGCCTACGTTCAGGGTCTTTCTCAGACCCCTCCTACTCCTAGTGTTAAAGCTCCCCGGGGAATCACAGGGGGGGACATGGTTGAGAGTTGGCCAAGCCCTCTATAAACTCATCAACTTCCCCGAGACTTTGTCCACACAAAAGTTAAGTTCCGACCTATCCCCTTTGATAGCTTTCTTGAGGAAGACAGACTGCTTGCAGATAAAAGTATTAAATGGCTTACATTTGTACAGTGTGTTACAATTTATGGGAGGCTCCCCACATACATCAAGCCTATTAACGGCAGGCAATGTTTGTTAGACCAATGAGAACACAGAGGACCAAGTAGCTAAATGACACCAGGTGGTGGAGTGAGAAAAGAGGAGCTAGAGAACCAGAATGATCTCAGCTCCCACCTTGACCTTGGCACTCCTTGCGAGGTGACTTTGAGTAAGTCCCTCTCTCCTCCTAAGCCTCAGTTTCCACATTAGCAAAACAAGAATAATATTTTCATAAGGGCACTGTCACTAACTAACAGCCAAAGTAAAGCCATGCTCACAGCTGCTGCCACTCGCATGCCTCGCCTTTCTTCTTCCTGTCCCTGCAGGACAGGACCTGAGTCTTTCAGGGTTTCAATTCCAAAGGGCTACTATGCCTCCCTAGGGAACCACGAAATTGCACGTGGCGTCTAAGTGTCCCTGCGATCTGTGAAGGGAAGCAGTGAGCAGTGAGCACTGCCTCACCTTCAGTTTGGTCAGCGTATGCATGTCCGCCGTGAAGTCCAGCACTTCGGTGATGTACTGCCGCACGCACTCCATCGCCGCTGTCCCACACTGCAACACAAGGACACAGCTCGTCACAAGTTCGTTTTTGTCCCGGCAGCAACGACTGTCACCTTCCAGTTTCATGCTGTTTACTCAAGAGTGTTTTGTTTGCTGGCTTCCTCTCTTGTCTGCACAGCCTGTGATCGTCTGTTCAGAATTTGGACAAAACTGATACAAAAGACTTGTGATGGAGAGCAAAGGAAGCAGTGGAGGCTTATGGGAAACAGGTTCAGTTCTTTTCCTCTGGAGAATTGAGCTGATTTTTATTTATTTTTACCCTGGTTGGTATAAAAACATTCAGCCCATTCAATTCCATTAGCCTTGGAGTCCTTAGCATCCTCCCCAAACCATGGTAATATTTTATTACTCCCGGGACATCTCAGAAGCACATAAAATAATGTGCTGCCAAATTTGATTGCCCCAGTCTTGAATCTATTTTCAAAAGAGGCTTAAGCAACATCATGGATGCTGGGAGAGTTGAGCAGCCTCATGCTGAGGTGACTTACAACCTCTCAGGCACAGCAGGTGTGCTAATAAGGAGACAGGCTCTTGTCTAGTCCTTGCCAGGGATCAAGAAAAGAGAAAACGTTCACCTCCCCCATACATTTGACGTGTTTTAGGAATATTAAAGGAAAAGAAAAGCATTCTTGTCTTTTAGGTTATTAAACGGCACCAACCTGCTCCCTCAGGGTAATGCAGCAAATTTAGGATTATTAAAAAAAAAAAAAGAGGTAAAGCCAAATCAGAGCTACATCGGAGCTGTGTGAGAGAACCCCCACATCAAGCTGGGGATACAGTGGATCAAAAGAGGGCCTTCTTTGACACCATGTGAATACTATGCTGAAGACCTCTCCCAGCTTCCTTTAGAAAAACCTGGAACATGATACACTTAACTAGCTCACCCAGTGGCTCTCATTTTCCCATGCTCATGGAAATCTGCACAGCACTGCACTATATCACCTCCTCGCTCTTCTAGAATGTTCCACCTGTCAGTCCCTCTGACAGGATCACAAACAGAATGAGGCCATTGGCTGTCTGGTAGTGGTTTCCCAGCATTTCGTCCGTTCTAAGGTTTTCTTCTTTTAATTGAAATCAAGTGAAGAAACTGTAAAAGGTTATTGTGTGCCTGCTTTTGCAATATGAATCCTTGAGGGGCCAGAAAGAATACTCCTTCTGATTTGTTCCATTTTCTCTGACCATTCACATGCCATGCAAATTGGGTTATAGGCTCTGTTCTCAAGTTTCTTGAATGGCATTTGTTCTTCGGTGGGTAATATTTTATGCTGTCTCTGGGAGGAAGGTGTCACGGGAGATGACTCCTGAGTGCCTTATCCAATATTTGCATGTTAAGTTTAAATCTCAAGAAAGGAGAGTGAGGAATTGACTATTAGCCTTACTCTGTTCTATGACAGCCACTACACTGGGGAAAGGCCTTAAAGTCCATTTCACAATCAGGAGAATCCCAATGAGCCAGCCACAGTGTGCAATGCACAAAACACAGTCAAAAGGGACAAGCTCCTTCTGTATTGCAGAGTCTGCACTTACTGCAATGAGAAACCTTTGCATCAAGGAACTTGAAAATATGTTCTGACATCAAGCACAGGAATTGAAACAAGTTGTGTCCAATTCTTCCTCAAAGTGAAAACTTCTCTAAAGTTAACATTTCTCAGATTATATGAGGGTTCTTCCAAAAATTTATGAAAAATGCATATTATAAAAAAGGTACATATGGATTTAAACATTTTTATACCAAGATACATTTATCATATAGGTCCATTTTTCCACAAAGGTTGTGAAGTACCCTCATAAAAATACACACATTCCATGTAGAAAAATTGGAAAATAAAGAGTTCTTTAAAAAAAATGGAAGTTACTATAGTCCTAATTCTTGTTTTCCATTTCTAAGAAAATGCTTCCTATTTTTTATGCATACAACATATACACATACAACTCTTTTATGTAAGATTGTGATAAGCTTTCTTTAACATGCTTTAAAATTAAGCCCTTCAATAGGCATTTCCAACGACTTAAATGTTCTTTGAAACTTATTTGAAAGCCACATAAGAGCCTATCTGTGGATGCACATTATTTCACTTAAACAACATCTGGTCTTGGATATTTAGTCTGCTTCCAATTTAATTTTGCTATTTTAAACGATGCCTTAATGAGTATCCTGTGTGTAAATATTTATGCACATACGTCTTTTCTTGAATGTACTTCTCAAAGCAGACTGTCAAACTGCCTGAAGCAAAATCTGCTGGTTGGGGGATAACGAAGGGAGCGAGTACCAATGTACCAACAGCACAAAGTTTCACTTATGCAAGATAATAGGTCCTGGAGAGCTAGTTAACCTCTGGTTAGCAATACTGTATTAGGTACTTAAAATGTGCTAAGAGCACAGACGCTATGTAAAGTGTCTTACAGTAACTAAATAGCGTAGAGGAAGTGTTGGCAATGGTGGACGTGTTTATGGCATGGCTTGTGGTGGTGGTGTCCCAGGTGCACACACATTCACAAACTTACTAAGATGTTAAGCCTTCCGTAAGGCCACATTTTCACAAAGTGATACACGAATCTGCTGGCTTGCTACCCCATTTCAATTTTTACATTGGTTGTGACTGAGGTGAAAGGTCTGTTTGGAATGCCTCACTGCTGTGTGCTCACTCCTCAGTGCTCTAAATCTACATGTCAATCCCATGACTGCTGATTTTTTAGCATTGTTGGAACAGTTGTCCTTCACTCACTGATTTCAATAAACCTCTTACATGGTAGGGATGTTGCTTTGCAGTTACCACCTAGAGGGCAAGTGTTGAGCTCTAAAGAGACAATGAGCGTGCAGCAGAGAGGTCAGCCACCCCGCAGGGCCACTTCCTTTCTTCCCTGGCACACAGCTGTGACACATTCCCTACCTTCCTTTTGTTAGGTGTGATCATGTAACCGAGTTCATGGCATGGGTTACATTCTAGACGAAATATGTTCTTCTAGACCTGGCGCAGGAATACTTTCCACAGCCCTAATTTTCTCCTCTTTCCCCAGCCACCAGCAGTTTGCAGGGGAAGCTCCTTCCTCTATTAATCAGGACACCAATTTGAACTTAATATGAGCAAACAAAAGACCTCTTTCGTGTTAAGTCACTGATACTGGAATTTTTTCTCATAGTAGCTTGCATAACCAAAGTGCTATTACAAACAATTTAAAGGGAGGGCATCTGATCCAGCAGCTGTCACTCGGGGGGGGGGGGGCTGCACCCCGTGTCTGAGGCCAGGCTCCACCTCTAACTACAGCTGCCTACTAAAGCAGTTCAGGGAGCAGAGGTGAGTCCAGCACTTGCTCCCAGATACCCATGCGGAAGACCCAGACTGAGTTTTGGGCACCTGGTTTTAGCCCTGCCTAGGCCTGATTGTTGCAGGCATTTAAGGAGTGAACCAAGGGGTGGGAAATCACTGTCTCTATCTCTCAGCCTTTCAAATAAAAACAAATAAATGAATAGATTAAGGAATCCTCTAAAAAACACAATGTAGTGATTTTATTCCCAGAAATCTATGATCAAAACAATCTAAAATGTGGATAAAGATTTAACCACAAAGATATTTCTTGCGGAACACTGAAAATAACTAAAATATTCAAGGTCATGTCTGTTAAGAGTAAATTAATGTTTGATAAGAATATATTTAGCAAGTAACATGTACTTTCTGTATGACTGGCATTGCATTAATATGCTCTATAGACGCTGCCTTGTCCAGTCTTGACCTGTACATTAGGTCCTGTTCCACCCCACTGTACCGATGATACACATCAAAGCATCAGAGATTAGATTAAAAACTGTGAAAATTACACAGCTCGTCAATGGCAGGAGGCCTCACAGCTGGACAGGCATCAGAAGCCTATGCCCTTAACCGTGTCAAGCAACAATATACAGATGGTTAGCGTAGAAGTCAGGACTTACTCCAGGTACAGAGGCGATCATTTGCTTGCTCAGGATTGTTGACTCAGCTAGTTTGGTTCCAGCATCTGCACAGATAAACTAATAAAACATTGAAAGAGTAATTACTTTTGAGAGTATTTGGATATAATAAGTAATTAATAATCTCATTAGCTTGGCTTAAATCCATTAGTGTTTTCTTGCGTGACAATCTGCCCTTGCCATCTTGAACTCGCCAATCATGACTGTCCAATTGTACCAGGAGCTCAGAAACATCAGGCTGAAGTCAACACAGTTGCTCTGACTTTGCCCAGAGAACCCAGTGGCACTGAAAGCGTGTCTTGAGTCCAGGAAGAGGTTAAAAATGCCAGCATTGCTGCAGGATTCCAAAGTCATCCCACTTAGCTCTTTGGCACCTCCTGACAGTTACTATAGGCTGGTATTTGTACATTTCTTTCACAAGTTTTAACATGTGGAATAAAAACAGAAAAACAATAAACCTCTGAGAACATTCTCCCAGTTTCTTCCTCTTCAGGAACCCTTGGTGTCTTGTCTTCCTCTGTCCTGTGCAGCCACCCATGTCCTCCACGCTGGTAATGACCCCTCACACACGCAGGGCACATCACACACCTGTACTGTGCTAGTCGTCATGTTAGACTGCAGTGACCTATGGGTCTGCTTCGTCCCCTGCTGTGTGCTCAGCTCCAGCCATTGCAGCTACTTGGGGAGTGAATCCACGGACAGAAGATTTTTCTCTCTGTATCTCCTCCTCTCTATATATCTGACTTTCCAGTAAAAATAAAAATAAATCTTAAAAAGAAAAGAAAGAAAGAAAAACCACTCTCAAAGTTAGAGAGAACCTGGTATAGGAAAAAAGACTAGAAGTGCTTGTGTTTCTGAAGTCATTGATTATTCGCTTTTCATCAGTGTATTTTAATCAATGTGTTTAATCCAAACAAAAGCTTTAGCAAATCTTTTTGTCTTTATTTCATATAGCTATCAACTATGGGCTGAAGAGAACCTCTTACAATCTTATAGAACCGTTCAAAATATAATGATAAAATTAAAATCAGAGGGGAGAAAGCTAATTACTGTGGAATGAATAATCCTATACTTTCAGAGAGAAATGTATCACTGATATATCCATGAATACAAAAGAAAAGCAATACCCATTATGTGATATTCCTAGGTCCATTATCAAAAAGACCCCGAAAATAGTATCTCCACCCCCCATCCTATAGTGATCAGGTTATTACTAACTTAACTAATATCAATCACCCCACTCAACAGAAACCCCTTGAATTGAAAACAATAGCTGTTCAGCTGCCGCTTCTTTGTCCTCCAGCCCACAACCCACCTATCTTTAAAAAACACCTTTCACTGACATGACTTCTCAGAAGTTGAGTGTGCGGATATGCCCCACAGAGTGGGAGTGATACATACAAATGAGAAGAATAACTACCTTTCACACATAATAGGAGCCAAAGAAATTCATCTTGATTTGAACTCAGCCTTCTGCAGCTTTTAACAAGCCACTTCTCTACAGTGATACCTTCCCATTTCACACAAAATGTCTACAGCAAGGGCAGGTGATGTAGCAAGATGGGTTAAGCTGCCACTTGGGACACCTGAATTGCACATCAGAGTGCCGGTTCACATCCTGGCTGCTCCACTTCCGATCTGGCTTTCTGTTAAAGCACCTGGCAAGGCAGCATATAGATGATGGCCCAAGTGTCTAGGTTTCTGCCTTCCAGGTGGGAGGCCCATATGGAAATCTTGCCTCCTGGCTTTGACCTAGCCCAGTGGATGGAAAGAGTTTCTGTCACTCAGCCTTTCAAATAATTAAATTGCCTCCCATCCCCTAAAAAGCCTACAGCAAACCAGCAATAAAGAAAAAACTGTGAACAAAAGCAAAAATGTCACTAGACCCCAATTAAAACCACAGGCAGTCCAGAGCCCAGAGGAAGAGCTATGCCCTAACAGTAAACAATCCAAATTCTTAACTATGTGATTTTTTTCTTTGCTATTTGGAAAATACTTTCGTGTTTCTATGCTCTTATTTCTTTGGGGGAAAGCAATTTACTTGAGCCTCTAATGTCATTCGACTTCCTTTTTCTGTAAAAAGTAAATAAATAAACACCAGCTGTCATGGGTAGAAAACCATAACGCAGCAGACCGAGAAATCTGCCGGGTAGCAGGCCTCTGGGAAGAATTTTCACGAATTCTAAACCAGATCAGTACCAATCACAGCCCTGACACGAACAGAACTTGGATGACCCCACCACCCCTGGGCCAAATGTTTCCTTGTCCCATAAAGGGTCTCTCTTCCTGCCAGAGTATTTGAGATACAACAAGCACTCATATCAGTGAGAAGAACACAGACGATTAGACTTCAGCAAACTCATCTGTCTGGTGTTATAGAAAAGCAGTAAGCCAGAGACCCTGGCGTTTCCTCATGGCATAGAAGAATGAAAGGCAAGTCCAGTTTTGGAACACCCGACGTTCCTCTCACTGTAGTGGCCAGCGTCATCTGCTTTTCCCTCCCAATGTTGGCTTTCTTTCCTGTTTCCAAGTTGCGTCCCCAGTTAAGCAGATCCATTGCCACTACCCTGGGATGCCAGCCACTGGTATCCATGAGGAAAGCCACCCCCTGCCCACACTGAGAGCCTGGCTGGCCAACTGGCCCTAGGAAAAGTGAATGCCTTCCTCTGACACCAGTGAGAGCCTCTGGCCTAAAAGAAGCTGCCAGAGAGCAACCCATCATCTCTGCTGTCCTCCTGGCAGTAAAGTGAGAAACCATGGGGAAGATGCACTAAGCACAAAGGGAAATCGCCATGCTCTCCAGCTCCTGACCAGCCCCATAATGATTCTTGTCCATGCCGGGCAGGACAGAGCAGGAGGGCATTCTGTTTTACTTCTCTCACTGACAATGGAAGGGGCTGAGAATTTACTGAACAAAGACTTGAAAACAGAAGGATGCCTTAGGCTGGGGAAGGTTGAAAGGTTATTCATAAGATTGGCCCCCACCAGCATGATCACCAGTGTCTGCAAAATACTCTCTAATTTGTGTTTATTCTATAACTTGACCCTTTTTGCTTAATGAGCCAGTGACAAATACATATTTTTTCAAAAATGAAAATGTTGTTCATTTGAAACAACAGATGGAAGTCCATACAACACACTTACAAGAACCTACGTTTTGCCTTCTTTCTTCCTAAAGCTAATTCGTTTTTATTATTTATGTACTTAACTATGATGAAATAATCACTGTTTTCATGGTTTCCCCAAGCACCGGCTAATTCCAACTGCCAGTGCTCTTTTCCTGTCTTCTGACAAGTGCTGATTATGGTGGAGTAAACGAGCTTCATAGAAAACCAGGCCACAGAAGTTAGGGGTGTGAGACCCCAACAAGACCAGTGACACAGACCTACTCAGCTCCAGACAGAGGGCAAGAAAGGCAACACAGCAAAGCATCTTCCTGATCTCTAAGCAGTTTTGAGGAGGTACCACTGAAACAAGTGGTATGGGAAGCAAGTGACCTCTGGACAAGATCAACCTGCCAACCTTCAGTTTCTGCTCAGCCATTTCACTGATCCCTTTCTTCTAAACCAACACAGCCCCTGTTCACCTTCAAGGTTGGTCTGTGTCCAACTTACTTGAGCTCCAAGTCAGTGTCACTGCTGGTGTTAAGTAGCAACTCACATGGAGAAAAGCCCACAACTGTGTCTGCTTAGAAGCACAGGTATTGTCTGGTTGGAATTTGCTTCCGTCTTCTTCCTAGGCTGTGTATCAGCTTGGTAAGAAGGGAGCCATAATTCTCCAACCACATCCATAGCACTCATTTCCCAGCCACCACTAATTCATCACTCCTTCTCTCAGAGATTCAATGTGCAAAGAAAGCTCTCTGAAGAGACAATTACACGATTAGACTTCAAGAGTATGCCAACATTTTATGAGGCCTTACGCCTTTGACAAAAACCCAACTCTGGTCCTAATGATTAGTAAATCTGTGGCCAGGAAAAAGGGGACCAGGAAGTGGCACTCAATGGCTAAAAGAAAATGGCTCTCCTCGGCTAGGTAAACCCTGGGACTTCTGGGAATCCTTAAGGTCCATGTGGTCTCTTCCTCACAACTTCCTTACTCAGTAGATGTCACTACTACTGTACCTGTTACACAGGTGAGCTTCAGCTGGTGGAATGTGAACTCATAGAGGGAAGAAGCCGTGGCTCATTTCCCATGGCTCCAGCCTCTGCACTGTCATGGGCCAAGCCAGGCCTCAGAACATCTTCAGGAGTCTCACCTCCACCTCCTCCGGCCTAGTGCTTCATAACCTTGTGGATCTTCATTAGGAGGGAGCACACTGGGAGCATACACTTTGGTATTTTTGTGTCCCCAGAACTTAGCTCAAGACAGGTGATCAGTAAATGCTTGTAGAGTCCAATGATGCTGAACAGTCCAAGGCAGCTGGAGCTGAGAGACCTGGATAGTTCCCAGCACTACAAGATCACTCTAGGTGTTCAGTGCAGGGAATAACCTCATAGAAAGCATAGTCTCAGCTCTTCCAGGAAGTCATATATGAGGAGATTGGGTTGGAGGAGGGAGTATGAAGGTGGTACAAACAGCTATGTGCCATCACCAAAATCTAGGCAAGGAACAGGAAGAACCGGTGAGGTTGTAATTGACACAGAATGCACGTGGGTGCAGGATCTGACACCCTGTGTCACATGCTGATGCTACTACTGAGGCCAGCTGTGGGATCTCGAGGACATCATGGAGCCCCCCTGAAACACAACCAGCATTTCCCCCACCCCACTTTAAGCAGGAGTAAAGTCTAGAGCACAAAGCAGGTACTCAACTACTACCCCCTCGGCCTCTCTCCAGAGGGTGCCCAGGGAACCTAAGATGCAGGGAAACCTCTCCTGTTCCTTAGTCTCAAGCTCCCATTTTCCTCCAATCGTTTAACCTTGAACTTGGAGTCCATTCTCTGGGATGTATCTTATTGCTCATCAGAGAGAACCTAAACAGCTGTAAGTCAGTTACTGGGCACTTTGCACAAAGGTCGTTTGAATGCTGCCCTGGTGCCAGCTGTAACTCACAGCCAGCTCTTTAAATGGGTGGGAAACAAGCACTTAGGCTCCCTGATTCCTGCTCACTGCTCCTGCTCTGCCAGTTGGCTTTTTCTCAACTTTGCCTTCACATCTTGTCTCCTATTCCACCTTCCTGCCTAAGCCTCCCCTACCACTCAAAGCCAGTCAACCTCACCACTGAACCCCAACTCCAGACAAAGACGTTTGCCTGTGCTCAGATGTCATTTCCTTCATGAGGTCTTCCTGACTTTACACCATGATGGGTGGGATACCACCTACTCACATCTGCTTCCTGGAGCTTTGGTTACCTCTCGCGCCATCAGTCCCAGCCAGACTTGAGTGATCACAACCTGCATATGCTTGCCTGGGGGACCGACGGGGGACTCGGGGTGGAGTGGCGGGCTTCGGCCCCTCAGAAGAAGCCCTACAAGAACAGCACAGCCATTGCCAGTTCTCCAGAGCCTGCCTGGGGTGTGTCCAGTGGTCACTGTCTGCTTTCAGCACTTGCTGCCATTCCACAGGACCTGGCCTGGCCTCCCCTCACCTTCACTTTGGCCATACACAAGAGTCACAAGTCCCAGGACCCTCCTGGTTCTGCTAGCACCCCTCAGCCTACACTCTGCTCTTGACTTGTCAGGTGTGTCTCAGCTGTGCTGAGCGAGCTGTCCCTCTGACCATCTGGACTGCAAACTTCCTGAGGACAGAAGGCATTGTTTCATTCTTCATGTCCCACACAGAATTACTTCCACAACAGGAACAAAATAAACACACTCTCTACTTTTTTTTTTTTTAAAGCTGGTGGATGTGCCATGCGCACAGCCTAAGATCTTGGCTTGTATAAGATACATTATTTCTCATCTCCGAGTAAAGACATTTGGTTTTACACACATACATCACACATACTTCCCTTAATCTTCCCAGATATAACAGGTCTCATGAAAAACTATACAGAGAAGGCATATGCTTACCTGGACAAGCAGAAGGAGGTTTGTGTCTGGTAAAGGAGATTTGAGCTTTAGGGCCTGCAGAAGTTCTAGAACGACGCTACGAGACAAGTAGAATTTATCCCGTTCCTAAATGAAAGAAGACAGAGGAAGGTAAGTAATTTTGAAAGCCAATGAGAGGGGCCTGGGTGTAGTGCAACCTGCTAAGCCACTGCCCGTGACATTGACATCCCCTGTGAGGGCCAGCTGGGGTCTCAGCTGTTCCACAGCCGATCTAGATCCTTGCTAATGTGCCTGGGAAAGTACCAGAAGATGATTCAACTACTTGATTCTCTACTACCCAAGTGGGAAATGCAGATGGTGGCCTGGCCTAACCACAGCCATCCCAGCCATTTGGGGAGTGAATCTGTGAAATGGAAGATCTCTCACTGCTCTTCTCTCCCCTTCCCCTTCTGTCTCCATAACTCTGCCCTTCAAACAAACAAATAAATCTTTAAAAAATTCAATTAGAGTAGATCTGTCAAAAGACCTTCCAAAAGATCCACAGCTCAGAAATGAAAACTGTTTTAAAAATGCAGAATGGATTGTGCTGAAGAAGTAAAACACGAAGGCTAGAAAGATGAAAGGCACTTTGTGTTTGTGTAATGAGGTTCCTGAAGCATGGAGAACACATGATGTAACAGGAAAGGAAAAGCTACGTGATGTCTTCAGTACTGAAACCGCAGGGTTTGATCTCAATCACAGCAAGGGAGAGGGGTTCCAGAATCGTATCGGTCAAACAAATCTAACGGGGAAAGTGTTTTTTTAAACAGGACATTTCAGGAGCTCCTTCCTTAGTCACTATTATGAGTGGGGCTTATTATTTCATGTATGTTGTCACATTTTGCCTACAAAAGTCCGCCTCTATTGTAACATATGACTATTTTGCACTTTTAAACGTTCTGTAATGGCAGCATACTAAGCATACCACTGTGTAACAGGATTATTTGCCACATGCTATTTCTGAAATCACTGACACACATAGCTCTTGTCCTTTCAGCCTAACAGCTTAACAGAATTTTATATGAAATTATCAGAATTCATTCATCAGACCTCCTGTTGGGGACCACTGGATTAGGTTTAATTTTTTAAGTCTTTTTACTTGCATTGTCAAATATAACATGCACACAGGACAGCACAGAAAATATAAGTCAAAAGGACTGAGACAGACTGAACACTCGTGCAGTTACTGCATGGGCAGGCAGAGGCACAGAAGGGCCCTAGAGGCAAGCCCTCTGGGTTCTTTCTTGATCCTTTCATAACTGGGAAACCCAATCTCCATGGGTCTGCATCCACTGCTGATTTTCATTCATTATGTCTTGCCTCCTGTACTTCTGGCTATATTTGATTATGCCGTGGATTCTTTCTTAAAAACTGCTGGCAGGAGCTGGCATTGTGACATGAAAGATTAAGCTGCTGTTCGCAATGCTAGCACCCAATATCAATGTCACTTTAGGGCCCAAATGCCCCACTTCCCCTCCAGCTCCCTTCTAACACGCCCAGAAAAACAGCAGAAGATGGCTCAAGTACTGCAGCCCCTGCATTGTGGGAAAGCTTGAGGAAGCTCCTGGCTCCTATGCGATCCAGCCCTCGCCATTGTGGCCATTTGAACAGTGAACCAGTGGACGCAAGATCTTTCTCTAAGTCTGTCCCTTTCTCTCTGTAATTCTGCCTTTAAAAGAAATAAATGAATCTTTAAAGACTTTTTTTCGGAAATAATTTGAAGTCTGAAATGTTAACTTCCTTCACAGAACTTCTGGCTCATTTTTTGTCAGGTATGTCAGGTGTCATGGAGGTGATAAAAGACCAGTGTTACCTAATAAGACTGCGAGAAAACTACAGAAAGTTGGTGGAAAAAATGAAATTAAATGACAGGTTTATTTCGGTGCAAAAAAATTGAAACCCATGAACACAGGAGTTTTAAACAGTTCCTGGGAAATGCATATTATGAAAAAAAAAACTATGCACTGTGGCCAGTGTTGTGGCATAGCAAGTCAAACCAAAGACTACAACACAGGTATCCCTTGTGAGTGCTAGTTGCAACTCTGTCTGCTCCACTCTCTTTAAGATTTGCTTATTTTTATATGAAAGGCAGATTGAGAGAGAGAGAGAGAGGAGAGAGAGAGAGAGAGAGAGAGAGAGAGAGAGAGAGAGAGATTGATCCTGCCTCTGCTGGGTCACTCCGCAAATGACCACAATGGCCAGAGCTGAGCTGAAACTGAAGCCAGGAGCTTCTTCCAGTCTCCGTGCGGGTACAGGGACCCAAGGAATTGGGTCATGCTTTGCTGCTTTTCCAGGTTGTAAGCAGGGAGCTGGATGGAAATGGTGCATCCAGGAATAGAACTGGCACTCTTTTAGGATGTCAGTACTGCAGGTGGAGGATTAGTCTGGTAAGTCACCATGCCAGTCCCAAGCTGTTCCACTTTAATTCATTTACCTACTCATGGCCTGGAAAATAGTGGCCTGGCCCAGCCACAACCATGGCAACCATCTGGAGAGTGAATGGGAGGGTGAAAGATCTTAGTTTTTCTGCCTTTCTTTCTCTTTCTGTGACTTTGATTTCAAATAAACACATATTATAAAGATAAAAATAAAAAGTATGCATAGAAATTATTTTTTTGCATCAAAATTAATTTACCTTTTTAAGAAAAGAGTTTATTTATTTGAAAGACAGGGTGCCCAGAGAAAAGAGTTAGAGAACTTCCCATTCTCTACTGGCTGACTCTCCAGATGCCCACACCAGCCAGGCGGTACCAGGCTACAGCCAGAGGCCAGGAACTCCATCCAAACCTCTGACACAGGTGGCAGAGACCTGGGCACCTGAACCCACTGGCTGCTGCCTCCCAGTGTGTGTGTGGACAGGATGCGACCTCAATTCAAGGCACTCCACTGTGAAGTACAGGTGGTTTGACCCATTGCACCTGAACACCTGCTGCTGAACTCAGGTTTCACCACAAGCTCCATGCGCTCTTCTGCAGTTGCCTCATGCAGAACTGTATTATCCTGCCAAGGCCACTACGGGGTTCAGTGCTGAGCTCTGTCCATGTGAAGGCAAGTCTACCTCTGGACAGTCATGTGCTATCAGGGTTCCAACTCTCAGAGGATCCCACACCCTGATATTTGTCCCTCTAGCTTCATGGGTCTTCCATCATTACAGCTCAGCCTCTAAATCAAACCTTCCAGATTAACAGATACCCCCATAAGGGCCTTTGGTGCCAGGTGCACAACCTGCCTCCTTTGTGCTCTCCTGAATCCCAGCTGTGCAATTCTTCAGGTTCCAGTCCTGGTACCTTTGATTTCTTCTTCCTGTCTTGCTCACCTAAGCAACATCTCTAGCAACATGAGGATCAGAAATAGTAGCAATGGGCATCTGTGTCTTTTTTACGATTTTAGTGGAACTACTTTGGACATTTCACCATCAAATAGGATGCTTGCTAGAGGCTTCCAGTAGACCCCATTTAACAAGTTAGGAAGTTCCCTTCAAGGCCCAGCTTGGTAAGAGTATATGACAAATGGGTTATTATAAATAACTTTTTTCTTGCATCAGCCAAAATAGGATAAAAGCTTTTCCCCTTTAATCTAGTAAGATGGTGACTTTAATAGATGTTCTAGCATGGAAGCCATTTTCATATTTCAAGAAAATCCCTACTAGCTCATGAGGTTCTATTTTTAATGCATTGATTTGCTATTTCTCATTCGGGATTTCTGCATCTATGAAAGATATCAGCCTATAATTTTCTTTCCCCTGCTGCTCCAGTCTGGGTGGCATCAAGCTCTACTGGTCTCATAAAGGGAAAAGTTCAGAAAGAGCTTCCCTCATTTGTTTTCGTCAGCTTGTATAAAGTCAAGCTCAGTCTTTCCTCAAATGCTTTGTAGAAGCTGTCTCTACTGCTGGCACAGTGTTTAAGCATTGCTTTATAACCACTCATTCAATTTTTAATCAGTTTTTTCTTTCTTCTGATACATACGTGATTATCCTTAGAGTTCAAATATACTGGCATAAAGCTTTCATGTTTAGATTTTCAATTTGTATGTATTTATTTGAGAGACACAGAGAACGCCTCTATCTACTTGCCCACTCCCCTGCCTGAAACAGTCCTAACTGGGCCAGCCAACTCAGGGGCCAGGAACTCAAGTCTCACATGAGTGGCAGGAATCCGCCTAGTTGGTCAATCCCTGTTCCCTCCCAAGGGTCTTCATTAGCAGGAAGCTGGCATCAGGAGCCATATCTTGAGGCTAAACTCGGGCACTCTGACACAGGATGCCGGCCTCCTCTGTGGCAAGCTTACTGCCTGCTCACTTCCACTCTTCAGTATGCCTGCAGTTACATGCCCTTTCAGTGCTAATATTCTTATCAGTGCCTCTTGTCTTTTTTTTCCTCTCTTGAAATTTTAAAATTTATTTTCTTTTTATTTGTAAGGCATCGAGGCAAACACTGAAACAGACAGGGAGAAATCTTTCAAACATAGTTAAAAGCCGGCAATAGTCAGGGCTGGCTAGGCCCAAGTGAAGAACCCAGACTCAGGTTGGGTCTCTAACACGACTGACAAGGATTGAAGAATTTGTGCCACTACCTGCTGCCTTGCAGATGTGCATTGTGGGAAACTGGGAATGGAAGAGGGACAGGGACTCGAATTGTAGAACTCTGAGATGAGAGGCAGGTGTTGCCAAGTGATGTCTTGATCACTGGGCAAACGCCCAAACCCATCTTCTCGTCTTGATCAGTCTTCCCAAAGGTCTCTCTACGTGATTAATCAAAGAGTTGCCTTTGGGTTGCATTGAATCTCTACTGTATATGTTTTCTACTTCACTGGTTTCTGCTCTTGTTTTCATTATTTTATTCCTTTATATTTCCTTGTGATTATCCTGTTTTTCTAATAAGTTGATTGCTTAGCTCCTTTAGTTTTGTCTTTTCAAGAAAGTATTTTAAGGCAATAAATTTTCTTCTAAATACCTATGACTGCAGTTCCACACTTTAGCAGGTATTTTCATGAACTGCTTAGTTCTAAATACTTTTCTAAATTTTCACAATATTTCCTTTGATCTATGAATCACTTAAAAGTACATTTTGCAAGTCCCAGCAAAGCCTCAGACACCATTAGCTTGTACAGCACCTCTGACTGAAAAACAGAATGTGCACAGGTGCACACACGCTCACACAGGTGAATGTGCAATTGTCAAACCTGAACAACTCTAGGAGTTTTCAGGGCCCACTCCATGAGCGCATGCGCACTTCGCCCACACATTACACACATTACATCCTGCAGGTAGAGATTGCATCAAATCGGTGGGGAGACAGGGTTTGGATACCTGAGAATACAGGACAGTGAAGACGGTAGCCCGGCCACCGTCCCTGGGGTACAGCTGCGGTGGGCTTGGCCATGGAGCCTGAGTGTCCCCAGGGATGTTGCCTGCTGGTTCTTCTGTGTTCGCAAGGCCCTGTGAACTGGTGTGGCTTCACCTTTGTGTTAGGGCTGGAGGGGTGGGGACAGGTTGAGGGGAAGCTTCTTTCAGCTGCTCTAGAATTTAACCAGGAGGACACGAATCTCTGTGCTTGCCCCCATAGATTCAATAAAAGGTGTATGTCTGGGAAGCGAATGCTGCCCCCTAAATGAAGAGCCCTTGCTCAGTCCACCCTGGAACATTTACAAAAGTGGTGAAAGCACTTGATCTCTGTGGATTCAAGATTTTTTCATATGTCCATTGAGTCCAATTAATCTGTTGATAAAATTTACTGTAGCATTCATCACTTTTTATCTGCTTGATTTATCAATTACTGGAAGGGCTCTATTAAAATCTCCCACCATGACTGTTAATTTCCTATTCTATTTTTAAGCTTTATTTCTTATTTATTATTTGAAAGGCAGAGTTACAGAGGGAGGAGGCGAAATGGAGAATCTCTCATCCATTGATTCACTTCCCAGATGGCTGCAAGAGCCAGGTGGGTCAGGCTGATGCCAGGAGCCTGGGGATTCTTCTGGATCTTCCACATGGGTGCAGGGACCCCCGCACCTGTTTCCCCATACACTTTAGCGGGGATCTGGATTGGAAGTGGAGCAGCCTGGACTTGAACCAGACTGCAAGTGGGATGTTGGCGTCTTTAGGCAGAGGCTTGGCCTGTATGCCACAATGCCAGCTCCCAGCCTATCTGGAGGTTACATATTAGGTTCCACAAAGCTTTAAAATTGTCACCTTTTCCCTGGTGGACTGTCTATCTTATCAACAAAAATATGCCATGCCTTTCTTTATAATCATGCCTTTCAGCTTAAAGTCAGTTTGTTGACTTCAGATTTGATTTAATATTTGCCTGACACTTCTTTTTCACTCATTTTCTTTCAGGCTTTCCTAGTGTCTTCAGACATATTGAGATGCATCTGTTATCAACAATATGTGGTTTGAATTTTGCAGTGCAGCCTGGCAGTCCTAGTGAGTCCCATCAGCTGCCATGCACTGTGAGGACAGCTGCAGTTTGTTTTCTACCAGCTTACGCCTGTGGTAGTCTGTTCTGTGATTCCCTTCTTGTCTGCTGAATTTCTATTCCCATTTTACTCTAATTGTTTAGAATTTGCATTTCTGGCTTTTGGATTTTACACTCGAAATATATAGAAAATTCTCAAGACTATTACTTCTGTCCTTCCTGTGAACAATATATAGAATGCTTTAACTCTAATTCCTACCCCAACATATGCGCGCACACACACACACACAAACACACACTCATAAATCAGATTACTGTTATCTAGAATTTTAGTCTGATTTTGCTAACATTGTTACTTTGACTACTTAGATTTTCATATTTTATCCATTTCCTTGAGTATTCCTCCGTACATTTCACTCCACTCTTCTTGATTCAATTTCCTCCTTACTGAATCTTTTAGCATTTTTTTTTTCAGGAAGAATTTATTAGAAAATCTCTTATTTTCTGATAGCGTATTTATTTAGCCTTCACTCTTAAGGGATAGCTTAACTGACAGAGAATTCCAGAAAGCTGCTTATTTTATCATTTGAAGACCTTTTTTGGCATGATTTTCACAATTGTATCACGTGGTTGAGAAGTTTGTTGTCAATCTCTCTTTAGAGGAATTTGGCTGTTGGTTCCTCCTAAAACGTTGTCTTAGCTGTTCTGCCAAAGTGTTGCAGACTATTCTTGCAGGCCACGCGATGAGCAGGTAAAACATTAGTTTGTTTGTAATAGCTTTAGGAATCCATATGCTCCCTTAGATAATTGTTTTCATCAAATACAGAATAGACACAAAGTCTCTTGCGTTTCTCATATTTCTTTCTTTATGTATGATCTTTATGTTTTCGCTCTTTATTTCCCTTGACTGTATTCCCTTCTTCAAGTTTTTCAGTCTCAGCAACTCTTTCTTTGGTTGCATCTAACTTGCTATTTAACTGTTTCTCATGCCAGTCACTAGTTTTCATTTCTAGAATCTCTGCTTTGTTCAAATCTGGCTCTTTTTAGAAAATAATTAGATAGCCTGTGTTTTCTTTTATCTATTCCTCATGTGTTTATCATCTGAAGCATATTTTTGGAGTATCACACAGTTTTAGAATCTTGCTGTCTGCTGACCGCAGATGATCAGACAAGGGTCATGGTGGCTTAGTTTTTCTTTTATCATTTTCCATTGTGAGCTCCCGTTCAGTAGGATCCCAGCCATAGGAATGCTGCAGGATTCCCTCCAGCGCTATCTGAGGATGGAGTTTGAGATTGCTTCTGCCAGACGTTGCAGGACTGACACGTGCCTAGTCTTGGTAGTACTTGGCTTTTCAGCTTGGTGCCTTCCAGAACATGCTGGTGGTATTTTAAATTCAAACTCTAAACCTATTAAAAGATAAACCCACGTCTGCTAATTAACGAGAGACTACAAATCTCTCTTCCAGTTTGCAGAGAGAGATAGATACCACTCCTTGTCACTTTCACAAAAGAATCTGTTCTTTCCTTTCCAAAGCATCTTTTTTTTTTTTTTTTTTTTTTTTTTTTTTTTACCAAGTGCCCTTTTGAGGGCTCTGAATTTCTACAGGGGATGACTCAGTTCCACTCCCACCCTGGAAGAGTTCCAAAATTGATCCATTTTCCTTGTGTGGGGGCTTAAAATCTCAAGCCACTAAGTCTCCAAGACAAGAAACACTTATGCAATTCCCTCTTCATTTTCACCTCCATTCATTCTTACAAAATTAGGTGCACATGTGTAAAGTCGTGTCTACTCTGTTTTACCTAGCACCTTGAAATGGGACACATTTCAGATCACCTTTACCGTCACGCTGCAGGGAAGACATCTAAGCTCTTACCTTCCCAAGTCTTTGGATTATATCTGGGAGAAGGCTCAATTAGATACTGATACTTTAAAACCATTTCTTATGGTTTCTCATTAATTATGAAGAAGATCGGACCATCATGGATGGAGTCTTTTTAACACCTTGTGTTGAAAAAAAAAAAGGAAGGAAGGCAGATGACAATGGAAAGTGAAAGGATATTAATGTGAAGATAGGCTAATAGCAGGATGTGTTTCATAATGAGTATTTTGAATTCAGAATGTTAGAAGACCCCCTATAATCGATCCCTACATTGTACAACATGCAAAATACAATTCATTGGGTTTCTTCTTCCAAAAATAAACATACTGTATTTGGTGTTATTACACCTTTCTCTTTTTAATTAAGAAAAAGGTATAGGTGTGGAGAAGTTATTTTTCAAGAAGAATTTTAGCAGTGAAAACTGAAGATTACCACGGTGTTAGGAAACCAATGCTACAGGTACACTATCAGATACTTTATCATCAGAAAGACCAAAAAATGAGATCAGGCATGGCGTTTACCATGGCAGAACAGACACAAGCTGGCAAGAAAGGAGATGAGGGTGTCTTGAGCAGAATGAAAACCTTAGTCTATCATCGGGTTTATTATGAGAAAAACAAAGGGATGGATGTGAACAACGTGAGTAAAAGCGCTTTCTGCATGTTCAAGTGAGAACAGGGACACAGATCCTACTGAAAACAGGAAGGCTTGGCCTTTGGAAAGCTGACATTTGCATAACTGTTCTTAAGACAGAAACGCAGTTTGCCTGCCCTCCCCTGCCCATCAGTTCCATACAGGCTGCAGCCCTTAGGCAAGCAGCACTTGTCCATTTTCTCAGTCGTGGGGAAGGGGGTGCTGGAAATAATGCAATAGAGAAACCATTATTACAGCAACATGGCAAAGGATAAGATGCTAACTTCAGAGGCCAGAGACCCAGAAATGGGGAGACAGATGGATGATGAGAATTAAGGAACTGAAATGTCAAGCCCAGAGTCCTCTACTTCGGATGGAAAAGGATGTGGAGTGATGTCTTACCTGTGAATAACGGGTGAGGAGTTTGAGAAGGAGCCACAGAGGTCATTCATATCACAAACATTTCATTCAAATGACCTTACCTCTTCTAAACCACATGACCCTCAACTCTCTGCATTCGTGTATTTCTGGCAGTTCATGCATGGATGTGTAAAGCGTTTTCTCCAGTTGTATTCACTAAACCCCAGAGCTGCTCACTGTAAAACTACATTAACTAACCCGACGGGGACTTGGCACTGATTGGAAAGGTTATGAGCTCTGCTAGTTCTGCTAGTTCTCAGAACACACGTGAGAACGTACCTTAGTGAAGGCTCGGTAGCACAAGCCGCACAGCTCCACCAGGTAGGCCAACGTGAAGACAGCATTCTGGATTACGAAGCTGAGCAGTTTTGAAAATGGCTCCAACAAACTCTGCAGAGAGAGGAGGGCCAGGAAACATCAACCGCTGCATTCTTTCATCCCAAACAAAAGTTAATATCTCCCAATCTTTAATGACGGAATCATTCTTTTCTAAAACGAAAAACCTCTTACCAGGTGACTCTTGTAGCAACTCTGTTGCTCTACTAGACCCTGAGTTGCATCTACAACAAATGGCTCCAAGAACTCAGTCATCGTATTGCTCAAAAATTAGCCCACGCTGCCTGTGGCATCATTCACAAACCCACCTAGACTATTGTCCTAAGTCAGTGTCCACTAAAGCCTTCAGAACTCTGGGAGGTTTGCACCAGATCTTCTGGTCAGTGTCTTAGCACCCAGGGGCATCTGTGTATCACTTTGGGGTCTTCTAGAAGTCTGTCTTCTTAGTGATGTCATGCAAAACATCCTCATATTTCTGAAGTACCATTGGCTTAGAGAAAATCCATGGGCAGCCCCAGCTTCCTGCTGATTCATACCAGGAAGGCACCACCCACTGGGGTTTCTCCATCAGAACTCCACCCATAAAGGGTCCGCTGTAGCTCCACATCCTCTCTTCAGGCATTTAGAAATATCCTACTGAGTGTCAGGCAGAGCAAGGTGCTTTTTCACAGCTGATCTCACTCAAGTCTCTTTGTGTCCTGGGAGACCACATATTTACCTATTGACACAGCTCTAGAATCTAACACAAATGTTTTATACTCTAACTCTAGGACCCTGAATAAATGACTTCCGAATTTTTAAAACTGACTTTAATTTTATTTGAAAGGCAAAGAAGATAGACAGATGGAATAATCTTCCACCTTCCAGTTCATTCCTCAGATGCCTGCAACAGCCATATTTACACCAGGCCAAAGCCAGGGAGCCCAGAGCTGGTATGTCTTCTGTGTGGATGGCAGAGGCCCAAGCCCTTGAGTCACCAACTGCTGCACCCTAGGGCGCACACTAGCCGGAAGTAGGATCAGAAGCAGAGTAGCCTGGCTTGAATCAAACATTCGGATGAGAGATGCAGGATCCTAAGCTGTGGCATCATCCCTGTGCCAAATGCACAACCCTGAAGAAATGCTTGAATGGCTCTGAGATGTAGTTTTCTCCTCTGTGATAACATGCCTTAGTCATGGCCTCATTTTAATAAACCTTTATTAGGATGGTGAGAATGAAAGGACATGGTTATTTGTGTAGAACACATGGCAACAGCGACCTTCATCACAAACCCCAACAACCAGCTTGTTATGTAACCTCGCCTGAGGCCATAAAGCTATGCAATGAAAATCAAATCCAAGTTCTAGGGCAATTTTTCAGAGGTACAATTGCTATGTAGAGAAGACAGGATTTTGTCTGGACACCAAAGAAGTCCATGCCTTAATTCCATGACTTCTAACCTTGCTAGGCCTCACTGTCCAGATTATAAAAGTGAGACATGTTCAGTGAGCAAATTCAATCATGGAGGAAAGTAAAGGTGAGGAAATAAATCATTCGCCGTCTCATCACCAAGCGGTAACACTGTGCATGGTACTTCACTGTACGCCAGTTTACTTAACTCAAACCTTAAACATATGCTGGTTTATTTTTTGTTAACAATATAGCATAAAAAATTTCCAGTGCTGTAGAAGTCACATTTAATATAAATACCACCTAAGTACATCCATTTTTGCACGAGATTTTCATGTTCTCCCTTTCAATAAATTCTCAGGAAAGGAACCATGAGAGCAACAGAAATAAGCATTTTTGAGATTCTTTCTGCCTACTGACACAAAAACCAGTTCATTACATGTTAGTTAACCCTGATAAAAATTATTTTACTTATTTGCATTCCCCACACAAGCCCATGTAATGCTTATCATATGAAAAATCTTAAAGAAAATCTTTGAAATCACATTATTAATTCATTCTGTTTGCTCTGTGTGGATGACTCTCCTTAAAACACTGACATGAACTGGGTATGGCCTTGGTCACACACTCACATTATGCATCCTTGATAGTCAAGAAGAGAACACTGGAGGGAAGCCTGAATGGAAGTCCCAGAATGGGGCAATGTGGTACAATACACCGGCCAAGTTTGGTCTCAAAAGACTCATGTGCAAATCTATTTTCTACCAACCAGCTATGTGAGTAGGCCAAAATACCTCATTTTCTGAGCCTGTTTCTTATTTGTAAGCGAACACATGAACCAGATGATCTCTTGGCAACTTTCTGACATAAACTCGAGTCTATGAAACCACAGTGAAGGTAAACAGGTTCAGAAGACACGTGATGTTGATATACTAACTAGTAATCACCAACTACTGGAATACAAGCGATTGCTCTGCTGAAGGTCATGCAGCCCAGAAATGTAGCCAGGAACAAAAAGTGAATGAGACACTGTCCTGATTTCCTGATAACACTTTCCAAGGAAAGACTGTGTGCAATGCAAGTGCCAACATAGAGAGGTCTATCAGGTATTCTGAGAGCTGATATGCAAGAACGTTAGTACAAATGATCTAAGCATTGTTTCCATTGCACCTCCAAGAATGAAAAGTTCATCAGAGGAAACAGTTTAAGCAAAGACAAAGAGACATGGGCCCAAATAAGAACATTAGTGAAAATTACTAAGCACAACAAATGGTGGTGGCTGTTTTGATGACAATAACAGCAATTTTGAAAGGATGGAGGAGACATGGAAAATGGGAGACATAATGAAATATTAAATTGGCGAGATATGAAGCAACTTCTTGTATGCCAGACTAAGGAATCTGGAGATTATCCTAAAAGAAATGAGAAGTTAAAAAAATATTTTTAAGCAAGGAACCAGTACAATGAGATCCATGTTGAGAAAGACCATTTTCTGGACCTGACATTGTAGTGTAGCAAGTGAGTGCCAATTTGTGTTCTGGCTGTTTTACTTCTGATCCAGTTCCCTGTTAATGGCCTTGTGAAATCAGTGGAAAATGGCCCAAGTGCTCAGGTCCTTGCAGCCCAATGTTGAGCCTGTCTCAGCACTGAAGCCATTTGTGGCGTGACCCAGCAGATAGAAAATTCTCTGTGTGTGCAGCTCTTTCAAATAAATAAATCATTTGAAAAAAAAAAGATTCTTTTCTTGACAATATGAAGATTGGATTGATGGGCATGGGCCAGAACTTGGAGATCCAATTACATACAGCAATATTGTGATGTCCTAGCGTTCTTTATGTTAGACATTGGCCTTGCAGGAGCAGAGGCAAGTATGCCAAAAAAAAGGCCTAACTTGTCTTCAGTGCTGCCTATTTTCAGATCAAACAATAACTGAATAACCAGTTGGTTGCTTTTCTGAACATACATACCCTGGTGGCATTGGTAGAGGGTATCTTCAAGAGGCAAATCATAATTCTCAAACTGGAATCTAAAGAACACTGTGAACAAATATGAAAGAGCAGAAGTCAGTACCTTCTTAATATATCTTCTACTTCAAATAGTTTCCTTAAGCATTTGTTAGCAAAAAGAAACAGCTGAAATATAGCTGCCTCTATAACGTGTCCCATGCCACACATTCAAAGTGATAAGAAATCATTCTCAGGTTTAAAATGTTTAGTTAAACAATATTACTGAACATTGTACTTGAATATCTGTAGCTGTATGCAGAAAGTTCTTTAAAGCAGACTAAGCTGGTGTTCTGCAAACAGAACCCCTAGAGCAGAGTGCCTCTCTTCCCTGGAAACCCAGTGGAATGCAAACCCTGAGGATCCACTCCTCTGAATCAGGGACTCCTAGATCAGCACCAGTCACCCACATTCTACCAAGTCCTTCGGGGACATGGATGACGCACACTCAAGGCTGGGATACGTTTCTCCATGAGAAGTATAAAAACCGCACACGGTGTATCAACGGTAACATTTTCCCCCAGAGATTAAAGACAAAGGCAGGTGCCAAGGTTGTGGATTCAGGTGCTGCTTGGGATTGCCACAACCCACACTGGAGTACTTGGCTGACTTCTACCCACCCCACACTTTCGATCCCACTGCTGTGCCTGGCTGGCAGCAGATGATGGCCCAGGTTCCTAGCCCCTGCCACCCAGGTGGAGACCCGGATGGAATTCCTAACTCTTGGTTTCAGTCTGGCCAGGCATCACTCTGTGTTGCAGGCATTTGTGGAGTGAACAGTGGACAGAAGATCTCCCTCTCTCTCAACTCTTCTTCTTTTAAACAAATAGACAAATGTTTTAAAAAGAAGGCAGAAGCTGATTATAGCCAATGCCCAGATCTGACCTCGCAGGTCCAATTCCTACAGAAATTCTGAAAATATTTGACAAGTATCTTCTAAGGAAAGCACCGGTCCATTTAATCTGCTCAGTAGCCATGGGAGCTGATGTGACATTTACCCTGATTCAAGACAAGGGCTGAATACTGGCTGTCTCCCATAGTGATTGAAAAATCAGGAAATGTTATCTTAGAAAGAATGGGAAGGTGGGCAACATAAGACCTGTGTTCCCTTGTGACGACATCAGCAGGTGACGGACAGCACACAACCTCCTCCCTGGAGTGGGAAACCTTTGTGCCAAAGGCCACTTGAATGGTTATAACATCATTTATGGGCCACAGAAAATAATCAACCGAAAAGCACTTGCCATAGCTGTGCTGAGTTTTGAGTGCCCCCTATGCATCCCTTGGCAGGGGAGACCTAGTATACTGGACACCCCCCACGCCTGTCACAGAAGGACAGGGGCCACCCAATTCTCAAGAGTCATTTTCCTAATTATCTGATCTCTTTCCACTTCATGAATCAATCTTGCTGACAAGGTCCCTATGGGCAGGGCTGACTGTCACCAATTAGGCACACTAGTTGCTTACGGCTAGTAACATCCCCGACTGGTCAGTGTTCACGTGAAATATGTTGACTGTCACACATGCATGTGGGCATTTGCCCTACTTGTTCCTGTGCCTTCTCTCACCAGGGATGGCTCTCTGGCTCTATGAAAAATGGCCACGTGAAAATGTGTGCGATGCCCGGTCCTTGTGCAGTAGCTCTAAGAGGGATCTTTGAAAAGCTCATAGTTATGAAAAGACTGTGTGTGGATTTCAGTCCTTCTGCACCATGATAAACTAATCCCTCCTCTTGAAAGTGTTTACCGATTTAAGAGGTAGCAGAAGGGACACAACTCCAATCTACTGCTTCACACTCAAAATCCCCAGCCAGGCTGGAGCCAGGACAGAAGAAAGCCAGGTGCTAGCAGCTCAACCCCATTTAACCATCACCTGCTGCCTCCCATGGCTGATCTTCTCACTGCCACCACCGAGCTCTTTCAGTCACACCACCTCTCTGAATTTGCAGTCCTTTGTCTGGGAACTGGGGAGCCTGGGAAGGAGTTTTACACTGCCCTTCCCCCGCCAAGCAGAGTACCTTTCTGATCTTGCATTGAACTTGCTTGTATGGATAATGATGGTTAGGTCACCAGTCTCCCAGCAGGTAAGGAAGTATGGTTGTGATGGTATGATGTTGGGGGTAGGGTAATCAAAGAGAACATGCCTTCCATGAGCACATAAGCAGAGCCATCTCTTACATAATTCTCTAAAATTGTCTTTCTTTCCTACGTCAGCTCCTTCTAGACAAAACTATTTAGCTATTTACTTAACATCCACCTGAGAAAAATTTCTACATTTAAAAAAAATTTCACTACCATCTCTCTGACGTGTTAAAACACCCAACCCCTAAGTCTAGTCACGATTAGTGAACATAACGGCCAGTCTGCCTTGGAAAGAACAACCCAGAAAACTCTCATGCGGTAGAGGATTCGGGTCCCTTCAAGTCCTGGGTGATAGGTTTAATGCCCTCTCGAGATTCTGTTTCTCTCACTGCTCTCTGTAGGCAGAAGGTCCACAAGGGTCAGAGGTGAAGAGAGGTCCTGCTGTCAGCTCACCTTCAGAGGTAAAACGCAAGGCAGCTTGGCGAAGAACGTCTGGAACTGGTTGCTGATTGTAGTCCAGAGGCTACTGGGAGAATCCATGGGCAAAGCTTCCATGAAAGTAGCCATGTTTTCCAAACAGCGTATCATAGCACCCCCTGCTGGTAAATTCTTTTTGTTATTTAGACCCTAAAAACAAAAGCATAGGCAGTCAACTGCTGAAACTGCGTGGAAGTTCATAACAGCTATTGGGCGAGCAGCATTTGGAAAATGACATATTCACGCTAAAAACATGGGTTTGAGTTCCTGCTCAACAATCATTGCAAAAGCAAGGAGGACTACACAACGAACGAGTCCAGATGAGCTGAAGAGGGAGTGTGGGTGCTCTTTAAACTTAGTGAGAGGTGGAAAGTGAGTGAGACCTATGACACATCTTCCAAGGACAGGTGTCCAGACACTAGGGAGGCACAACAAATGATGCTTGCTGGGAAGGATGCCCAGGGCACCCATGGGGTGCAAGAATGACAGAAACAGCAGCTTTTCTTCCTAGCCACTGGTACTGGCTAACAGAGAGGACTAACACATAGTGAGCTTGTCTGGACTTCAGGTCCCGAGATGTAGTGTGTGCTACTGCTCAACGCACCACTCCACACTTCAAGGGCCGGACGATACCAGGAGGCCAGTACGAAGCTACAGCCCACCACTTAGCTGAGGACGGCAAGCAGCTTTAAATCAAGGGCTGGGAACCTGCTTCCTGCCAAGGGCCATTTGGATATTTATAAGATGTTCAACTTAAACATCTGCCTGATATAGATTTATTGAATTTCAATCCCACCTACAGTTGCCTTAGCAGGGCCAGACCAAATGATTTCATAAGCCGTGAGTAAGACTTCCCTGAACTCTGCTTTAACAACATAGTAAATCCGTGTAATATTTACTTAATTTTTAAATTAAGTGACTTTGCCTTCCTTCCTCAGCAGAAAAGCACACAGAGCTGAGAGCAGCATGAAAGCAAAGCTACCTCCAAGAGCTGGCTGAGAGCGGCGATGGAGCTCAACTCATTGAAATCCATCAAAGACGTGGCCAGGGTTCGTAAAAACGTCCCATCTGAAAAAGCCAACGACTGGGTTTAGTGGTGTTGGGGACCCAGGAGGTCTGTGGGGTCTGGATCCTCGACGGGTCAGTTACCTCTGATCGTGCTCTGGAACAGCTGCGGGAAGATGCCGTTGGGTGCCAGCTGATGGAAGATACAGCGCAGGAACTGCTTGGCCACCCCTGCTGCATTGCCTGGGACCATCATGCTGGAATGGGACAAAGGAAAATGGGATGAGGGCCACGCACTTAGCCATTACTTTCTTCATCTACAGTTCAGGCATTTATACATCAGCCCTTCCGGGGAGCAGTTTGTTGCATTTTTGTCTGTAAGACAAACTGTTTCAATCAGACCTTACCCACCCACGTTAACAGTATTGGGAAGAGAAGACGGACATGTCTGAGTACTTCTGGGCTTATTCTAGGCCCCTGAAGGAGCAGAGGAGGGATCTGAGGCCCAGAGAAGAAAGCCATGTTCCTAGTAATGGCAGAGGCAGGACCAGAACTCTGGCTGCAGGATGGACAGCAAGACCTACGCAGGCAAGTGGCACGGGCTCCAAGAGAGCAACCCCGAGGCACGATGCAGGGGGGGAGACTGGTCACTCCCACTGCAAGACTGGAGAGTTATCCTGGTGCATCCAAGCTGGGATTTGTCTAAAGGACACGGCTTCAAAGGCACTACTTCCCCTTCACCCACTGTCCACTTCTGTATGTCAAAAAGGGAAGCCTAAAGAAGTTTCTGGGACCCTGTTCCCTAGAATTAGGTTTCAGAGATGATTCAGGGACCAGGTGAGTAGAACAAAGAAAGAAGAAATCAACGAGTCCAGTGGATGAAGGATAAAAAGGCTCACTTTCCTAAAATGAATCCAGTTATGGCCCCACCATGTCATGCCTACCCTGAAATGTTGGTCCAAACTTTTAGGTCAAAAGTGATCTTCAGGAAAAAGATTAGACCAAATGTAACATACTTAACACACGCCACGGTAGCTATCACTAACAGTGAAGTATTGTTCACTGAAATTTGCTGAGACAAGAGAAGGCCACCAGGTGAGGTTATGGGAATGAAAAGGTTATGCCTAAGTCCCGTCACCTTACATATAGGGCACCTACAAAGCTAAAACTGTATAATAAATATCCTGCTGATGGTCACTGTGAAATAAATGAAAGTACTGCATCACTGAAATATTCACACAATTAAAACACTGGGATTTCATGGGCTGGCTTGACCATAGCAGTCAATTCACAAGAAGACATGCATATCAAAATACCATGCTGCGTGTATTAAATATTGACAATTTTTATTTGTCAAGCATACCCCAATAAATATGGAAAAAATAAATGACCATATGCAAAAACCGAACTTAGGTTAAGTATAAGTATTTTGGGGGTAAGTGTGTTGACATCTGAGATTTACACTGAAATGCATCCCAACCAAGACAAAACAGACTGTGGAGATACGGTTGTGCATATGATTAAGCAAATAAGATGCTCACTGTTGGATGTAGGTAATAGGTGTGTAAAAACAGTATGCCTAAAAAGGTTAATCATGTAAAAAATCTAAAAGAAAAATGCTTATAAAATTCTGTGTTGGAACAGGGCAAGAGAAAGGAAAGCAGACACTCTCAACCCAGAAGCTGTAGGAATCCAGTCCTGACAACAGTGCCTCACACCTGCAGGAGTGATTAGAAATACACTCACTCACACACTATCCCTTGTACTTCATGGAACAGACTACTGTCCTCACACAGGTAACAGCAACCAGTGGACCCAAAGTAACACCTACATCCGTCCTCACACACACACACACACTCATGCACAAAAATCACATCATTTTTTAGTGTGCTCCAACTACCACCAGAAGGAAGTTCTTGCACACTCGGGTAAGCCCAGGTCGTTAAGAGTGTGCGGCTCTGTGCTGTGGCCACCCTGGCGCTGTCACAGCTCCCTGCGTGCTAGGTGCCTCACCGCCGCGGGTGTCTTACACTGACTGTTACACAACTTCTGGCGTAGTGAAGCTCAGCTCATGATTTCAGCTCTTGTTTGAAATCTATCACTTCTTAAGGAAAGTCCTTCCCTCCTTCCTCGCCACCCAGAAGAGACCATGGTATCAGCTCTGCTCTAGGCTTGTCCATCTCTGTAAATAGAACACTCGGCCAGCTTGCAAACCACTCTCGCCTCTGTAACTCCTGCCCTTTTATCAGCAAATCCTGCTGGCTTGACAAACCTTCTCTCTACCTGAAATCAGATCGCTACCATCGTCCACCTGGAGGGGATCTCCAAACTGGTTTTCCGGCTTCGACTCTTACCCACCAAGACTTATTTTAGGATCACGAGCCAGAATAACCCTTTCATTTGATTTGGTTTTAAATTTCCCCTTTGAAAAACTGCAATGCTATTCTGATAAGAACACTTGCTTGAGAACTGGCCTCTCAACAGCATCTTCAGGGAACCATGCATCACTGTTGGTTACAGGTGCAAGGCTGGAGAGAGCCGCTCAAGTGAAACCACGCCTCTTCCCTGGCAACTCCCCTTCTCCCTCCCCCAGGTTCCAGCACCCCGTGTTTCTCTGTCATCCTATGAATTCAAAAGAATGGGCCTCCGAAACACAGGGCAAAGGGTGTCACTGCTCCTGGCCTCAGCGACAACCTTCTTCACTCAGTAAAAGCTGAACTCCCTCCAATGACCGACAGGGCACTTACTACCTGGCTGCCTCCCCGTTCCCTGGTCCAGCCTGGCTCCTACCATCCTTGGGCATGCTCCTTCCTTCCCAGCATTTTCCTGACATTAAGGCACTGGATTTGCTCTGTCTGGAATGTTCTCTCTCTAAACTGCTGCCTAGATGGCTTGTTCATTTCACCCAAGTTTATTCAAATACTTCCTCAGAGAGAACTGTCCTTGATCATGACCTCTAAAATACTACCTGCAGTCACGATCTGTGATCTAGACTTACTTGGGTAATTTCCATAGCATTTAGCAGTAAAATAATATTAAATGGCAGATTTCTTGGTGGCTAACTTGCTTATTTCTGCTTTCCTAAGTTCCACCACAGCCAGACTGTGCTGCTTCGTCAACCACAGCACCCTTCATCCTCAGCTGTCTCTATACTTGTCTTTCACAGCACTTGGCACAGTTGACAAAGGCAAGTGAGGACAATGATTTTATCTGTGTTTGCCTCCCTGGGAGCCTGTAAACCCACCAGGGTAAGCATACAATTCTGTCACCAATTAAAACCCAAGCATCTTGCAGAAGACGGACATCAACGTGTCTGTTGACTGAAATGAGAGAACGAATAAAGGTGTGAACAGCAAATGGACAATCAGTACTCTCTGGGGCAGCAGCTGGGACCCCCGCTGGTCCTTGCCAGGGGTGAACTGGTCACAGAATGAACGTGCACAGGGGACAGAGCAAGTGAACCTGGGCTCACGTGAGGCCTTACCTTTCTGCCTGATTGGAGAAAGTGGTGCTGGATGCCAACCTAGGAGAGAAAGGAAACAGAGTCACATGATGGCCAAGGCTGCCGTGAGGCGGGACGAGTGTCCTGGTGGGGCCTGCTGCCGCTCGGTGATCCGTGGAAGAGAGGCTAAGGGGCTTCAGAAAGCGGTAGGATGAACAAAACTGTGCAGTTTTTTGGGAGCAAACTAATCTTTGAATCCTCTTTTTCTGTAAACTTTTTGAAGCTCCCTTCTGTGGCCACATAGAGGATATTTTTGAATAGCGATGGGGGCCCACTCAGAGCTCACTCTCTTGGGACACAAATAATCTGTTTTTTGTGTCAAGTCAGGTATTTCCTCAGACAGGCTCTCAGCCAAACTTTTTTCTATCAAACAACCCATCAACAAAATGATCTCCACAGCAGGTGAGTAGATATACCAAGGCAAACCTGACCTAAACTGTCCCCATTTTAACTCAACTAAAATTCATTGCTTGGTGTCCAATAAATCTAACTATAATGAAGCACAAATGTTAAAAAAAAAAAAACCTCTATTATCATAGGATACAGAATAGATAATAGAATAGATAACAGATAACTGTTGAATTAATATGATAAGCAAGAAAACCTATTCTACTGATAAATAGATTTTAAGTAATTAATAAATGATATGTAATTTTGACAAGCTTATGGGACTGGGTGCATCGAAATAGTCTATATGTCATCATATCAAAAGGAAATGTCCTAACTTGGATATGAAAGGCTGCAGCTAGAAAAGGGAACAGGGGTAGTTTAAGAGGCATCTAAGTTTAAAGCAAATTACCAAATCACATGGAAAGGCTTCGGTGATAAAAGAGGGTCACGTTGAGCTTCTGCACGCACAGAACACCCTGGGAATGGATGGAGCCCGCGGTCACCTGCACGAGTGGACAGTCAGCCCCTGTTCCCATGGTGTAACTGAGGTACGCAGGGAAGCCCTGGCATGACAGCTGAGTCTCACCTTGGAAGCTCCCGTGATCACCCTGGGCTGCTGAGGACTGCGGCGGTAAGAGTGCTCGCCCTGCCTCTTACCAGCCTGCCCCAGGAGGCAGACTTCAATACATGTACATGTAAACATGTTGTTCGCATCTGTTACTGTTTTTCCCTTGTTTTCTTCAAAGCTCATGTGCTTCCAGCCTGAGTGCTGGCAACGTTTGGAGAAGGATTATCTTTGTTTATGCTAAAATAAAAACAAACCCCTCCATGTATCTGTTACAACTCAGAGCAGCTGCTTCATGAAGATGGTAACAGACCTAGACAATAACTCTTTCTTGTCTAAAAGGAGAAACTCTCATAGCAGAAATGAGACCTGACATCAATTAAAAACTCCCAATTGCACCAGTATTGCTGATAGCGGATACATTGTTTACTCCACAATTATTGTGATTAGTTTGAAATCAAGGACCTAAATGAAAATTCCATCTTTTCTTCTCTCTCTGTATCTCCATATTCATTATTTCTTTCACACACTGGCTGTTATAAAGTCTAGAGTTGGAATAGTTAGGCTTAACTCACCACTATCTCTGGCACTAGAACTTCTGAGTGTGCTACCCCCAAAAAACGTGGGAAGAGAGGTGAAAGGATCATACATTCATGAGGGCTTTTTAATGCTTTGCTATCTGTCTTTAAAATAAAGATTTTTTAATTAAAAATATTATATTCAACCTTCATTAAAATCCTCTTTGCCCTTCTTCAGAGGCCAGGAATTTGCAAATCCCTGTTGTTGTTGTGCTGCCTCTTGTACCTCACCTCTTCCATCCTGAATTCCCACCGTTGCCCTAAGTCACACCTATCCTAGATGGCTTCTCAGACAGGACTCTTCAACACCAGGCTACAAATATCCAGAGGGCTCGAGCCAGGACTTAGGGCCTGTGGCCCTGGGCTAGCACCACCAGCAAACTTCACGGATTCACAGAGGATTTAATCCAGTCCTCCCTTCCACATTGAGTTCAGTTCTCGGATTAGGACTGCATTCACATTGGTGAGATACATCATTTATCATCTACTGTCTGTCTGCCAAAGGAAATTTTCATAATGTGCACACTCTCAGAGCAGCCGAGCCTCACCTTCCCTCATCGGGCTGATGGCCTGGTGTCCTTCCTTCTTGTGAGTCAGAAATGTGAAGCTGCTCTCACTCTACACTTATTCTCCCACATACCAATGCCACAAGCTGCAGGGTTACTCGGCGAATCCATCTCAAAATTCAAAGAGATGATAACAATACCAGCAGTAACAATAATGAGAATGATAGTGGTGGATCCTTGCAGTGCCTCCTACGAACCACTGATAGTGCTGCACTGTCAGCTCAAGCTCACGGAGTAACATACTGTGATAAATGAGGGTTTTCTATCACAAGAGCAGCTTCCTCTACTTTTGCTCTGATGTTGTGACTTGACCCTACAATGCTGAGGAACCCAGTCAAAAGAGCAGTTCATCCAGTTTTTAACACTAGTCTGGGTTAACCCCTAGACAGCAAGCATCTGAAGCGTTACAAAACACTTCACTGCAGAACCATAGTTCTTATTTCAACAAGTAGCTTGCAGCAGGCTCCCCTCACCCAACAGAACAGAAGCTGACATTCCCCACCTTCCTACAGACTGCATGATGTCCAGCAACAGCGGGGCTGCCAAGTCTGGACTTAGGTGAATGAACGTGGAGAGGACCACAATGGCCAGCCCCAGTGTTTCTTCATCATATTCTTCTAGAATGGCCCCACAGTCATGGCATCTGCAAAGAAGAAAGAGAAATTATCTCCAAGCACACCAACCACAGTTTCAGATACTCTCCACAGCTCTTTCTGGCGAGCCTTGGAGAAGTCCTCACATGGAGGAAGGAGACTGCCTAGCACTACCACCACAGACACAAAAAGAACACACAGCAGCCACGGCAAGGGCTCCTTTGACAACCAGAGAGATTGTTCCGCTCACAAGCATCTGGCCCGTGCACAAATTATTGCCAAATTAATGCCAAGGCCCTAGGGTAAAGGGCCACCAGGTAAAGTGCAGTCTGAAGTGCCAGCATTCTATATGGGCTCTACTTTATGTTACAGCTGGTCCACTTCCCGTCCAGTGCCTGCTGGTGGCCTGGGAAGAGGAGCAGAATCTAGTTCATGTGTTTGGGACCCTACACCCATGTAGAAGTCACAGGTAAGGCTCCTGAGTCAGCCTCGGCCACTGTGGCCATCTGGGAAATGAACCAGCAGTTGGAAGATTTTTTTTTCTCTCTCTCACTTAGACTTTCAAACAAGTAAATAAATCTTTAAAAATAAGATGAATGAGTGCCGTTTGAATTAATAGTTGAAGCTTCCAGTTGAGAGCTCAGATGCATGTCAAATTATTGTAATCAATAACTATATCTATTTTTATTTGTCAAAATTTTAAAAGATGTCTAAACATGAATAGAAACTTTCAAAAAAGTGTCCTATTTATAAGATGAATCTCAAGAGATGAATACATTAGAAGCCTGCAGAGTCCACAATTCATCATGAACTCATCAGGCCTGTAGGATAAAATATGCAAGAAACCATAAGCAATGGCCACCTGGTCCTCAGGTTTGCATAATTTGGGGTTCTTCCCACATGTCCTCAATGTGGTTTCCCTTAACTGAACTCAGTCACAGCTAGCCTGACATGGTGAGCAATTTACAAAGCAAATAGGAAAGCTCCAGAGAACAGCAAGGCAACCAGAGGCCCTATCACGATTGTGATCCTTCCATCTGAACCCATCCTAAACCAAAGCCGAAAAACACACACTGCTCACAGTGGGACTTTTAACATAGAGGAGAGAAATGGAGCACACACAAAAATCGACCGGCATGGCAACTAAGAGTGCCTGGACCTGGAGGATGGGGCGTAGTTGCCTAAAACGGGGAAAATGATGCCAAAGGGGAACCAAGAAGAGCCCTTCTGGGTAATTCAGGGCTCCCCAGGCGGACAGACAGGCACTGGGACAAAACAGGCATCTTCACTTCTTCAACACCAACTGTCGGCTCACGGCCAAGGGGAACAGATGGGTAGCTGCATGGACCTTCACACTGCCCCTTCTCTCTTGCCAGAAACCTGGTTCCTGAGATCTCCCAAACATGAAATCCTGCAAGACTTACAGGATTCATATCATATTCACTGAACAGACCTTTCCAGGTCAAGTATATGCGGACAGTGCAAAGTACAAGAAACAGAAGAAACAGTGCTAGGCCCCAAGGAACTCCCCGTGTGTTAGTATTACAGAGCCCACATATATAAACAAAGCATAAAATACAAGGCCATAAATGCCAGAATGAGAGCTGTACAAAATTCTATGGAAACTCAGGGAATGGCATGACTAACTGCCTAGTAAAATCAGAGGAATTCCGGATCTTGGAGCACGAATAGGAGTTTATCAGGTAGCGAAAGTACAAAGAGAAGGGCACCAATGAATCACAGAGGACAGAACACATCAGGGATATTCTGAAAAAGTTGAGGGCATTGGGGAAAGAACATGGTGATGTTTTCATAATGCAAAAGACTTTGTACCACAAGCGAAGGCATCTGGGCTTGGCCCCAGAAGAAATCTGGGGTACTGAGGACTGACAAGTCCCCGAGTTTGAGATTCAGAGGACGGACGTTGCTAGCAGGATGGCGAAACAAACAAGTGTCACCTTATTTCCACCCTGACAGTTTTATGTTTCTGTGTAAGGGATTTTAGGAGTATGACATCACTGCCAGGGATAACGAGCAAGCGATACTTTCCACATTTGTCCGACTGAAAAAAAGGAAAACTTTTAAGTGTAAACAGAAACTACTTTTGCAAGGGAACTTCAAAAAGCTCACGGGAAATGAAGTTAAAGCAGAAGTTCATTCTGTGCTAAGGAATTCTGGAATCTGGGACCATGTGAGGTCTGAAGAAGATCACAGAAAACCTATGCACTGATTTCAAAAGTTTTGAACCAAAAATAAGTTTATTTTTACAAACTTAAAAAAATTATTTTTATTTGAATGACAGAGTGACACAGAGAGAGAGAGAGAGACAGATAAGGAAAGAAATATTTCATCCCCTGGTTCGCTCCCCAATGGCCAAATGACTGGAGCTAAGACAGGCTGAAGCCTGGATCCAGGAACTCCATCCTGACTCCCCTGTGGGTGGTAGGCACCCAGGCACCCGGGCCATCTTCCACTGCTTTCCTTCTGTTAAGTGCTCTTGTGTAATATGGGGTTTCTAACACCAGAAACGCACACCAATCCTTAGAGCTATGGGTGAACAGCAAATTATTGCTTAAAACCTTTCACCATCATAGTTGACAAAACTCTGATTTCTAGAAACAAGGTGAAGAAGATAGCTAGGTGGGCTTACTTGTCCGTCATCACCGTGGGCTGCTCATCCGTGAATTCCTCAGGCGCAGGCACAAACATGCTGACTACACTGGGTGCTGACAGCAGGCTGGACTTGGTGGCACCTGGTTGGGCAGCAAAGAGACAAGCAGCAAACAAATATCAGCTTCCGGGGGTCCGGGAAGGTCCCCTTGGCCCCTCATAAGCCCCCCAAGGAGGAAGAATGTAACTTTCATTCCTAACCACACCTGGGAAATCCTTTTCGTAAAACCAAACCCAGACAGATGGTGTCTGGCTTCTGCTGGCCTGATTTTAAGAACTAGATTTCTACAGCTCCCTTTGGTTTGTGACTGAAGAAAGCAAGAGAGCACTCAAGTCTGGAAAGGAGGTGCCAGGATAAAGGAAGCAGCCTGTTCAAGGGTCTCCTTAAGCGAGCTGGAGCCCTGACCTGCCAGGAGTACGCAGAGACCCCACATAGCACTTCATCACATCACAGAGGCCAACTTTAAAATGTTACTAACTGGAAGGGGAGAAGATTCTAGAACTCCATATATCTTAACAAGAGAAGATATTTGAGCTAAGAATCTACATAGCCGTTTTTCACTTTGGAAATTAATATTGTAAGGTCCAGAGCAAGAAACTTCATGTTGGACATAAACATTTACAAATAGAAGGATCTGCCCAGCCAGCCACTCCTTCAGCATTAAAAGCTGGGTTTTGGTGCCATCCAAGGAACCGGAGGCAGGATCATGGACAACACTTGGCAGTGATGAGCACATCTGGAGAGAGGGGACGGGGGCGGGAGGGTTCTTCTCTATTAAGAAAGCCTTTGTGTGTTAAGCTTCCACCTAGGATGCTGACAGTCCATATCAAAGAACCGGATTGGTGCCTGGTTGCTGTTTTACATCCAGTTCTCTGATGCTCTTGGCAAGGCAGTGTCTGACACCCTGCCACTCTCAGACCAGATGGAATTAATGGCTCCTGACTTTAGCTTGACCCAGCACCAGCTGTTGCCACCATTTTGAGAGAGAACCAGTGGATGGAAGATTTCTCTCTCTTTAATTCTGTCTTTCAAATAAATAAAAGAGATCTTAAGAAGAAGGAAGAGGCTGGATGATGAAAGATGTTGCAAATACCCAAATGGCTGTAGGCAGAGAAAAGGCAACCCACTCTAGCTGCACAGTAATGGGTTCTTCCCACAGGAGAGAAGGCAGAGAATCCACAGTCACCAAAAAATCTGTTTCACATCAAGGAACCAGCAACTAGGAGATGAAAACAAAATCCTGTGACTTCTTTGCTTAAACTAGGTTGCCTATGTGTTTGTACCTGAGAGGGAAGGGTGGAACTAAAGCCCTGAATGGTTGAGACACTTCCATGGTACAGACTGCCCTGCCCTGCCCTGCCCTGCCCGGAACACGGCAGCAAGTCCTGCTTACACTTGTGCAAATCAGGTCGTGTAAATCCAGACAACAAGGAAACTATCTGAATGTATCTCTCTATCACTTTCTTAAAAAGATTCATTTTCTTTTATTTTGAAATGCAGGATAACATAGGGTAGGGGTTGAAGAAAAAGAGAAATCTTCCATCCTCTGGTTCACTTCCCAACGGTCACAAGAGTCTGAATGAGCCAAGCCCAAACCTGAAATTCAGAATTCTGCCTGGGTCTCTGATGCAGGCAGGAGGGAGTCCAGGGGTTCTGGGGTGTCCTCTGCTGTTTTCCACGTGTATTAATGGGATGCTGGAATTCCAACTGGCACTTTGATATGATGTGCCAATATTGTAAACAGTGGCTTAGCCAAACCTGGGCTCATTGCAGACACTCTCCAGGATCCCAAGGGGAGGTCCAAGCTTTACTGCTGTGTTGGTCAGATCCGAGACAACATTTATTTTCTAACCCTAAGAGCCTCATTAACAAAGATCTCTGATTATTTCATAGAGATGTTATTGTGAATTGAAGACAAATATAATTATAAATCAATGAATTGTACAAAATGAAAAAAATGGGTCAACTGATGATTATATAGTATTATAAACAGAGGAAGCTTCTCGAAGAAACCAAAATATATGCAGTTTAAATCCAAAACTCCTCACTTCTTAAATGGAATCAACATTGGTATGGTAAACACAATTTTGGAGAAGAGGGAGACCAGAAGTTTTTGGCAGCCCCGAATCAATCCTTACCAAATATAAATGCCAATAATTGTTGCCACAGCATCATGAAGTTCTTTCTTGGTGGAGTGTTTAAAGCAGCCACCTGCAGGCCAACATGAGCTGAGGAAATGGACTCCTGAACACCGCTGCTGAAGGCAGAACAAAGACTCCCATTCCAGAAGTGGGAAAACGCAGAAAGGAAGTCTTGGGGCTCCTCTCCCCTTTTGTCACCTGAATCATGCCAAGTCTGCACCGGGAGAGCAGAGCACAACATCTCCCGGCTGCTGCCAGAGCTTTCACTCTTGGGTCTCCCCAACCCCTCCTGCAAATACCTAGCACTCAAAGCAGACACAGAGCGACCTCAGAAACCCAAAGAGGCAACTTCTGCCAAAGCTCAACCTCAGAACTGGGGAGGTTAATAAAAAAATTCCCTTGGGAATCTTGTAGACAGGAGAAACCATGAAATGGTTTATTTGTCTCAAAGCTTCCACACATGTACACATCGGACCCCAAATGCGCTAATGCACTCCTCCAATTATGTGACAGAGACCAACTTTTCAGCTTTGTTGCCATGTTCTCATTCCACCTCAGTGGCTACTGAGTCACTAGTTTATGAACAAGCACCAGAGCTGTACTCCTCCACTCTGTTTTTAGCTCACAGAAGCATTGCCTGCCACAGATGAGAGATGTCTCACTGCATTTAACACAGGGGTCAAATTGGCCATTCAATTTCCAAGTATTAGCAAAAACCAAACAAAAACACCTTCTTTTGGAGAAATAGAAGAGGGATAAGCTCTAGAAAAGTGGGTTTGCTTTACTTAAGGGATGCAGTCTTAATTTCTTGTTGTTTTACCAATGGTAGGCTCACCTAACTTCTGAACAAGAAAAAGGTCAAAAGTCATGATCAGCTACTTTTGTCATCAATATTCATGGGGTGAATTCTGAAACTGTTCTGGTGATCTCATAACAGATCTACATTCAGGGTTCTCCCATGAGAAAGCTGTGTGGTTAAGTGTGTGGTTTCAGTACATTAGATAGCTGGAAAGAAATGAGGATCTGAACATTCTAGAAGAATTAAAAAGAAGCTGGACAATGCTCAGAAGAGTAGGTAAAGGACAATATGGAAAACAATCTGTATTAGGAGGAATACTAGAGAACCTACAGCTGTCTAGTTTACTGAAAGAAAAAGCAACGCATGTCTGTTTCCTAAAATTCAAAACATTACAGGGGAAAGACTACACTTGTTTTACATGGATCCAAGGGTTATAAAGTCACTCTTTGGGAGAGTTTTCTGTTGGTCTTGTCTGAACATGAGACACTGCAAGTCCCCAGTCCCTGGAGGCAGGTGGGCAAAGGCTGGAGCGGAGAGGCTGAGAAGAGCTCAGTGGCTGCTGGGACCCTGGGGTGCCCACAGGTCTCCTCAGCTCCCGGGGCTGTGCGACTCACTAACCTCTCATTCTCAGCGGCTGTCCCTCCAGGTCAGGGTTGAGGCACATTGGCACATTACACTGACGTTTCCCAGGCTGTATCTGTTCTGTGGATAAATAGGGCATTTCAGTCTTCAGTGTGATCAATTTCAACGCAATACGCAGTACAAGAAACAGAATCAGTTATCACTCAGGGACTTTTCTGGGGTCATTGCTACTGTTAATGATTAACATGGAAGGATGCAATTTTTACATTAGGGTAGAATTGTCTGGATTTTTACTACAAACCTGCCATTCAGTTACATACAATACAACCAAAAGCAGGGGGTATTTAAAACCATTCTGAGAAATTTCATAACTCCCCACCTCACTCCCTCCTCCCCACCACTGCCAAAAGCTCAAATCTCATGTCTCCTGATATGAAATGGGAGACTAATGTCACGATCATGAAACAAATGCTTTATGCAAATAAGTCAACACATTCTGGGAACAATGGTCAGAAAAGTCATACAGAAAACATGTGGAACTGGTAGAAGGGAATGTCATGGTTTCACTGGAGGGATGGGAACCAGAATAAGCAGGCAGGGATAGGAAAGATGAGGCAAAGAGGTAGAACACCTAGGTGTGTATGATGGAGAGAGGAAGCCATTCTGTATGGGAGCAGGAGTGTGCCAAGGTGGATGGGCCTCGACCCACAAGCTAGGCTGTGTTCTCAGTGTGTCCACGTCCACATGACCAGACTCATTCTTGTGCAGACTGAGCACTGAGTCAACATGTGTGCTTTAATGCGACGTGCCACCTGGCATCGTGATACAAGTTCTCAGGCCCTCCTGTGGGCTCCACTCTGAGAAGTACTTTTTATCAGCATGACTGAAATAAAAAATGCCTGGATGAAGTTCTGATAAGACGGGGTGATTAGAGGACTCAGAGGATGGAAAACTCAGCTGGAAAAAATTCAGACATCATATAAATGACAAGTCGTAATGAGAAACCAGAGTGACATGATCAAGAATGGAGTCTGGCTGAAGAGTGAAAAATTTAGTTAAATGGGTTATCTGGCATCATGTACATTTGTCTATTTTGAAATTGGGATTAGAAAATAATAACTCTACTGAATCAATCAATCCATCAGAATCTAGACTGATTAACTCGGGCAGAGCTGCTCACTAAGGAAAACAGCAGCCAAGTGCGACAGCTTTCAGAGCTGCCAGGTCAACCTCAGGGAGCCTGAGCATTTAGTGACAGCGGACCCAGCCGAGCAAGAGCCACTCTCACTGTGCCACACTGCTCTGTCAGCATAGAGAAAACTAGCCCTTAGCAGGACGGACAGAACTTCCTGACGCTGGCAACACAATCTCGTCTCCCTCTCTCCCTTGCCTGTTGGCTTTTGGCTACTCACTGCTTACTAGCACGTGCCAATAAAATAAAAGGAAAAAATCAAGCCCCGTAAAATATTAAGAACTGCACGAAGTTCAGGAGACTTGAAACTCCCTGTTAAATGTGACATTGGGTTTTGCATCTAGAACTAATCCACATTAGCTCTCTACCAGTTTGAAGAGTAACAAGGGTTGATGACATGCATATAAAAATATGGCTTTGAAAAAATAATCTCAAGATTGGGAGTTTTGTAGACATTGGATTTCCTGGTCATAAGGAAGAATATTAAAACAATCTCCTATTTGCGTAGCCAGAAAGTACTAACCAAGGTACTGAAAGAGGCCCAGTGTTGGCCTTTAGAGCTCTTCATAGTATTAAGCCTTTCATGTTGCACACATGGTTTGAAGGGCCTTCATGTATAATGGCTCCTAAATCTAATGACTCAGTGTTTTTTAAGGGGAAGGCAAGCACTTCAGAGGATCATGGCGGGGACAGTCTGTGCGCAGAACATGCCAAGGAAGTCTAGGTCAGGGCATGCCTGTGTTTACAGAATTCTTGTTCTTACTGCAGAACAATTCCATTTGTAGAATTAACTTCAGATACAAACAGTTTTCAAAGGAACAGACGCATCACAGCAGTCAATCCTGATTTTGACTGAGGTTGGGTGCAGCCCTTCTCACGTCATGAGGCTGCCAATGGGTAGCCCTTCTGAGTGCAGCTCACAGTCCACACACCTGCCAGCAGGTCACCACTGTCCCACCAAGGTGGCGTTTGTTATTTCTATTGTTACTACCATAACCATCCCTTTATATTTTACTTAACAGCTTATAAAATAGAGGATACTGAAAACCTGAAACATTTTTGTTTTAAAAAATCTTTTGCATCATGAAACTGTGGTTTCACTCCCTTCTCCCTAGAAAGATAATCCAATATCTGGAATCTAGTTCTTACAGAGGGAAAGTAAGAGAATTGGTCTATCTTAGAAGGGAGAACATAACACCCCAAAACACCTTCCAAGTGTCAACAGTCTTATTAATCACCTTTGATGTTTTCTGCAAAAAATTATGTGAACTAAAAAACATGAGAGGAAAAAATCTACTGTCTTAATAAGGGAGCAGAGTGGACACAGAGAAAGTGACGTTAGCTAATCTGAGAGGTAAAACAAGAAGAAAAAGCTTGACCCACCAGTGTCCCAGTTGCTGATGTTATGAGGGGCGCTAGACTGATGTTCCAGCTGCCGCTTCATTAACTGGCTCATTGTCAGAACTCCCAGGGATCCCCTTTTCATCTGTCTATACTGAGCTATATGGAGGAAATTAGGAGATGATTACTAGGGGGAAAAATCCCCACCACACACAAAGGCTCTACACACGCATACAGAATCACAATTGAACCTCCATTTGCTGCTTGCAATGCTGGTGAATGACACGAGGCTGTCCAAGTGAAACACGCTAGCAGATCCGCAGACTCTTGTGTGCCTGCCTTCACGCAGCCATGACAGCGACAGTGCCCAGTGCACAGCTTACAAAGGAATGAAATAGGATTCTTTGTTTTAATAAATACACTCTGCTGTGTTCCAACAAGAACTGAAGGCAAAGGCCACTTACTATATGGCATGTATAGCCTCACTTTGTATAGTGAGGCTTTTGTATTCATAGCTGCAGTCTTCACGCCGTCTCTATGACGTCCTCATGTATATAAGCCTGTGTGCGTAGTGTGTGTCTGTATACACACTGACATCTCAGAGTAGGATAACACATAAAAACCTCAAATTTTACAGCAAGAAATGGAATCAAATGAAATGTTTCTTGGAATCAGCCAGCCACAGAAGTGATCCTGAAACCAAAACATGTCAACGCCAAAGCCATGCTGTCTCCAGCCTCTGTGGGAGCCTCTGTCTGCTGTTGGAAAAGTTGAAGCAAATACCATTCTGTAAGTACAGTCTTGTCAACATCTTTGCTTCAGAAAATGGTGGTAATTTCTTTTTATCCTGCAGTGAGGCATTGACAAAAATTCCAACAGCAAAATGTTAGAGGCATTTCCAGATCGGAAAACAATGCAGCACATTTATGCCAGCACATCCTCGTGTAGGAACCTGGCCTGATGCCTGATGCCTGATGCCACCATCCCACCCAGGGCCAATGGCATAGCATTCCCAACGTTGCTTTCCTGCACGGCCCCAGACATTGGGTCTTTGGCATCTGTGGCTATACACACCCTTCCAAGTGTAAGTTCTAAAATCAAAGCTAGGAAGTACATCACAAAGAAGGGGATGGTAGGAACCAGGATGAAAGCATGGTCCCTGGAAAGCTGTAAATGTTACATAGAGGTTTCGCAATCATGGTACCAAGGCAGCAACTTGGTGTGATATGAAATCCATTAGAACACTGTTTTTAATGTTAATTAGCATGCTGTTTGATTAATGGTAGTCATGGTACATTTAACTACAAAATAACCAGCTGATAAGGCTGATCGAAAGAGAGGAATGTGATGAAAACAGTTGTGTCTTGGAATTCATATTAATTGAATTCAAGGAAATGACTGCTCAAGTTAATCTCTCTTTGCTTGCTGTTTGCTTTTGGTTGATTGATAAAATTTATAATTTCACAAGTCACTGGTAAATTCAAAAGCAGAAATCAGAGATTTAACCAATGGAAAAAATTCATAGTACCTATCAGACATAATCAAAGGCAGAATTAAACCCTATAGGATTAAACACATTTTCCAGTTTCTCAGTTGTTTTAAAGACTGGAGAATTCCTTGGGGCTGAAAACCCGTAATGCTCAGCTCATGGAGTGAAGCACCTGCCATTATACCTCCAAGAGCAATCCACCAAGAGCTGCTCATGGCAAGGGAAAGGCACAGATCTAATGATGCAACAGATTTATCATGGCTTAGGATTGGGACACACTTGACATATTCACTTAATGATAAATTTAACTAGTGCCAAAGTTGACTGACTTCACTTGGAATTCTCATTAGACACCACTATCTTTCTTAAGATGACATGTAAATTTGAAGAAACACACTTTCATGATTTTCAGTGTGTGGCCTTAAAAATGGCCATTTGAGGGGCCAGGGTTGAGGGGCATCACAGTTGGGTATTGATCTGAGTCCTGGTGCTCCACTTCCAACCCTGCTCCCTGCTAATGGTATGAAAAAGCAGCAGAAGCCCAAGAAGAAGTTCCTGGGCTTGTGCATCCACAGGGAATACCTAGAAAAACTCTTGGCTCCTAGCTTCAATCTGGCCAAGGGCTTGCTGTTACAGCCAACTGGGGAGTGAACCTGCCACAGAAGATCCTATCTCTCCCTTTCCTTAACTCTGACTTTCAAATAATTTTAAAAAATAATAAATCCTTAAAATGGGGCAAGTACTTAAGAAACAAATAAAAGTGGGTACTTAACATTCTCAAAGAGATCTTTTGCGATAAACAAAGAGCAATTAGATTCAAAGCTAGTTGTACTATGCTTTCCGAAAGGACAAATAACTGTCATTTGGAAACAATTTCTTGGAATGTTGATATATCTATCACAAGTGAATTTGAATTATTCTAAGGTACTCTGAGGGAAACTAAAAAAAAAAAATGAGCTAAAAAATCTATCAGAACTAGTATAAATTTCTCCATCTATCACTTAGCATCTACATGACTTGGGGCAAGCCATTTAGCTTTTTTGGACCTCAGTTTGCTCATCCAGAAGATGGGAATGAATATAATCTGCCATGCAATGCTGATGTGGATTGGAATGGATAACAATGTATGTGAACCAATGGGTACAGTGTCTGGCACTTGATGGGCATCCGATAAATGGTTGCTAAGATGCATGCTGTACTTGTGAATGCCTTCAGAGCAAGGGATATCTTGTTCACTTTTGATCCCCGTGCCACACACAGTGCCTGGCAACCAGCAGACACACAGTGAATAGCTGCTAAATGAATGAATGCATGAGGAACAAATGAATGAATGGATAATGAAGATGATGATGTTCCGTTCTACCAGTCCAGCCTTTAACATCTTTCATTTGGTTTATTAGCACCATGCTCGTTTCAAAAGATGATCAAATGAAACTTAAGTAGCTGTTTAGGTAGCATCCCCATGGAACACAAAGCTTGTGAGCATGTGTGACAAAGGTGTGCAGAAGCTGTGCCTTCGATTCTTTTTCCCTTGCTGAAGTTTCTTAACTGGTTTCACAGAGCCACACGGACGCTCCTGGGGACTTTCAATGAAATTCAGACTTCTCATAGACAGAATCTAGGACCCCAATAACAAAAGGAAACGTGAAAGCCCTTGATCCCTGTTGATCCTGGCACAGGCCAGGTCACCTTTATTTTCTCATTCAGAGGGAATAGATTAAGTCACAATTTTGGAGTCAGTAATGCATTAACTTTCTGACAACCTCAATAAAATGTCTGTGGAGAAGGTGATTTGAATTAAATGAAGATTTTTATGCAAATTCTATCATAGAAAATGTTTTCCATCCATCCCAAAATCAGCTCCATGTTTTATGTATAGGCTAGTAATATACTAAAATTCAGTGATTATTGAACAAATAGATTTCTTGCCAATCAGTAACCATAGTGATTTGTCAAACACTTGAGACACGGACACAAGTGGCTAATGGCATCTCTTAGGCTAACAGGAAATAACAAAGAAGCTAACACATTCGTTTTAAAAAGTGAGAGAAAAAAATTAAAACTCCTAAAGTTGATAACAATACAGCAGACAATGCTCCAAAATCAATGTGAGACGCAACGATCACCAGAGATCTTACTTGTCATGGAAGAATGGCTACTTGTTTCAGGCACACCTGCTTCTAACGTAGGTGCAGAGGAGGATTCTCGTGGCATTTCCAAAGTCGAAAGTCCTTTCGCAGAAGGATCTACAAACAGAAGCTATTATTGAATCTTTCCCTTCAAAAGCATGTTGCAATCTTCATATACTTTCTTTCCTAATAACTGTTTTAATGGAATTACATATATACCAGATTTCCAGTCCACGGACAGCTGATGCCATATTACACTCTGCAGCTAAGGGCTTGCTTCTTGGAGACTGAAGTTGACACAGTCCCAAAGCCAAAGCTCAGCATGCTCAGAGCAGAGCCCTTGACCATGCCAACTCTGTTTCATCTAACATCTACAGCTGCTCAGGGTTCATTCCCCCTACCTCTACCTCTGTCCTACAATTTACTACCCATCACTTCTAACTCAATTTACACAGAAAACTGCACTTCAAGGAGGTTTCCAGGACCCTTTTCCCTTCCCCAAAATACAAACAAAACCATTGGGTCAAATGACTTTCTTAACATAACTACACAGTACCTTGTCCTTAACCTTTTCCAAACTTAGCCACACAACAGTATAACTGTTCACTTGCCTTTCAACTTTAATAGCCAGAAGTAACTTAACAGCAGAGACTACGTCTAACATAAATGCTCACTGTCAGTTCATATTTTACATTTTATTAGGTAAGCAAGACACATTGCATTGTTTTCTTGTATTTGATCACGGTTGTATCTGCAGTGGAATATTTCCTGTGTGTAATATTATCCTATTGGTCTATCCACAATATTAATCTATCAAGCTGATTTAAGTAATTTCTGACTATTTTTGAGCACTTTCTGAAAAGTTTGATGGCCTGTCGTGGCAGAAGTTCTAAACAAACTTTCTTATTGTTTTCAGCAGTATTATACAGTAAGAACTCTTGCTACCTGGCAGCAGTATTATACAGTAAGAACTCTTGCTACCTGGCAATTAGGATTGTGAGGGACCCTGGTTCTGCCATACTGTCATTCAACAAGCTTCCCTCTCCCACAAATGGCTTAAAGTTTTCAATCTTAGTAACATGTCAATCCCATCTTTCTCTTAGGCTTGACTGTTCTTTCTTGCCACAGAGCAACCCACCATGTGTTCATCCAAATATATAAATAAAGGATGCTGTTTGGTTACTGGATAACTATTAAGCTCATTCAACTGTCAGAAATAAAAGGAGCTGGGCCAGGCACCATGACCTAGCAACTAAAGTTCTTGCCTTGGGCGTGCCAGGATTCCATATGGGCACCAGTTCTGATCCCGGGGGCCCTGCTTCCCATTCAGCTCCCTGTTTGTGGCCTGGGAAATCAGTCGAGGACGACTCAAAGGTTTGGGACCCTGCACTCTTGTGGGAGACCCAGAAGAGGCTCCTGGCACCTGGCTTTGGATTGGGTCAGCTTCAGCCGTTGTAGCCGCTTCAGGAGTAAGCCAGCAGATGGAAGATCTTCCTCTCTGTCTCTCGTGCTCTTTGTATATCTGCCTTTCCAGTAAAAAATGAATAAAATCTTAGAAAGGAAGAAAGGAAGAAAGGAAGGAAGGAAGGAAGGGAGAGAGAAAGAGAAAAAGAAAGAGAGAGAGAGAGAAAGAGAGAAAGAAAGAAAAGAAAGAAAGGAAGGAAGGAAGAAAGGAAGGAAGGAAAGAAGGAAGAAAAAGAAAGAAAGAAAGAAAGAAAGAAAGAAAGAAAGAAAGAAAGAAAGAAAGAAAGAAAGAAAGAAAGAAAGAAAGAAAGAAAGAAAGAAAGAGAGAAAGAAGCCAGTGTGTTGTCTCAATTGGCCAATCCTCCCGCTGCAAGTGCCAGTATCCTACATGGGTGTTGGTTTGTGTCCCAGCTGCTCCACTTCCTATCCAACGTCCTGTTTATGGCCTGGGAAAGTAGTGGAGGATGTCCCAATGTACCCCTCTGCCCCTGCACCCTAGTGGAAGACTAGGAGGAAGTATGGATCAGCTCAGCTCCAGCCATTGTCATCATTTGGGGAGTGAACCAGAGGAAGGAAGATCTTTCTATCTCTCTTTCTCTCTATAAATCTTACTTTCAAATAAAAATAAATTCATATTTATTCCAAAAGAAAAATCAAATAACTCCTAGATAAGGACCTGTAAGTAAAAGTGTCTCAGCATATTCTTTTCTCAGGAATTTCCCCCAAACCACTGCGCAGACACATGCACTCTATCTCTGTCCTGATTTGCCTCTATTCTATGTGGGCTGCAATTCTGGCATAACAACCCCATTCACAACATAAAATGAGAAAGCTTACAGTGAATTTAGGACTTTGGGTATGATTATTAACATCCTTTCTACTTCTTTAAATTTTAGAAATTTACTTGAGAGGAAGATAAAGAGAAATCTCCCTTCTACCGGCTCACTATCCAAACGCATACACAACAGCTTGTGGGAGCTAAGTGGGTGGTGGTAATTCCCTGCCTCAGCCATCACCTGTTGCCTCCCACAGTCTATATTAGCAGGAAGCTGGACTCAGAAGCCAGAGATTGAACTCAGGTACCAAAATGTGGGACACGGGTGTCTTCACCAGTGGGCCAGACACCTGCCTTTATCTTTCAAGAAACAAATTTTTGTAAAATAAACACCAAGATTCTTGAAGCCAGGAATTTTTTCTTCAGCTTTCAATCTTTTAGTTATTAAGCCATAAAACTAGGATGAGACCACCAAGAAAGTGAGTGTCTATGAAGACGGACAACTGACCAAGAGGGAAAACTCCAGAACACAGACTCATTGGGGAGATTAGGAAGAGTTGATAAAGTGACTGCACAAGGAGCAAATGAAGAGAGCATGGAATTCTGAAAGCCAAGTGGAGTGGAAGGCGGCGACTGTGCCAAATCTGGCAACTATGTCAGAATCCTAATGGGCCTCTGCCACCCCTGTGGAGGGCACAGAGTTCTGGCTCTGCAGCAAGGGCTAGCCATAGCAGCCATCTGGGGTACCACTTAGAGGGCATCTGTCTCTCTCCCTATCCCTCTTTCATTCTTTCTTTCCTCTCCCTCTCTCTCTTACTCTCTCTTTATCTCCTCTGCTCACTCTGCCTTTAAAAAATTGTTTTAAATCCAAAAGGATTATACAATAAAAATCTTAGTCACTGTAAGCACACTTTGCTTTGTTAGATCTATGTCTATCCCTCCTTTAGACCTGATCTTAGTTCACACAAGTTGGACAGGGGAAAACATGTTGAAATGATATTTAGAATGTCCTGATCTGAAGCAACCATTGCTTCTTTCTGCCAAGGGTGGTCAAGAATGGACTGCTGAATTTAGAAACAAGTATAGAAGAAGCATTTAGGAAGCCCGTGGACTTGCATCTGATTGCAACATTCTCCCCAGTAGGACGGATTCAGAGTGGTTGTGAAATGATCATAATGGCACACCCAGAAGTGATTCTATTCAGTACCAATAACCTGCCAAATGCCATGTACACAGACTTGAAGCAAGGCTGGGAGGAACAAGGGATACCGCTCACCTGGATCCTTCTGCTCTCCCAGCTTGTCCAGAATGTTGAAGGAGATATCCAGGTACTCTCTCTGGATCGCACTGACAGCAATCTTTCTCTGCTTTCTCTGCCTGGGGACAATCTGAATCTTGAACTCTGACTCCTCTGTCCCATCCTCTTCCCCTTTCCTTTCGGGATTCTGTTCTGTGTCAGACTCGGCGCTGGTATCAGGCTTCTCACTTTCTGCTGGGTTCTCAGCATCCTCTGGAACTTTGAGGAGGACAATCTTGGCCCCTGAACTTGGCACCAGCCCACCAGGCCTCTCCTCCTCAGTGCTGGGCTCAGGGCTCTCGTCCACCGACATCTGGGGGAGGGCAACTGACTTCTGCAGAAGGTCTCGCTTCTGCTTCAGCGTTAAAGGGCTGCCACAGGAGAACTCCTGCCGCTCCTCTGGCTTGGACAGTTCCTGGGAGTCTGTTGGGTCTTCCAGGGCTGCGACAATGACATCCTGGGTGCCTGCTGGCTGGCTGTTCCCTGAGTCCTTGGAAGCAAAGTCTTTGGAGCAATCCTCTACACTGACTTGCACAAGAGGGGTTGTGCTGAGGCTGAGGACAGATGGCTGGCTGGGGGTGGAGGGCGAAGAGGTGGTGTTTTTACTGGAGGGACCATCATTTCCTTGCTTCCTCACCTCCTCCTCTTCATCGCTCTCAACTATTCTGAGAGGGGGAAGGGGCTCAAAGACGAGAGAGTCACTGTCGGATGTGGAGAGGAGGGAGTGTTTCTCTGGGCCGGATGTGGAATCTGAGGACAAATCTATGAGATCCAAATCTTCTTTAGGGGCTGGCTTACCTGGAGAGTCCACCTTCACCTCAAAGGTCTCCATGCAGTTCAACCGAACTTCGGGGATTACCGGCCTCCGTGGTTCCTGAAGGCCCTCCAGAGCAGGGTTCTCAGGGATCTCCATAGGGTCGGGCCTCGTGGCTGAGTTCTGCCTAGAACGCGCATGGTCACTCTGTCTCTGTGTCAGATAGGCCACCTGACCGGGAGGCTTGTCTATGTCACAGCGGTCAATACAAGACTTGCGGCGATGCTCATCTAATGTGAACAAGAGGGAATCTGCGTTCCCTATATCAAGAGACTTTTGCTTTAAGGATCGCAGCTTTTTTTTCTGAATGCTTTCTTCTCTGACACAATGTAGAAGGCTGTCTTGCAATGTGCCCGTGTCTCTATATTCAGCCAGTTCTATTTCACCTAATTAAAACAGAGAAAGCTAGTACTATTTTACTTGGAGTTGTCATCTTTCTTTTATAAATCCCTCGTACCTGGGCATACAATTGGCATAAGTCATGATCACAATCCCAGATCCATCAGAACACAAAACCAACTTTCTGGCCAAATTTTTGTAACATTCAATTTTATTTCAAAAACCAGAAAATGTTGGAGTGAAATAAACCAAAAATGACAATTTAAGGTCTGATTTCAAAAAATCAGGCTTTGGACTAATTCCTCAGCTCTATTCATTCATACACGGCAGAGAGGGATTTTCTTTTTGGCTGAGGCAGATCTAGGCAACCACATTTGAATTGTGTAGAAGAGAAGCAAACGTTTTGCAACAAATCAAATCAAGCAATGGTCCTCAAAGACGATCATGACACTAATGATGTATCTGTCCGTTCACGTATATATATAAGCAGGTATATATATACACTGTGCATACATAGATATATAAATCAACAGTATTAAAATGTGTAGTAACATAATAAAATTAAGATTTCACCCCAAACAAACAGTAGAGTACAACATTTCTGCATAAAATTACTAAGAGAAAAAATTCATACTTCTCTGAACATTCATCTCAACCGGCTGATATTTCACCATTTTGCTGCCGCCTATCCTTTTCAATCTTGCAAAAAAAGTTTGAGACTCTTTATGGCAGGGTCCAGTAGGTGTATCATGAATATCAGATTCATCAAAAACACTATCTTCTTCTAATTGGGGAGAGAAAGTCAAAATTACACTTAAGAGGTTATTCTCTCTTAGGCTGTGTCTACACAAGCAATTCAGCAAAAGCATTTAGAAACAAGGCGTGCACTGATTTCAGCACCAGCCCCAGCCTAGCCATGGGCTGATGCTTTATCCAGGCAACAAATGACCTAGCAAAGCCACTTGTTGCAAGATTGCCCATCATTTTTCATGTGGTACTTGGCAGCATTTTTAAGAGAGGCATTTCAGGATTTCCATAGTGCCCTCCTGGAGAAAATTTCCACTGTACATACAGCAGGTGGCACACAGACGCCAGCTACTTTATTCCAAGAATCCATGACACTGCTTAAACTTGCCAGCAATGGGTGTCCAACAGGTTAATTTGGCCAAAGGAAATCAAATGTCATATGTTGCGAGTCTTGCCCTTTCCAAAAAAAAAAATATATATATATATATATATGCTTCCCTGGGATTTGGGAACTGGCATAGACACAGCCTAACAGTACATGCACCTTATACTGTGTGAATGCAAAATACTGTACTCTACATTGGGTAATGAAACACACAACACACAGAAAAAGCTCAGAAAAGCCACTGGTCATCTCAAAAGCTCCACAAATGATCATGGACTGAAAGAGGAAACAAAGGAAAAAGGAAACGGAAAATAACATTTCCTCCCATTACAGCAAGACCCTTCTCTGAGGAGTTCGTCATGTGTGATGATTCCCAAGATTTCCAGAGAGAACCTGGTGTGTTCGTTTCCATGGCCTTGCTTCTACCCCTGTCTGACCCCTTGGCAATCAAACACAGCCCCCAGAACCCAGTCAGGAGCAAGGGACTGCTATGCTGCTACCCATGGAATTCACTCAATGGATTTTCTTCTTCCATTCTACCAAAAGTCCAAAGGCACCCAGCCAATGGCCAGAGAAAAAGCTATTAAAATGCATTTACCACTACAATAAATGGAAATAGGCTACTACTGGAGTTAAATATTACTGGAATTTGTAATAACTGTCCTATATTTATGTCTACCTGTGTGACAGGTTATGATAAGTCAAAGTTTCTTATAAGGAGGGGAGACAGACATGAGTTTTTAGGACAGATCTTGTTCCCATACACAAGAGTCAGCAAGTACAGGAAACTGTAGATGAAATAGCCAAACCAGTTTATTTAATCAAGTGAAAAATAGGTCTTAAATATTAAAATGGATGTAAGCTCCTTAGGGAACTTCTACAGAGATGAAAATGCCTACTATATCCCCGTACTTGTATGGAAATGCAACAAAATGTTCTATTTCATTATTCCTTTAAAAAAAAAACTCCTTTGACATACAGATTTCCAAGAAAGTAACTGCTGCTTTCATTCTACGCCTCTGTGTGACAGAGACATAAAGACCACAGATAGCACTTCCTGTCCAGAAAGGTTTATCTGGGATTGGACCAAACATTCTCACATTGACAACATCCGCAGCTTGTCATAATCTGAACTCTCTGAGACTAAGATCTAACTCACTAGCCTAGGTGGGCTTCAGGAGGGATCTGATTGATGCTAGAACCCACACAGCCTGGTTCTCATCCGGGTGTCAACGGATACCCTAGATGTATAGACCTTTCAGCAACAAACCAGAGCACATTGGATATACTCCATCCTGTGGAGACACATTTAGGGCAGTCCCACCAAGCCAGCCAGAGCCAACACCACCAAGGCTCACCAAGCACTCTGCTTTCTCCTTGGCCAAGGCTAGCTGTGCTGGAACAGGCACTAAGGAGACACCTTCACCAAACAGCAAGGCTATAATTTTACTCTAGCTAAAGTTTTCATTCTGCTGCCTTCTAAGAGGAAGCTCTTCATAGAAAGGGTGTCAATACTGGAAATAATTTAAATCTAAGCAGCACAACTGTTTCACCTCTGCTGCCTTGAATTAGTTCATTTTGCATAATAGAGCCAGGAGGAAGGCACATTGAGGTTCTATTCAAAATCTATGAGCACCAAGTTCATGGGCAAAGTAGAGACCTACAAAGGAATGCTCCACGAATATTTCCAAGATTCAGCAAAAGGCTTAGTATTGTGGCTCAAGCAGCAGAACTTATTTTATAAAATTATCTATTAGGATAGGGCTTTAGACACATACTGATTATTTCTCTCAACTGTTCAATTAGAACATTAGTAATATTCATGGCAAAGTGGGAAAACTAAAAAAGTAATCAGTGATTTTTTTTTTTTAGACTCCAGAATGGTATCTGGGGGTGTTTTCCTATCTCTCAAAACAAACACACAAACACTGTCGTCTGAGCTCAGTTTGGGGTGGAATTCTAAGATGGGAAGTACCTTTGTCTTTCTCACTGTATCTGCTGATGTTACTGTTGTCACTGTACAGAGGTCCTGCAGTGGCGTGGGGCTTGCAGCTATGATACTGTGCATTGAGGGTATTGACTGTGATGTGAATCAGGTGCAGCAGGATCTTGCTGATCTCACAGTCTCGGTATGGATACTAAGCAAGGAAGTGGAGGGAGAGAAACACAAATGGTTAATTCAAAGTGTAAGTCAGTCCACTTGACCAGGCCAGATATTTTTTCCAAGACTCTGATTAAAACCATCTTTCCTCTTGCCCTGAACCACTGGCTTTCAAGAAAAATATCTGGCAGGAACATTTCACGGGTGAATGCCCTTTCTTATTTTCTGGCAAACTAATTCATACTTAGATAAAATATGAGATTGTGAGCATAAATAGTAATCACCGAAAATGCCCTATAATTCATTATTATTTTTTTGCTTTAAATATTTTTAGAACATACAATAATATGGTCTCCCTTTTCTATTTTTATTTCACTAGCTGTTTGCTTTTCAACACTAATTACATATCATGAGTATTCTTCTGAAGGTCAAAGCTTTATCCTACAAAATTCTCAAAGTCAGTCTCCGAGGATGTTCTCTTAAGAGAACACCAAACTGTTGCTGAATTACTGTAGTCATAGGTTTCATGGAGCTTCAGGTTCTCAATTTATATATCTACAGCAAATATAAACCATGTACTTAGAAAGACAGAGAGAAACGTGGGAAGGAGCGCAGAGAAAGGAAGCTTTTGTATCTAAAACGGCACAGCCTTGCTTTATCAGACAGCTGCCTGCACTGACAATCACTAGTCAGCAGGTTCTCCGAGGCTGCACTCACCAGAAGAATTGTCCCATCTCCAAAAGCAGTGACTGTGGCGGCTCACCTTGTAAAGGATGACAAGCAAGGCCTTCAGCCACATCTGCCGGATGTGCGGTTTTAGGGACCAGAGGGAACAGCGAGGTGGCTGCTGGAAATAATGTCGCAGTTGAGGACAAGAGCAGTATTTGAGCACCTGAACCACCAAGGGGAGAAGGTGTTTTCCCAAATTAATGTTATAGTCCATAACCTGAAATAGAGAAAAGATTAATAACCACAAGAAAAACCACCAGTCTGACATAGAAATCACAAAGAAACATCTAAACCACCCCAGCCAAAACAGAGGCAAAACCTTTGTAACAGCCTTCTCGCAAAACAGCAGCTGCAACAGCTGTACACGTTGGTGAAAAAGTTCATCCTCACAAGAAATGTTAAAAGCCTCTAAATGAAAATAGCTTTCATCTCCTTAAATATGCATACATCTATTCCATTACTTATTGAAAATAATGTTATTTTACTAGTATAAAACCAGACACACTGAAAAAGTATGGTGTTAATAATTGGGTGGGGAAATGAGTATTCTCAATGACCGGTGGTAAGAATGTAAGTTATAAAATCTTTCAGAAGAGCAATCTGTCAAGTGGCTCTTATTCAGAAGGAAACGTACACACCCTATAATACAGTAATTTAATATGTCATGACAAAATAGCCAAGAAAGTGTCCCAAGATGTATGTATAAAGATATTCAGGCTGGTTTTGTTTAAAAAACAAACTGTACACTTCAGACTGTAAACAGTCTCCATGTCAACGCTTTGGGATTAGTTCAGTAACATACTCTGTGTATACTAGCTACTAGCTACGTAGCCATCAGATAGGATACAAACGTGTTTATATCCTAGGACCTTCACAATAAAATTTGGTTTAAAAAGGTTACACTTATATGTGTTTGTGTCATCCCATTATTATAAAAAATGTACATAATGTATCCATGGATATAGGTAAAGTATATATGCCTGTTAATTTGAAGGGGATAAAATACTCCAAAATGCTGATAGTTATTTCAGTTCTGAGTTTTATGGAGTTTTTCATTTTTATTTTCTTGCTTCTATAGCTATGATAACCACACACAATGTAGGCACAGAGAGTTGGGTGAGGGAGGGAGGGGGGGAGGTTTTCATATCTGAAACTGCACATCCTCGCTTCATCACTGAGCATGACTAGCAATCAACCCATTAGCATCCTCAGCGACAACTACACGCATATTGTTCCATTTTGCCCCTCTGTGGTCATTATAATATAACCCACTGGAGCCAACTGATAACAACAGCTACCATCTATTAAGTTTCCACCACAAGAAAGGCACTGATGAAGGTGTTTTGGCAATATATGGTGTCCAATTTCTCAAAAAAAAAAAAAATCTGTATTATCAAATGAGCAAGCAGCAAAAGATGCCCAAGGCCACAGAACCAGTCATAGCCACAAGGCTGAAATTCAGACTCACTCCTCTCTGCTTCAGGCCCCACAACTCTGCAGACTGGAGCAGTTATTCCGGAGAGCGAGAATGGCAGCACTGCTCATACCCCATGATCAGTTCTTCTGTGTCTGGATCTACATCACACAGGACTTCTAACACTGGCTGACAAAGCAGAAGTGCAAGGATGCTCACTGCTGAACTGCTTGGAGCAGTGAGGATTAGAGGCAATGGAACCCAGCATCAGTGCAGAAATGGGGAAGCAAATGGGTGGACGGTGCAGCAAAGCGCACAAGACAGATGCACCAGGAAAGCCCTACGCTGCAGGATGAACTCAACTCCCTCAAAAAGTAAAGGATAAAAAAGAATCACAAACAAACCCCGGTATTCCTTCACTGTTTCATGGTTGCCGAGTTTTCAGTACAGCATGATGAAAACGACTAGGGACAGGTGGTACTAGCTGCATGATAGTGTGAATGTACTTGATGCCGCTGAATTGTATACTGAAAAACAGCGAAACTGGTAACGGGTATGTTACAATACAAATTCATCTTCTCACGGTACTGCAGAATAAAACTCCCAAGAGCATGATTTATGCACGTTTGATTTTTTTCTGTCATCTTTCTGTTCAGTTAGAAGATGACCAACTTCTCAGCATGTCTTTCCATGGCCTTAGTTGTGTATCTCTCTTAAAAAGACACCAGTTTCTTTCGATTAGGGTCTAACCACAGGACCTCAATTAGCCTTAATTATCCAGCTGAAGGTTCCATCTGTAAATACAATCACTTGGGATTTGGTGTCCATGTAGGTTTTAATTGGGACACTAATTCAGTCTATGACACAGAGCTAATCAGTAAATAAGAGTACCACAAGGACACACGAGACCTGCTTCTAGGGTGTATACACTTTTGCTGGTGTTTAAGACGCCTGTGTAAGGCTGGCTGTCTACCTCCAGTTCCTGACTCTGGAAGCTTCAAGCTTCAAGCTCACTGTCTGTGATCTCCTAGTCTATGTCATCCAACCTCAAGGATACTCGTCTTTTGTCTCTACTCCACCACCAACAACCACCCCTCATACACACATCTGCCTGATATCAGTTAATCTGCACAAACTTTTACATGAAACAAATGTTGGCTAACCTAACGATGCACAAGCTGTTATCCCACTTACTTGGGCAATTCCTGCGATAAATGCATTAAAGCAAGTCGACAGGCGCATCTTCTGCGGTGCAATCATGAAGCAACCTTCCTGTTGGTCATAGCCCAGCAGGACATACAGGTGCCGCTTGACTGTGTTGAAGGCCTTTGCGCTGCTGATGTCCGACTCAGCACTGCTCTCATCCTTGGCCATGAACTTCATGAGCACAGTGATCAGCTGATGCACTGTCTGGTGGTCTATCCCTGCATCTTCTGGGAGCAGGTCCTTGATAGTATTGTCATTCTCGGGAGACTGTTGTCCTGCCGGTACAAGATAAGTCGTCAGCAGGCAGTCCCCCTAAGTTTAGTTTACATTAAAATCCCATTGAGACAGCCTTTCTGCTTCCAAAAATTACTTAATGGTTCTTTTCTAGGCAAGAAACTTTAGGGCACAATATAGCCAACTAAGAAAAACACAAGTCCAAAAGTAGAAGTTACTGCATTCATCAACCAAGAAACTGGGGAGAAACAAACGAACGGAAACAAAAATCAGACACTAAAAAGCAAGGCTTCCCTCCAGAAGCAAGGCAGATACCCATATCAACTTTGCATTTAGTACATTGTTAATATCTTAACAAAACTTAATCCTCCGGAATAAAGGAAATTTCCTTCAAGTTTTGTAAAAACCACACACAAAAAAATTAGTCTAGAACCCACTGAGCATAAAAGCATTCATTGGGGTATTTTGCTCCAATTATTACCTCAATACAGTTTTGCTTGTGAATTAGCTAGTGCAAAAACAAAGACTTTCCTTTTCCAAATCTTGAACAACAGTACTCTTTAGAAAGTGAGAGTCAAAATTATAAACAGCAAATCAGAATCCCTGCTGTGTATAATGAGAAACATGCATCAGGTAAGGGACATGGACAACAAGAAGCATGGACTTGTAGAAACAGAAAACATCGCATGAAGGTGAGCTGGAAGTTCACATGGAAAGAGCAGTATCCCTTAGCCCCAGGCTCCCACTGATGGAATAAACGCATGGTCCTAAGCCACTCCCTGACACTGACTTCCTTCTCTCAAAGTCAGGAATCACATCCTGTCTGCCTGCTTTGCCTCTCCTGATTGGGCTGGATGGAGGAGCACTGGGACAGGAACAGAAGCACTGGTTGCCCTTCTATATCTACTTTTCAGGATTCTTTTTCAATTAACTAAATTGAAAACGAAGTTATTGCCAGATGGGTTAGAAGAGCATGCTACATTCTCATTTTTCACCTTGCAAGGAAATGTTCTACTAAATGATGACCAGCTTTGGTTAAAATCAAACAATTCTTGGTTACATCTGTTAGTACAGTATAAAGGATGCAAAAGAAGAGAGTGATTTGCATCCATGAATTCTTCAATGAATGCAGCAATACTGCAATGTGCGAGGATACAGTCAAGAGAAGAAAGACACAAGAAACCTTCCCTTTGAGCAGGTGCTCTGGTGCATGTAGTTAGGCTGCCACTGGGGTCCCAACTATTCTACTTCCCATCCAGCTTCCTCTGAACACTCCTGGGAGGCAGAAAGCAATGGCTCAAGTGTATTGAGGCTCCTGCCACCCACACAGGAGACCAGGATGGAATTTTAGATTCCTGACCTCAGCCTTGCCAAGCCCTGGCTACTGTGGCAATTTTGGGAATAAATCAGCAAATAGAAGATTCATTTCACCTCTCCCCCACCCCCACCATACAATTGTCTTTCAAACAAACTTCGAAGAAAACTGTTGCTACTGACTGTAGAAATTAGCTGAACTCAAGCCCTAACACTTATTTCTTGAAGCAATAACATGAGGGAACTATCAAGTTCAGATCTGACTACCCAGACTTGCATGCAATATTAGAAAGTCTGGTTGTCAAGTTTCCTCAGGCAACCAGGAGCATGTTGTGAGAAGGCATCATCAACAATGAGGGATGATACAGCAGAATCAATTTAGCCTAAGAGCCTGCAGTACTCACACAGGGAAACCATATAGCACATCTCAATACAACTCCAGGACACTAGCATTTTCTGTCTCCCAGAACCTGGTCACACGGGATTAAATACATGCAGTGTATTTCAGGGAAATTTCTCCAAAACCTGTTCAAATAAAACCTAAGGACTTAACACAGTATTTCAAATGCAGAAAGCGATCAATAAATCGTTAATATTATTGATTAGGCACATATCAGAAAACAAAATTGATTTATAAACAACACCATATTTCAATGGGAAGTCAAAGGGGGAAGTGGGACTTTAGTGATTAAATTAACTGCTTGGAATGGGAGGTTTGACCAAAAACATTATCTTTGAAAATTCTTGAAAACCCTAACAAGCTCAGAAATATACATTCTCAGCATTAAAAACATTGACTCTTGATTCTTTTTCTCTTCAGAGTATTCTTTTACAATTTCAAGAACACCATTGCTTTGGACGGAGAATGTGATTGTGGTAACAGGTGACGGCTGTTAGAGATTAATTTTCTATAAAAGCTTATTGAAGTTCTCATTTTAAAGTGAAACAAATGCCTACAATATTTTTTCTCGTGGCTTAGATTTCTAACCTATGAAATTCCTGTAGCTGTCTTAGCCATACGGACTGAACACAATCAAGGAGTTTGGTTTTACTCTTTCTACAAAGAAAGTGTCCATATCATTATAATCATGGAGGCAGAATTATTCGTTGGTTAACTTGGACATGGCCTGAGCTCTCCACAATCTCGTCTCACAGTCATGTCACTGATTAAAACACAGAGCTGTAAGATAGTGTTGTTCACGTGTATGATTTGAAACGAACCAGGAAGCCTCAGGATCTGCTTTCCAAGGCTTCTCTACTACTCCACCAGCATGCTCAGCCTTCTCTAAGATGGCCGCAGTCAACATTTCCCTCAGCTTTGTGGATCCCTGCTGGTGCTCCCTCCACCTTGCAGGGGGTCTTCCATCCCCTCTCTCAGTTTGAAGCTACAGATCTGGCTGGGCCCTAGAAATCATTCTACCCCCACCCTCCTCTCACCAACACAATCTACATACGTCCACCCTCCTCTCACCAACACAATGTGGTCCCTAAATTCTAGGACTTTTAAAAGACAAGAAGGGAGAAAGGGCAGGGGTGGGGGGAAAGGAGAGGAATGGAGGAAATTTCTCTGAAGGCAAATGCTATACCTGACCCAATATTTACAACCCTTGTAGCATATAGAGCCGGATCTGACATACAGTAGATGTTTGTTGTTTGCAAATGTCCATTTCCATGTGTCAAATTCAAGTAAACTCTGTCTCTTATATGAGAGAAAATTTGATGGAGCAGGGAAACAGGAATCTTTCTCTGTGTAAGCTGACTCACTGACCCTTAGGTTGAACCAAAAACAATAGGGAGGAGCAGGAAGTAAGAGCGTCCTTCCACAAGCATACTCTGAATTTGACCCAAACAAGTGAGTGAAATGATAAGAAATGATAAGCCTGGGTCTGGGGTGGGCCAGATTGGGCTAGACTCCAGCACCCACTGGTGCTTGTCAGAACCAGGGTAGGTGTAGGATGGACTTGGTTGGGTCTCTGTCCCTACTAAGCCATGTGTGAGCTGTTTCTGGGTGTGGATCAGGCTTGGCTAGGCTGAAACATTCAACAGTAAAAATCGGAATGGGTTGAAGGCCAGTCAGGAAAGACTGCCAGGATAGGAGGTAGACTAAGTAGGGCTGGCCTATGGACCCACCAGTATGCGCAAGATCTAGCACTGGGAGAGGTTCTGATGGAGGAGCTTGGGAAACTCCTCTGTCGGGACATAGTCTCTGCAGGTGAGCGCAAGAACAACAATAGGGAGCAGCTTGGACCAAGACAGGAACAGTACCCATCGGCATACATTTGGCACAGGTCAGGGGCGAACCAAGCTGGGCCAGTTCATATCACCCCCTGGTGAATCTGAGCACCAGAATGGAGTGTGGGTCGGGCAGGGATAGGTCACAACAAAAGCCAGTTCATTGAGGGCCAGGACTGGAGCCAGCTGAGCTGGGCTAGGCTAGGATGTAGCCCCCATCAGCGTGAGTTGGAATTGGGGCTGGGCCGGACCCACCCAAGCTATAGTACCCACTGGTAAATGTTGAGGAGAGGTGGTCACAGCACCTAACCAGCACATGTGAAACCTCCGGGGGGTAGCGCAAAACTGGCAGGGGGAATGTGGAGGGCTCCCCTGCTGGACCACCACTCCCACTGGAGAGCATGAGTTGGGATGGGAGCAGACCAGACCAGGCTGGACAGGGCTACACCACCTGCTGACCTCATGTGGGCTGGATCGGGGAAGGTCAGACTGGGATGACTGTTCCTACTGCTGCATGCATAAGTCAGAGTGAGGGTGGGCTCTCTGTACTTTGCCACAGCATCAGCTGGCAGATGCTGGTATGTGTAGCAAACTGTCAAGTTAAACTGCAGAATCACCTGGTGAATGCAAGATCCAGGAGTGGGAGTGGACCCAGTGGGGCAACAGTGTGAGCACCTCTTTCTTGGGTTGCCACTCCAACTGGTAAGCCTAAGAACCAAGATTGGGGCAGGCATGGCCAGAAAGAAGTGGCACCCACCAGTAGGTGTATGGGCTGAATAGTGGGGTTGGTTGGGTTGAACTCAGCTCCAACGCCCACTGAGGTGTATGAGAGCTGCAAGGGATGTGGGACAAACTAGATGAGTCTGCTGTATATACTGGTAAGCATGGGAACCAGGGCAGGGGTTGGGTCTGGAGGGGGTTATTGTGGGTCGCTCTGACTAGGCTGCAGCTCCCACCACCAGTGTCTGTGAAGACCAAGTGTGTGGTGGACAGTATCGGGCTGCAACACCCACTGGTTTGTGTAAAAGACAGTGCTGGAGACAGAACTGACCCAACAATTTCAACCGCCAGCATGTACATAAGCTAACTGGGGTGATGGACTATGCCCGACCCTGTTTTGGCAAGCACACACAAGAACCAGATCTGGTATCACCTCAGATGAAGTTTCTATTGGAATACCTCCAACTAAATTGCTGGACTCAGAACCCCAACCATGGAGAGAGTTGCAGGTTCCATGGTCTGACTTTGGAGTTTATGTGTCAGAGCTGGGCCTCCTCAGTGGCTTAGACAGAGCAGTGAATAGCATATCCAGGTGCACATGGAGGTTATGGCAGTAAACTAAAGTCTGCAGAGGACACTTGGTACGACAACAGAGAATGGAGGACAGAACAAATTGATCAACTACCCTAGTCAAGTGCTGGCAGTGAATATCTGGGCAAACAGAGACTCTAAGATGGATTGTGTCAGCCAGTGGATTCTGGAGAGATTTCATTGTGCTTGCAGTGGCAAGATCGGCAGTAATTTGGAACTGTGGAACTATCAAAACTTCGTGAGCACGTCCCACATGGGGGGTCCTGGGGTGGTGTCAGGTGGCCACCCTCCATCCTGGGGTGCGGAGGCATCTGGGAGGCTGGTGTAGCTTTTCTCCTTGACTTCCCTGTTCCCCCAGATACAGAAAGCAAAAAAAAGAGAGAGAGAATGTGGAAATTGTGATCTCATCTACCTTCCTGTAGCCCTTGACCCTATCCACCCTAATCAACTATGTAAAAATCATCAAAAATAAAAATAATTAAAACTCTAAAAAATTAGAAATGATCAGCGAGATTGCATTCTACTCCTCGTCCCTCTGCCTCACTGATCCTCAGCTCATTCGCTCACAGCCATCCCATCGTGTGTCTGCAGCCACAAGGACATCTGGAAAGTGGGGTCCAGTGACTCTTCATGTCTCCTGTCTATGCCCCCACGATCCCACACCCTGTCACCGTGTGTTTGGTTTATCATCCTCATGAAAGCCCAGCTGAAAAAAATCACACTTTGCTTTTATGCAGAATTGTTGTAAGGTGACATTAGCTGATTTGCATAAAACCATCATTTATAATAAGGAGGAACTCTATATTTTTAAATTATTATTATATACCTACTATTAATCAGTTCATCATTCCGGGGAATGAAGGACAAGATATAACTATGCATTCTGTGTTCAGAGGGGTTGACAGTGTTCATTTGGTATTGTGCTGATATCAAAGGGGTCTTCCCAGAATTCAAAGAAAACACAAATTGTGAGGAAACTATGCACAGATTTCCATTTTTGTACCAAATAAGTGTATCTTTTAATTCCACTTTTGTACAAGCTTTCTAAAGGATCCTTGTAAAAGAACACAACTGCAGCATTAGATTTCATTGACCTTCAAATATCCAACAGCAAGATCTCTGGTTCTCAGAACAAATCCCAGATTAGCATCTGGAAAGATGATACAGATCATCAGTTAGGATGAAATAAAGGTGCTGAACTCTCCCAGCGTTTACCATGCCTGCTGTGTAAGGGAGCTGCCATCAACAGCTGGTGACCCTTGTCCCCTGGAAGGAGCCTCAGGGCCTCCTAGACAGTGAGAATGCCAACACACCTCTAAGGCCCAGTCATACCATTCTATGGATTTTACTTAGATATCTTTGATTTGACTCGTAAGAGTCACAGAGGAGCACAGCTCTTTTTAAATCTTACACAGTATATCTTCTATAGAAAATAGGATACTATGTTCTATTTGTTGCAGGTACCATGCAAAGGCTAAGATCAGAGAGTCATAAATTGTAAATCCAGCTCCAAAATGTTCAGCCCAAACAGAAATCCACACCAAGTCTTGCTGCCTAATTAAATAGCATCTACATGACTTCAATAACACGTCTGCACAGAAGCACTCATTATCTAGGCCAAACAAAAGTGTGTTCATTAAATAGCAAGTTCTTTAGCTTCCATTTAAACACCATCTTCAATCATCCCACACAATCTTATGATTAGCCTGGCAAGTCTTTGCTTCAAAGTTAAAACATTCAGTGTCCAGCAAATAATAATGTAAAAATGGAACACTCATTTAAAGTTGCTTTTGACTGAGCCAACTATTTCCTAATCTAACCGAATTTTGCTTATGATGATGGTGTTGCCTTTTGGGAGTTTTGGCTTCATATTGATTTTGGCTGTGTTATTAACTGCTCCTTTCCCACCTAGCCAAGAGGTTGGGATGATTACAGATCTGAACACTTTTCTTAACTTCAACATATGCACGTGCTCATTTTCCCACAAAGATGTGAAGCAACTATTTTGGTTGAATTATTAAAATGACGATAATAAAGTTATTAGTTTTAAAGAGATAAGCTGGAGTAAAATGAAGATACTTTATGAAATAGCATTAGGAAAATTTCAGAAACAGCCACCTGATGGGGAATGGGAAGACTTCACATTTGTTATGGAGTTTGAGATCTTCTCTTTAAACCGCAACATTGTACAGCCTTCAGTGATGTGTAAAATGAGGTGGAGGGACTCGGTCAAGTCTTTCTAGGGCTCTTGACTCATCGATTTTAGAAGAGAAAAGGCAAACTGGCCTCCATTTAAGTTTGCAATTATTCTTCTCTGCCTCTCCAGTCTCCCTCTCCTTTCCTTTTTAGAACACAAAACACCCAGCATCTTCTGAAGGCTCCTGGCTTCAAATTTTCCTTCTAACGGAATCAGGACCACCCTGAAAAGTCTATTTAAAAACTCTTCTCAAAGGAAAACCAAACGTTGCCCAGCAAGAAACAGGAGGTAATTCCCAAGTTTGGTACTGACAAATGAGCAGTGTCCAGGTCTTGGCTGTCTTCCCAGTGAGTCACAGCACCACGTCTATGAAGAACATTGCCCGTGACCTCCTGGTCTATGTCATCCAATCCCAAAGACACTTCATGATTAACTGTCATCTTCCACAGAATATCAAGTGATAGTTAACACCAGCCAATGCTGAATGGGATTCTATGGTTCCCCAAACAATGAAAACTCCTCTCTTGGAGAAACAGAAATGCATGTAGTTGCAAAGAATCAGGAATGGCCAAGGGATGAGTGAATGATGGTGGTTCAAATGTAGAACTTTATAAGATGTAAATGAAATGTATGTTTTTTTCTATAGCAGATATATATGAGCCAAATATTTCTATGTGTAAATACACATACAAATATAAGGACTATTTTCACATAGTTTTAGTCCTATTGGCTCTCTGGTGCATACTCGAATAATACGATGCTTCTTACTGGACCAAAGGTTGATGAGATCATAAATCAACTGCTAACAGTAAAACAGAAAAAGCTACCAATTCAAGGGCATCTGGGGTAAAACCCTTTTCAGTTTACCAATCCTCAGTGTATCACTGTGGTCCAGTTAGAGACACCATTTTGTCTGCCTTGTCTACCTGGGATAGACACTTGCACAGGAGTACCCACCTGGCGTCTGTTCAGGTGTCCCACCGAGAGCTGGAGCAGACTGCTCATGCCTGGTCAACCTCATAGCTTAAAAATCAACAACAACTCTATTTAAATAAACATCGTAGACAACTCGAGCCTAGAAAATACACTCAGTGGTAACTGCAGTGGACAACAGGGGCAAGCTGAGTCGTCTTACAGGGAAGTCACATCACATCAAAGATCTTTGTACAACAAAAGTTTCGTGATTTTATTTGAATCTCAAAAAACATCCTTCAGTGTTAATAGGTCTTAATCTTCAAAAGTTTCATGTGTCAACCACCAACAGCAAAAAATAAACTACATCTCAAAATCAATCAGTTAGATTATAAAAGAGCTGGAAACTCATAAAAACCATAAATCAGGTAGTATAGATTTTGATTTCTAAGATCTGAAACTGCTTTATCTGGAGCTTAGCACTATACTACAACAGGTGATTCTTAAATGTTTACTTGCAATTATTTTTGATCCCTGAAACGCTGGGTTACTGATGAATCAATGGGCTTTAATCCACTCTTTCCAAGTTCAAGATATCACATTTCCCTAGCTTTTCATAAGATAAAGGTGTAACAAACCAAATCGAACACTACTTGGTGATTAAAAATGTTCACATTACATAATGTTGTCTTTTCAAAAGACATCAATGAAAATGCAAGTCTTTCCACTTTTGAGAGGATAAAAAAATCCATGTGGACTGTTACTTTATTAACTTAACAGCAGTTATTCAAAAATTAATCACTTAATAAATTTCATAGGTCAATAATAATACATGTAAATACACTCATTAATATGGTCATTTAGTGACTGATTTTAAATTATTGGTCAATATTGTGCCTAGTCAATTGAAAAGTTAGGAGAATTTTTATCATCTTTAAAGGTGTGATACAAAGAAAGAATTTCATAAAACAAGCCTAAGCACTATTTTTAAAATTGGCAATGAAGCTTGTTTCTATTTATAAATTATCTCACAAAGTTGGGCAGAAATTCAACTCCTCTGCTAACTCAACTCAGCCAACAGCACCCACAATGAATGGAGTATTGGGGGCCAGAGTGGCTGCTTCTACCAGAAAGCTTAACTCCCAAGTTCAACCTCCTTAACTACCACGGGTCTTGTTGTCTGAGCCTCATCCAGAAAAACTTAAGCCATGAGGCTGGTACCAACTCCCAAATCCCAGACTTAGGGCCAAAGGTTCTTCTAAGTCTCCCACCAAGCAGCTGCTGCCTTCTGCATTTCAAAGCCATCTATTTCCATCAGGACTTTATTGACCACGGACCATTGGAAAAAGCCACCCATAGGCTGATTCTCTAGAAGATCAGCAATCCCTACCAGTGAGCACTACTCTGGCAACATGCCACAGGTAAGTCAGCCTCTGAAAGACACTGAATAGTCTTCATGGAAGGAGCGAAGGTGATACTCAACGGATTTTGGAGGTCAGGGTCTCGGGAAGGGAGAGTGCCCTCTTGGACTCCGCTGGCCCTTTCACACTGTCCCTCAGGGACCGCACGCTCTTCTGCCGGTTCCGAGCGAAGCGGGCCCTCTTAATCTTCCACAAGGCAGCATCGCTGAGGTTGGCCACGTTGGTCCTCACGGCAGTGATGGCTGTGCAGGAGGAATCAGAAAGGGGATCATGTTCCTTGACTGGCCAGGTAACGCAGCTATCTGAAACGATCCATCCAGGTATCATTTCAGAGTTAAAACATTGAAGTTGCTTAAAATCTTTCTGGATGCTTGAGTCCTCTGTCAATGATGAGTCTGATGTGTTTTAAAAAATGATAACTACTGTGTATAATGACCAGAACCTGTCCTTTTCCTGTTTAGATCATAAGACCATAAGAGTTAATTGTCTGATTTTGTTATTTCTGGACAGTTGAGGGACTAATGTCTTTTCCCCATCTAGCTAGAGCTGCAGGTAATGAGTTAATAAGGATGCAGGAGAAAGTTTGCAAAGTGCAAACACATCTTGCGTAACAGCTTACAAACATTACAAACATAACAGCTGACCACCGTTGGGGGACAACATAGTCTCACACGGTTATCAAAGGCCTTCCAGGAAATGAGAAGAGGTCTCACTTTGGAATGCCAGAATACACTGAACTCTACCCATGTCTATGGTTAAGATTTAATAAGGTTTTGATGAGTGGAAGACACGAGGTCAAGACATTCTCCCTGCGGTCAACTTGAATACCAAGCCTATTCTGCATTATCCAGCAAACACAACAGAAACTGGGACCATTGTTTCACTTACTTGTAGGAAAAGGAAATTCTTTGTTGCAATCCAAATGTAACTGAGCTTCCAGGGACAGGGTCTCAAACCTGTTGACAAAGAACTCCCAACTCAAGGCAGGGATGTCTTGCTTAAGAAAATGCAAGAGCAAAAGCTTGCTCAATATCGTGGGTCGGTCTTTCACCACAGTGTCAAACTGGAAATCAAGACAAAGACACAGACCCTAGGGAGAGGGAGAGAAAGGAATATCAAAGATAGACACCTAAGTGACTTCAACACTGACATGCTGTGCAAAGCCAGTGCAACAAGACCACCCTTGAACCCACACTGACAGTACAGCAATCCAACCCATCTTTCTGCCTACAGTTTTAGTAGCAAAAAAAAAAAAAAAAAAAAAAAAGGCAGAAGAGGAACTTCTCCTAATTGAGTTGTGATTCAGAAATCTGAACTAAATATAAGTTACTGGTTTTTAACATATTACATAACGACTGCTTAATCAAAATACCCTGAAACCCATTTTTTTCTTGTTTTTAAAACATTCACTTAATTTATCTGAAACACAGAATGAGACAAAGAAACACATGAGAGACAGACCCTGAGAGAAAAATCTCTTATTTTCTGGTTTACTCCCAAATGCCTCCAAAACCCAGCCAGGTTTGATAGAGTCTGGGAGCTGGGTATTCAGTGCAAGAGTCGCCCAAGGTGGCCTGGGGCATCACCACCACGCACTGCCTCACAGGGTGCATAAGGATGAAGCTGGACTCACACCTGGTGCCGACATTGATGAACCAAGCAGTGTCTTAACCATATCAGTGCCTGCCCCAAAGTTTTTAGTTTGCATCATTTCCACTAACAGAGACATACATTTGAAGATTTATTTTTCATTTACTTGAAAGACAGAGTTATACAGAGAGTCTTCCATCCACTGCTTCACTCCCCAAATGGCTGCCATGGCTGGGGATGGATCAGGATGAAACCAGGAGCCCAGAGCTTCTGGGTCTCCCACACGGGTGCACCCTGCTGCTTTCCCAGGTGCATTAGCAGGGAGCTGGACTGGAAGTAGTACAGGCTGGTCTCAAAATGTCATCTAGGTGGGATGCCAGCATTGTAAGCAGCAGCTGGATCCATCACTTCACAGTGCCAGCCCCAAGAAGCACATTCTCATACCTGCATTTTAGAAGGCAAGAGAAGATGACCTTTAAATTCCCTCCCAGTTTTAAACTTCATGCTTTTATAAGAAAGGTCACCTTTTCTTCTCGAGATGTGAATGGAACATAGGATGCTAAAAAATTGTAGTTGGAGTGGATTGTACATCTCTTTCTCCAGTGCATGAGTCTACCACTCTGCCTCTTCTTAGCAGGATGAAATTTAAAAATTGACATTCAGGGGCCGGCATGGTAGCAAAGCAGGCTAATCCTCTGCTGTGGCACCAGCATCCTGTATGGGCACTGGTTCGTGTCCCAGCTGCTACACAACTGATTCAGCTCCCTAGTATTGGTCTTGAAGGGTAGTGGTGGCTGGCTTAAAAGTTTGGGCCCTTGCAGCCATGTGGCAGACCCAGAAGAAGCTCCTGGCTTCAGAGCAGTCCCGGTAAGAACAGGGACTTTTTCAGGAGTCAGTGTTCACACTGCCACTTGCTAGCTATGTGATTCTGGAAAAGTTACTTAAACTTTGTAAGCCTCAGCTTCTCTATCTGCATCATGAGAACACTTAAAAGGCTACTGTGGTGATTAAATGAGATAATTTGCAATGGGACATTTTTTAATACACCGTCCTGCCAATATAGAACCTAACTGACAAATGTCAGCTCCTACTTTGATGAAATAATAATGAAATTTAAAAAGTCATGGATAAATATGAAAAACAATAAATCTGGATTTTGCAGGTTCTGGTCTCGGTTCTCTCACTAGTTCACTTTGCATCCCAGAGCAGGCGCAGTGGAAACGTGGGTTAACCCATCCTCTATAATGCTGGTATCCTGCCCTACAGTGCCAGTTCTAGTACCAGCTACCCTGTTTCTGATCCAGCTTCCTGTTAATGTGCTTGAAGAAGCAGTGGGAGGTAACCTAAGTGGTTAGGTCCCTGTCACCCATCTGGGAGATCCAGATAGAGTTCCTAGCTTCTGGCTCCTAGTCACTAAGACAATTTGGGATGTGAACCAGTGGATTAAAGATCTCTGTCTCTCTTTGTCACTCTTTCAATTACATAAAATAAATTTTCATGATAATTTACTTTGTATCCTTTGATAAGTCACCTTAGGACTTGATTTCTCAATTACAAAATAAGGATGCCAGGCAAGGCATAAAAAACAACTCTGTCCTGGTCCTACAGTTGATTTTTCTTTGGCTTTCATTTGTCAGTAGACTATTTACTTTCTCAAGTTTAATACTGATTAACAATACACAATTAATAAAATATTGATAAGCTATGTCATTTCTCTAGTCTCAATTGACAGGGCTTTCAGCCCAGGAAGCAGCCAAATATGGCAGAAAATAAACCAGCCTAGTCTCAAACCTGCCCCCTCTGTAGCACACACAACTGTACAAATGTGCCATCAACCCAGAGACAAAGAAGGAAAACAAAGTACCAATAAACAAAAGAAGGAATCGTTTGCTATCGTGTAGTTTTGCGATGGTTTTTATTCCAATTTGAAAATTCCACTGTCATCGTCATCTATGTCACATGTGTTTCTGTGATGCTGCAATCAGATGCCTGTGTCCCTCCCAGAGGTCATCACCAGGGTGATGGTCCCAGGAGACAGCCAGGCCACACGGACAGAACCTTTGGGAGTGACCTTAGGGTCACCAGAAAGAGGCACCAGGCACAGCGGATGATCCCACCTGTGATGAAGATCAATCTATGCCCCATGCCCCTTGATCCAGCCTTCAGCACTGCGAGAAGTTAAACTACCCAGTCCATGGTACCATATGGCAGCCGGCCGGACTGACCACACCACATGGCAGCTCTACAGTTTAGTGGCGCTGACACTGACCACGTGCAGAGCACACACCACACGTCACCTGCAACGCGGGCCTCTTGATGGTGTCGAGCAGCAGACCAGCCCTGGTGGCTACCGCGGGGTTGACATCCTCCACAGCTGTCAGGAAGCAGCAGAAAGCATGAGCCAGGGAGTACTTCAGCAGGTGGTTTTTGGTCACTGAGTGAATGTCCAGAAATCTACAAATCACAGCCACTTTTTCCACTGCAGTGACAAATACAGAGGACAGTATTATTAGGATATATGTATGTATGTATATACACAAGGAGAGACAATATACATGAATAGACAGATGATAGATAGATAGATAGATAGATAGATAGATAGATAGATAGATAGATAGACAGATAGATAAATAGATAGATAGATAGATAGACAGACAGATAGATAGATAGGGTCTGAGAGCTGACCCTTCTCAGAACAAGCTAACTTCAACACTGAAAGGGAATCCGCAGGGCACTGTCTCTACTGTCCCATCTCAGTACAGCAGAGATCACTTTTACTCATACAGTGCTCTTCTGCCACGTCTCTGCCCATTTCCAGGGCGTTCCACAGAGGCTGCACCACTGCAGAGAGCAGAGATCAGCCTGGTTCTGGGCCCCCAGTCCCTACTTCACTCTCACTAGGTCATCATGTGAAACGACAAAATCCAGATAGACTCTTATCAGAGCTATAGAAACTGCACATGTCTTCCACGATATGAATAGACCTATGCTTGCCAGAGTTCTGATTATTCTGCAAGTCTCTGTGCTCCATCACTAAGTAAGGGAGACTGATGTAAAACGCGAAGATGAATCATTTCAAACTCTTGACTTCAAAGTCAAGTTGACTGAAAGAGTTGAGGAAGGAACAACTATAACAGAAATGTCATATAAAACCTCTACTCTAATGAGGTACAGACACTTGTAGAATGCTTTGGGAGATCCAGGGATAAAGAAACCACTGTCTACTAAGGTAATTTTCATCTCAGCAAAAAAAAATTTAAGACAACAAAACATGGGGAACTGTGGCCTATGTCACATGACCTTGCTTGCTGCACCTGTCCTACAAGACAGGAGGCTCAGAGAACACCCACAGGTCCCTCTTCACCAACTTACTCTGAGAACCTGCCATGTGGACACTCTGCAGTCAGCCCCGTCGCTGTGCCAGACTCAGTCCCTGATGCCGTGATGGTAAGAGAGGACAGCAGCAGGTCTCCAATCTCCTGCAACTACCTGGAGGGCTTGTGAAAATCCACATAACTGGCTCAGCTCACCCCTGCTTCAGTCGATTTAGGGTTGGACCTGACAACCGACTTTGTCACAAGCATTGCCAGCATCTGTGGTGTAAGTAACCTCATAGGATGGCCACATTATGGATTGCCCAAGCAGAGACCTTTCTGGGAGCAAATGAGGGTGCAGTTGATTGTGACACCTGTACAACAGGCATAGAGTGGGGTTACCCTAGGCAAGCCTGGGCAGCATCATCCTACCTCAGGACCACTCTGCAGAGAAAGTTCAGCTACACAGACCCACAGAGAGCACCATCCAGCAGAAGGATGTCCTTTTGCAGGAGGGGAGGAGAAATACGGCCACACATGGGCGAGCGTCAGGACTGCACACCTGCTTTCCGAAGAGATTTTTTTAAGCTAATAGAGAAGTACCTGCTTCAAACCTCATCTTCCAGTCTTTGCTGTTGAAGTTGCCATTGATGATTGCCCAGAAGATATCAGCACCATGAGGAAGTGACAGCGCATGCAGAAGGAGAGGGACGGCCAGTGAAGACAGCTGGGAGAACTCGGACTTGAGTACTCTCCACAGGCTGGGGGTGAGGAATGGCACAGAGGTTAAGGTCATCGCCACCTTGCCAGAAACGTGACCCTCTTCTCTCCAGGAACAGGTGGTCTACAAGGATGCTTGTGGAAAAAATCCCGCTCATCTACAAAACCGTCACCCTTTGACAAACCTGCCCGAGGCTCTGCTGATACAGACAAACACCACTTAATACAGTGAACCTAGATCTCATAAAATCAGCTGTATAAAACCCAAGTGACTTAAGAACATATCAAACTAATATTAGACATGTCACCACAATAGGATAAGTGACTCTTTACATTTTTTTTTCTGATAGTGAATATCTTGGAAGTTCTGGTTCTGTCTGCCTGGCAGGCATTTTCCTTTTATTAGGGCAAAGAGCAACTCCTTGTCTATTATTACCAGCATCTTGGTCAACTGACAATGCTGTCAGTCAAACTCCCCCACCTTCCTTCTCACAAGGGAGAACAAAAAATATAGATTGATCAAAGAACATAATTGCCCTGGGGAGTGATTAGTCCAGGAGTGGGCATGTGCTGCCTGCTTGGGCATGCCAAAAGCCCTTTCCCAGGGACTGGTATGGACTAGGGGAAACAGGTCTCTCTCTCTCCTTCTTAAATCTCAGCAACAGAGGGCAGTGTCCATCCAGGGCTATCAACGGCCCTACTGACATCCCTCTGGAAGAAAGCCAACACTGAACTAACCAGTCAGCATGTACTTCCATCTAAGAAGCCAGCAGTAACTGGTCCAAGTGATGAAGAGGGCAGTGGGAAGAGGGGTGGAGGGGAGAGAGAGAGAGAGAGAGAGAGAGATCTGATAATGTTTTGGTTGAGGATTCTATTTTTTTTTTTAAATCTGTTTATTTTACTTGAAAGTCAGAGAGGAGAAGAAGCACAGTGTAAGATCTTCCTCCTGTTGGTTCACTCCCTAAATGGCTGCAATGGCCAGAGCTGGGCTAGTCTGAAACTGGGAGCCAGAAATTTCTCTCAGGTCTTCCACATGGATGCAGGGGCCCAAGAAGTTGGGCCATCCTCCACTGCTTCCCCAGGCCATTAGCAGGGAGCTGGATCTGAAGTGGAACAGCCAGGATTTAAAGGAGCACACATACAGAGTGCTGCATCAGAGGATTAACCTGCTTTACCACTGCGCCAGCCCTTCCTGGGAAGTATTTTACACCTCAGCAGACTTAACTCAATCTCACAGATTCCACTATGATCTGGGCACATTTTAGTAGTACTGGTTTCAAAATCTTTGGTCAATTATTTAAAAAATTTAAAAAATTGGGCTTGGCGGCGTGGCCTAGTAGCTAAGGGCCTCACCTTGAATGCACCGGGATCCCATATGGTCATCAGTTCTAATCCCGACAGCTCCACTTCCTCTCTATCTCTCCTCTTCTCTGCTAACTTTGTTATTAAAATAAAATAAAATCTAAAAAAAATTTATTTAAGAAATGTTTTTGCTTGTTTTGTTCTTGTTTACTATTGGTTAGCTTGTGTCCTGTTTGGTTTCATGATTAATATCAGAATCAGCTTGTGAGACTGAAAAGCTCATAAAACACAGTTCAAAGATGCCAAGAACCACCCACAAAGCAACTCCTTACAGAGAACACAGGCGGGCACAGGTCACCGGGGGCTTTACTTCTCAGATGACATTCCAGAACCAGAGAAACAAGAGAATAATTTCCAAACCCTGAATACTTTACCTGAATGCACATGAACAAACAAGGGCCTAATCCCAACCAGCCATTAGCAACAGAAGTGCTCAAAACGTGGAGCCAGTTATGGTACCACATTAAGTCCCAGGAAGCAGGGCGAGGACAGGGGCCCTGCCTGCTGCCACTTAGTCTAATTGAGGCAAATACCCTTTTGTTAGCAGCTGCACGCTCTCCTGCCTTCCCAGGCTGGACTTTACCATCTGGTCCTTTCTTCCAGCCTCTCCTCTAACCTTTCCCCCCAGGCTGCGATGATGTTCACATTTTGTCCGAACAGTCCTGGAGGTCCACTCCCAGTTTTATACATGTCTGGCATTTCTCTTCATCTAGCACAGAACAGGTATCCACATTCCTAAAGCCCCCACAATGTCCTCTTTGCCTGGCCCAAAACATGGCAGTGCCCAAGGGTCTCTCTTTCCTCCACCCTTTTCCTAGCAAAACACAACTCTGACCCTGTCCACATCTGATTTTCACACATGGTTCAATAAGGTCCTCCTCTCCAAGTCGCCTTGCGTGAATCCTAAAGCTAGTTCTCCAGTATCATATTCCAGGACTCCTCTAAAACCACAACCTGTAGCAAAAAAAAACTAACCATGGTCCCTCCTAAGCACATTTTGGCCCCTTCTTGCCAACTCTGCTATCTGTTTGCTCCTGACATGCTCACTGTCCAACCAAAGGCCCTCTACTTCTCAGGCAATAAAAATCCATCATTCAAACGGTGTCTGCCCCACAGCCTTGCTCTTTTCAGTTCTCCCACCTTATCACTGCAAACAGAAAGTCACTGGTTACATTCTCTGGGGACTAACAATGACTTATGAAGGCACAGGGTAACCATGCATCTTAGAAACCCAAGACCTTCTGCGTGGAGAGTACTATGAAGGTGGGCCAATCTGAGTAACAGCTTCGATGGCCCCTTCTGCCTGTATAATATTCATCACCTTCCAAACTACACTGCAAATTCCCAAGGTTCCTGAAATAATATCATATGCAGAAAGTCCTGATTATATGTATTAAAGTAAATAAATGAACAAAACTAGCAAAGACCAACAGAACCTCAACTTGGCTTTGTTATTAAGTTAACATTACTCAACTCACTCTCTTACAAATTAAAATGAGGATAATATTTTTCTAACTTACTTTCAGAAAGACTGCTATTAGTTACTTCAAGGTTCCTAGGTAGAAAAGTACTGTTAATCTGGGGCAATATTTCATTAGTGTTCTCAAATGCTTTAGCAGTCTCTAAAATATAACTTACTAGATCATATAGGGAAGGACTTTATATTGTCTATTAGCAGCTCTATTTTCTGCAGGGAAAAAAACTAAACCCTTATTTAATTATCCCAAGTAATTGTTGACTTATTAGCTGTTGACATTTGTCTACAATATGCTGTATTCTTAAGCCACCTAACAATCAAAAGCTCTAAAATAATCTTTGTTTTACCTTTTTTATTCCTATAATATTTAGCAAATGAGCATTATATGTTCTCATTTGTATACTTACATCCCTGTATGATAATGAAGCTATCTTGGCTAAGAAAAACAAACCAAATGCACTAGTAAGACTCAATGTAACATTCTTTCATGACTACAGCCTAAAGCAAAATATAAGAAAAACATACCTTGCAATCAACATGTGGTCCTGAATGTAGGCCAGAAACTGGGGGTGGTCTTTCCTAGCAATGTATAGACACTCTCCATGCAAGCAGAGGATCTTCAGGCAACTGAGCATATTAAAAAGAATGTCTGGCTCTTCAAACTTAGCCATTTCCTATGCAAAGAATCACACAGTTAATGGGAGATCCAAAGCATGAATGCCACCAAACCAAATAGTCAAAGATTTCAGACATTATACCTGGAAAATGGTATAGATTAGTCTCAACGTTACAGGAAGTTGCTGGTAGCAAAATTTTCTTTCAGTGTCATTCTTTATTGCTGTCAAGAAATAATTACACAAAGGTTAATGAAACTCCTTTTCTCCACCCTTCATCAACTGAAAAATGAAGGATGTATCTTAAAGTGTGTAATATTTGTATTTATTCTCCAAATCAACAAACAGCCCTTCCACAAAACTTTTTGAAGGTAGGACTCTAAGGCTCTATTTTTTGCTGGACAATCCATATAAAATTCAGATGTCTTTTTTTTAAGACTTATTTTTATTGGAAAGTCCGATATATAGATGGAGGAGAGACAGAAGACAGAGAGGAAGATCTTTCATCCGTTGGCTCTCTTCCCCAAGTGGCCGCAATGGCCTGAGCTGAGCTGATCCGAAGCCAGGAGCCAGAAGCTTCTTCGGAGTCTCCCATGTGGGTGCAGGGTCCCAAGGCTTTAGACCATTCTCCACTGTCCTCCCAGGCTGTTTGCAGGGAGCTAGACAGGAAGTAGGGCCGTCAAGATTAGAACTGGCGCCCATATGGGATCCTAGCACATGCAAGGCGAGGACTTTAGCTGCTAGGCTACTGCACCTGGCCTATAATTCAGACATCTTTAGCCCCTTGGGGCATCCCAGCCAGCCCCACACTCCTGTGGGTCACCAGTTCTGCTGCTTCCTAAGCCCTGGAGCTTGACTGGAACACACTTTGCTTAGAGAAAGAGAGCAACACAAGTATTAAAGAGAGGTATTCAGGGGTTGGCACTGTGGCACAGTGAGTTAAACCAGCATTTGTGACAGCAGCATCCCATCTGAGTGCCTGTGTGAGTCCTGGCTGCTCCAACTCGAATGCAGCTCCCTCCCTGCTGACATGCCTTGGAAAGCAGTGGAAGATGATCCAAGTGCTCAGACCACCAACATAGGAGACTAGATAGAATTCCAGGTTTCTGGCAACCTCAGTTACTAGGGCCAGTTGTGGGGCTGTGCCAGTGGATGGAATGTCTCTTTCTCTCTAACTCTGTCTTTCAAGTAAACAAATTCATAAAAAGAAGAGAGGTACTCAGGTCACATTGGCAACTACAGAGGGCTGAGCTCACAGACTTACACAATAGGCCTGGGTAACAGGCTGGGGAGTGTTTTGGAGAAGTTGAGCATCTTCAGCTGAGTACAATGACTGGAGGTGTTCTCCTGCTATGAGAAGCCCCGAAACCCTCCACAGTGGGAATGGCAGCACACTTACTGTCTAGGAGGTGCGCCAGAGGAGGTGACTCACACGTGAACCTCATTTAAGAGTGAGGCTAAACTGCCTTCACATCAACACTGTATGTTCTGGGCTTGTCGAGGATCAGTGGCAGCCAAACCTGCTGGGTCTACATATTCAACAGCTGACCATGGAATCTCCCACCCAGTGGCACTTGGCTCTGCTTTGTCTCAGGTGAGTTTATTCAGTAGCAGATAGAAGTGATCACTCTAACAGGTGTCAGGCTTCTAAATGCAGAAAAGGGAACCGCTCAGGCAGGAGGGGAGGTCACTGAACTGGACAGTGTCCCATCCAAGGAGCACCCCTTGGTTTTCTGACAGCACAGCTTGGGACCCATGTCTGAAGGTAGGATCCCGGCTGTGAGCAACAAGGAACACAGACTACGGGTGAAAAGTCAACAGAGTTTCTAATTGTGTCCCACAGGACAGCATGAACACCAGTTACGCTGCTCCAGCCCAGAATGCCCCACCGTGGTTATAGTCCCATGCAGTTGGTGAGACCTAAAGCACCCTTGCCCAAAGCCCATGCAGCCTCCCCTCATAGCCACCTCTTTCTTCAGCGAGAACACAAGGCTGGGCAGGTGGGGTGGTGATGTTTCCTACGCCAACACGATGGGTTGGCATCTATGAAACACCTCTGCTGCCAGAAACACATGTGGGAAGCAGTGTCTCCACCCCCAGAGCGGCTGGGTGGCACCAGGACATTCTGAGGAAGCCCAGTCTGAAGTTGCCTGAGTCCATTTGTACCTAAGCAGCCAGGGTTCAGAACCTGAGGCCCGGCCGCAGCGTTGGAGAGGCGGGGGCTGCCCACCTACCAGCAGGTTCCGTGGGTGCGGCGCGGCTGCCCGGGTTCTCCCCGTGCCTGCCTGTAGGGTTCTCCTCCTCCTCTCCTTCAGGGCCTACGATGAACTCTGGTCTGGAAGAGAGGAGACTGTCTTCAAGGCTGTCTGTGGGTTCCTGAAATAGATGCAACAAGCAGCCAGATGAGCAGCCCTCGAGGGACACAAGCCGTCGGGCTCAGATCCACAGAGACCAGGACCTTCCTGCTCTGCCCCTGGCCCCATCTGGGCCAGAAGAAGGCAGGGGGGCCACCTCGCAGAAGCCCTGAACTCACTGCCAGCCCACTGAGAGCCAGTCTCTCTCAGCGGGGGCTGCCACATTTGCTTTCAACTGAAGCAATGTGGGAAAACACAACGTAGTTGGATCTTCCCACGGGTGCTTTCTCACCTCCACTCTAATCCCTAGCACCCATGTCCCACTCACCAAGTGACTCCCACACATGCACATTTTGTTCAGTAACAGAATTGAGAAAGGAAGGAGGAACAAGAGAGTCCTGGAGATACATTAAAATACAAATATTGGCCATCCAGGGAAGCCGGACTTTGAACAGCAAGAAATTACTATCCCACAGGATAACAAGTGCTCATCAGCAGGTGGGTGGACAACAGTGCGTGGTCTACACACACACAGTGGCCAGCAGGTGGGTGGACAACAGTGCGTGGTCTACACACACAGTGGCATGTTACTCAGTCTTCAAAAGGAAGGAGATTCTGGTTCAGACTACAGCACGGATAAGCCTGGGGGATGTTTTGCTCAGTGAAATGAGCCAGTCCCCAGAGGGTCACCACTATATGAGTATCTACAGTTGTCACACCCAAAAAACAATGTGAAACAGTGGTTGTCGGGCACCAGGGGGAGAAAGAAAACTGCTATTCAAGGCATGCAGTTTGTCTTATTCTACCTTTCCTCTTAGACTCCATCTTCAAACATCCTCCTTTAAAAATGTCCTCTTCTGGTGACTGTTTTAAACAGTAAACATTTTTTCAAGCATGACTTGAGGGTCAGCTCAAAGAGAGCAGGGGACAAAGACCAAGGGGATACAAGAAGACCCGAGGCAGAAGGAAAGCAGGGCAGGCCAGCCCTGTGGCTGGGAGAGCTCTGAACGCCTTCGCTGGTCGCTCTGGCCCAGTGCTGGGATCATTCAGGAACAAATGCTCGGTTGCCCCGGACTCTCGTCCTGTACTTCCGCTGACAACAGAACAGTTCAGGTGGCCAGGACACACCGCAGGGACCAGTGTGCTACGGCACAGGCCTCCTGTAAGGATGGACTTGAGAGAGGAAGATGGATCTCTGAGCTTCATCTCCAAGTATGTATGAAGCACAGGACAAACCTCCAAAGCCTCCCGGGGAAGGCCCTCATGAGAAGCCGAGCCCGTGTTGGCACAGTACCCTTGGACTCCCCGGCTTCTGGAACCAGCAGTCAGGTCACCTTCTGTTTTCCATCCACACAGTTTCAGAAAGCACGGTGGGGTTTGTTTTGGTGACTCGGTTTCCCTACCTTCCCGCCTGATCCTGTCCTGTTCATGGGGTGGTGTCAGTATTGGAGGCAGAGGACAGGGTTCAAGAGACCCTCACCCTGACTTATCACCCCCGCTGCCTGTGGCCACTTCCTCAGCTGAGTTTGTTCTCAAACAACTGATGCCTGGGACCAGCCTCAGTTCCTTCCCAGTCTCCTCCCTCCCCAGGGCACCAAACACAAACCCCAATGTCAGGATCCCCAGGGCACTTCTCAGTCCTGCCTCTCTCCTCACTTCTGAATCTGGCATGACTGACAGCCTTGGTCATTTCAAAATGATCACCCCTAGAGCCCAGCTCGCCTTGGTTTCTGAGCTACTCGGTATTCCTCTGCATCTTGGCTGTGATCAATTTAGTTCTGACCTCTTCCCCCTTCTTCCCTATTACATGGGCACTTCCCAGAATTCTAGCCTTTGCTCTCTCCCCCTTTTCCTGCACACATCCTACCATAACATGACCATGGACTCCAAATGTTTGTCTCCTTCTGATCGTTCTTGTGAGGTTTCCACTTGAATGCCTAAAAGGCACCCCAACTCACTATGTCCAAATATGATCACCATACAATCCACTTCCAAAAAAAACCAATCTTTTACAATTGCAGTAACATCATCTGTAAATGGCAACATTATCAACTCCAGCTCCCAAGAGAAAAAAAAAAGTTACTGTCTTTTTACACCAACACATTGTCAAGACCTGAGGTGCTATTGAGTCTCCTTCCTACAGTATCTTCCAGACTGACCCCTTCTCCATGAGCACTGCCACTCCACGGGGGTGGCCCGCCTAAATTCATCCCTGGGTCACTGGACTAGCTCTTATACTTGACCCTGCTCATTCAACCCTTTTAGTCTATCTACTCCACTTGCACTGTATGTTTCTCCAATTGGTGGAACTCATCTCTCTGCTGAAAGTTTTTCAGAATTCCCTCATTGAGACATAGTCAGAACCCAAACTAACTCATTTTGTGAATACAAAATTGGGTACACCTTTCCAAACTGAACTTTCACTACCTTCTGGTCCTTTTCGCGGCCTTAGTCACATGGAGCCACTTAAACTTTTCTGAGTACATCCTCCTCTTCCATCATCTATACAGAGAGAGTTCTGGGTCCGACGGCCTCTTCCCTCCACTTCTTTTCATTCACTCCTCATTCAGGGAAGAGCTCAGCTGGCCTTCCTGTCCCAACACACCTTCAAGCTAGCTCTACTGTCCCTTCCCCGTATTCCTATAATTGCCCTGGCCACTGACTCAGATAATTCAAGTTCACCTACTGTGATGGTATCAGAGTATTTCAGGGATGTGTGTGCCTAGCTTCTTCTTTATGTAAGACAAAGAAAAGCCAATATCTGAAGTAGGTAAAATATGGCATATATTATCTGTTTCACTTCAGACAATTTTCTGGGAAAGCTGAGTGGGAAAGAAGTAATAAGAAAAAAGGAATGAGAACTTCTGACTGCCAAGGAAGTTGATGGGTTTTCCAAACTGAAGCCCCCTTGGAATTCTCAGTGTCCACGCGCAATTTGCAAAAATTTACTTAAGATTTGTATGTGTATCCTATAGTACTTACTGGTATTTAAATCTTGTAAGACGATACTGTGATCCAAGTTGTTGTAAAGATAACAGGAATTTTTGCATGCATAAACACTGCAGGACTGAGGACATTACAAACCTAACTCAAGCCACCTAAGAGCAGGAGCCTGAGTTGACAGAGCCACAGGGCAAACTTTCTTCCAACACAGAGTCAGGCATAAAATACTGGAGCAAGTGACTCCACTGCAGCAGCTCCCACAGACTTCATCACTGTTACACATGCACATTGCAATTCTTCAACACTTACCACCAGCCGGCTCTCTTCTTTGGGAGCTAGTCTCTCCAGGAGTTCACAAGCAAGCTGATAGCAGAGAATACTCAACTGACAGAGGTTACACTCGACCGCTTTTTCATCCTTCTGACAGGTATGAGAGCCCCCCCAAGGGGCTTGGAAGACATTGTTTATGATAGAAATGATGTCCTTTGACAAGTTGTGCTCTAAACCCATCGTGATTCCATCATCTTGTAATTCCATCTGGAAGCCAAAAAAAAAAAAAAAAAGGACAAAAAAAAAAAAAGAAGAAGGAGTTTGGTCCTTGTGTCCAATATTTCACTGGTATTTGACTTGGGGACAACTTTCCTAACTGAACACGTTTTTAAATTGTTTTAAGAAGATGTTAGCATTCAAGACTATCAGTATACCTTGCTTGCCACAGATTCTTCCAGTGAGTCAAAGCATCAGCAATTACTTTAGGACTTTTACAGAGTTAGTTTTCAAACTCCTCACTTCATGAGATTTGACACATTTCTTAAAAGGCTTCTCCTCGCCTAGCAGACAGATCTTGGTTTCTAAAACATCATTTTCCATTAAAAGGAACCATGGATAATCCCTGGGAAGACACTAGGAAAATAAGAGCCCGGAACATCTTTTCCTACCAGAAATTAGGAAAGTGCTCCGAGAGCTTGCAGCCATGTCAAAGCAGTGCAGTGGTCACTCTGCAGGGACGACCACTGGCCAGATACTCCACACTACGAGCATCAAATCAACTAATCCTAGTAACAGGGGACAGCCCACTAAGTCAAGGTCCACAGGTGCATGGGAAGACAAGCAGAGAAATAAACAAACTCTCTCCCCTCTTAGACTATCAGCTAATGAAGTTAGAAGAAATTAGGGAATTAGAAAATTGTTATTGAGGCTGGCACAGTGGCTCCACCTGCAGCACTGGCATCCCATATGTGCACTGACTCAAATCCTGGCTGCTCCATTTCCTGATCCAGCTGCTTGCTAAAGGCCTGAGAGAGCAGTGGAGCATGGCTCAAGTCCTTGGGCCCCTGCATCTGCATGGGAGACTCAGAACAAGCTCCTGGTTTCCAGCTTTGGACCAGCCCTAATGGGGTCACTTGGGGAGAGAACCAATGGATGGAAGATACTCTCTCTCTCTCTCTCTCTCTCTCTCTCTTTGTGTCTCTCTCTCTGCAATGCTTTCAAGTTAAATAAATAAATATTTTTAAAAAGAATTATTTGGCAGGCACCAACATTAACAATGATTTAGGTGTGAATTATCCCTTGATGCCAGAACTAGTAGATAAAATTCTGATACAATATAAGGAGTTTCATCAATTTAAAGTATTTCCTGCAAGTTACTTGTTAATTACAAAAGGAACAATACTGTAATCTCTCAGTGTCTGTGAAAGGCTGACTCCAGGCCTCCGCACAGCCCCCTCCATGCTCCTGCAGACCCACAAGTCCTTTATATAAAATGGCACTAACTTGGGGTCAGCCTTGTGACCACCAAGGCCACTGACTGCAGTGCTGGCAATTCCATATATGAGTGTTGGTTTGAGTCTTGGCTTCTCCACTTCCAACTGGGCTTGCCACTAATGCATGTGGAAAACCCAGAAGATGGCCCAGGTGCTTGGGTCCCTGCCACCCATGTTGGAGACCCAGATGAAATTCCAGGCTTTTGGTCCAGGTCATGCTCAACCACTACGACCATTTGGGTATTGAACCAGCAGATAGAAAAATCTCTCTCACTCTCTGTCTTGCCTTCCCCCTCTTTGTAATTCTATGTCCCAAATGACAAAAATGAATCTTTAAAAACAGATAAAATGGCATTATTTTCATATAAACCATGCCCCTCCTCTGAAATACTTTCAATCATATCTAGCTTACCTGTAAAAACTAATACAAGGCAAACAGTGGTTACTGCAGTATTGCTTAGGGAACAATGACCAAAAAAAAATCTGGACACAATTTTTTTCAAATGTTTCCATTCCTTGATTGGTTGAATCTGTGAATACAGAACCCATGGACACAGCGAGCTGACCGTAGCGACTTTGCATTAGAGAAACCTGGCAGAAATCACCTTAAGCAAGACACTAAAGTCGTCATCACCAGCAATGAGGCTGTTGAATTTTATATCTCCTGATACAATGTACCATAAAGGACTTATCACATCTGTGTTCTTCCTGCCAGAAATGTCTAACTCAAACTAGTTCATAAGAAACAGCAGCACAAATTGAGAGACATTCTATAAAAGAACTGGGCAGCACTCTCTAAAAGTGTCAAGGATATGAATTAGAACCAAAGACTGAGACACTAGGCTGGGCTGAAGACGATTCTCATTACTCCTGTAGCAAAAAGGTGATATTATTATTAAATCAATTTTCAAAAACTAATATTACAAAACAATGACATAATGATACGAGTTCTCTGATTTTAGATGTTCTATGACTCTGATGAGATTTGTGATATGTGTTCTGTGAGTGTGTAAGACGACGTCCTTATTTTTTATACAAATACAACCTGGACTGTGTAGGGATAAATATCGTGTTTGCAGATTACTCTCAAATGATTCACTTCAAAATGTATGCATTCGGTAGATGCCTAGCACAGCAGTTAAGATTCCATTTGGGACACCCTCACTCTACATGGAAGTCCCAGAGCTGTTTCTGATTACAGCTCCCTGTCGATGCACAGCTGGGATGTAGCAGATGATGATGGCTTGGGCCCTTGGGTCTCTGCTACCAACACTCGAGAACTGGATTGAACTGTATGACTTTTAGCTTTGGCCTGACCCAGCTGTTGTGAGCACTGGGGAGTGAATCATCAGATGGAAGACCTATCTCTCTGTCTCTCTGCCTTTAAAATAAAATGAAAATAAATAAACTTTAAGTATGCATATACATACAGAGGAAGACAGAGAGCAAGAAGTGAGTGTAGGAAGTCTGAATATCTGGAGATTTGGAGGAGGGGTGTTCAGAAATTCGTTGTACTATTCTTGCAGTATTTCTGCAAATCTGAAATTATTTCAAAATAAGTTAGAAAAAACCGTTCTGTTTAAAATGTTTTAAAATTTCTTTCAATTATTTTCAAAATCAATCAATAACATGGACTAAAAATTAGCCTCATCACTAGAAAGTTTACCTAGCCCTTCCCATCAACAGCATAACCCAATTTATTGACCCAGTTTAATCTCCAGAACCAATTCTAATGATGCTGATGTGTTTCTAAAATCCAAATGCAAGCTCCTACGTTGACATCATTGTAAATATTCACAGAAATCATTATCAGATCCTTTAGGAAGCCCCCAAAGGAGTTTGCAAAACATCTGGAATTGTACAGCACCGCTACCATATGTGTGAAGATGCCCAACACATGGAAAGAATGACTATACACAGCTTCCCCTCCTATGTCACCTTTGAACCAAAGGAAGCTCGTGCTTCAGCTACCTGCTTCAGGAGAAGGTCAAACATGAGGATGAAACAATTTAGATTCATTTCATCATCTTCACAATCAAAGTCAATAGTCCTTCCTCCTGGGTGCCCAAAATTCTTGAAAGGGCTACGAAATGGGCTACGCATAGGACTCCGAAATGGACTCTGGAAAGGACTATGAAATGGACTGAGCATGTTGTGTTGAACTCGCCGGCCAGGATCAGAGGCAACACTCACCTACAAGAGAGAATGTCAACACACAGAAATGAACTCACGGGTGTGCAAAGGAGGTTACAGACATTTGAGCACTCTATGGAAGCTATCTCCAGCTGTCACACTGATTTCCTTCTTTAACCCGTAGCACTGGCACCTCCAGATACTTTGGCCCTTCTCCCAGCAGGAACATAAGAAATGAAACCATCCAATTTTTTGCTATTTGTTAAGGACTAAAAATGAAGAATGAAGGCATTTCCATCTGTATTTTCCATTCTACCAAACTAGATTGTCTGAACCTATGGAAAATCAAAACTTCAAATGTAAAATATTGCAAGATAATGTTAAGAGTCATAAGCACAGATTCCTAGATCGGCAATGACTACTTTTTTAAAGAGACCTTTGGGAGGTTACGGGGATTCAATCGTCATCACTGAATCCCCATAACCTATTGCTATTGCTTGAGTTTTGCTCTATGTACTCAAGCCCCCAGTCCAGACCAAAAACACCCTTCTCTGCCCTCCTCTCGAGTGCAGGGATCCTACGGACTGCCTCCTGTGGCTCTGGCTTCAGATAGGGCTCAGTCATTCGGGAGGCAGCAGCAGAAGACCTGAAGCTAGAGGAAGGAAGTCAGAAAAGTTCTTGCTGCCCCTTGTAGCTTTAATGCTACCAGGGTAGTGTTTCCATCATGTAATAGCTTCTCTAGTCAGCACCTCTTCTTCTTGTCCCTTAGTCCTAAGGATATGATGACTCCATAGGGGAGTGTCACTGGACTCTGGGTGCCTCAGCAACCATTTCTGGGTCTTTGATCTTTCTCACAACTCTGTAGGCAGAATCTTTATTGAAGTCTTTTCTTCTTAATTGCCTGGGATAAATGCTGTATCTGAACCTTAACTGATTCATCTACAAAGCTTTCTGAAATCATATTTTCTCTCTTGAAGATCTGTCTTGTAATCAGAAAGCTCCTTCAACACTATTTCTAGGTTAAACAGAAAAAGTAAAACCCATCAAGAAACATAATAATGGGACCAGCATTGTGGTGCAGCCGATTAGCCATTTCTGACCACAAAATCCCATGTCAGAGTACCTGGAATCCTGTTTCTGATCAAGCTCTCTAACGCACCAGGAAACAGCAGGTGACAGCCCAGGTACTTGAGCCCCTGTCATCCCTGGAGGTCTGGATGGGTTTCCAAGTTCTTCACTTCAATCTGGTCCAGCCCATCCATTGTGGCCATCCGGGGAGCGATCCCACAGATGAAAAAAAAAAATCTGTCTCTCCTTCTCTCCATCTCTTTAGGCCACCCTGCCTTCCAAATAAATAAACATATTTTTTAAGGGCAGAACACTGGCATAATGATCTAGTGGCTAAAGTCCTCGCTTTGCGTGCATTAGGATTCCACGTGAGCGCGAGTTCATGTCCCAGCTGCTCCATCCAGCGCCTTGAAAATGGCCTGGGAGGGTAGCAAAGGAAGGCCTAAGGCCTTGGGACCCTACACACACGGGGAACTCAGAGGAAGCTCCTGGCTCCTGACTTTGGATCAGCTCAGCTCCAACTGTTGCAGCCACTTGGGAGTGAACCAGCAGATGGAAGATCTTTCTTTCTGTATCTCCCTCTCTCTGTATATCTGTCTTTCCAATAAAAATAAGTAAATCTTAGATAAATAAATAAATATATACATATATGCACACACACATATATATAATTGCCATATATAGATACAAGGCAGAACATGTTGCTATTGATAATATTGTCTACATGAAATCACTTTGCTGAACATCGGATTAAGCAGGTGTAGCTGTCTGACAAGGTTCTGCAATTTGATTCATTGTTGACACATTGCACAGAGTAATATGTTACATAAAGTAACACCATCTTAAAGGAAGGAAGAAAGGAAGGACGTATAAATGGTTTATAGCTTCTTCTCAGGCAGAGGAAAAAGGATGCTATTTTTAAAAGGAAAAGGAAAGGTGCTAAATACAAACTAGAATCCCATGATTACATTTTACTTTCTGTTCCTAGAAGGCAGGTGGCCTGGCTAGAGGCATGTAGCAGACAGTGAGGGAAATTACACAGAGAGGCTAGACAAAGGGAGTTGAGAACAGTGCTTGTCAGCCATAATACACTTTGTGGCCTGAGAACATGAGTCTAGCAACAGAAAAATCAAGAAACTTCTCCAAAAGGTTATCAATACTCACGACTATTTTGACTGTTCTCATACCCAAAGACACAAATGTGTCAATCAAATGGGATCAACTGGTTCAGTGACAGAGGGTGTCACTCATGGTCAACATCCGCTGACCCTGTCCTCCCAATAAACGAGTAAAAACAATCCAAACTCCTTATGCTCAAGGGAACCACTGACTACCCAGGAGCTGGGATTCTTTTTCACCAAGAGGCTAAGTAAGAAGACTACCCTCAAAGCTACCCTTTTCCTCTCTTCTTCAAGGATGAGAGAAAACCAAAAGTAAAGAAAAAAGTTAAGGCAAAATGAAAACTCAAAATGGATTGATAGCACACTACCTCAAGCATGTTTTAGACAAAGTTCTCTTATTGAACGAGATTAAAATTTCAGCAGAGTGAAATGGATTGAGGAAGCATTTCAGCGAGGTGTCTATGAAGTTACTTTCAAGCCTGCTATCGCTGACAAGAATCTTCAAAGTCCTGATGAATAAGACAAGCACAGTTGTGGCAATAATTACCCTTCGAGCTGCCAAGTTCCCTGCCAGTTCATTGGCTCTTGACTTTCTTTGATTTGCCAGTTCTTTGACAGAATTAACTCCATCCGAAAACATACTTATTAATAGCTGCAGTGGAACCATGATATCTAACTCCGATAACACCTGGGGGAAAAAAGGCAAACACCCCCACAATGAATAGGCAAACGTTAGAACTCAGGGGGAAAAAAAGCACACTGAATATTTTTTTCCAAAGCAAACTATTGAACATGAAGACATTTAGGTTTACCCACATCCCATTAGCACAGTCATCCTCAAATTCTTCATAGTAAGAAAATAATCTTCCTTATTCCCCAACCCCAATATCCAGTGAGCCCCCAGATTCTTCATAGGAAAACTTCATAGGTTTCTCTTAAAATTGCCCTCTTATTCCTACTCACGCCATTGTCCTAGTTTACCCCTCTTCCCCTGAACTAGTCAACACAAGCACATTTCCTCTTGAGCCTGAACCTCCCAGCCAATCTCACTCTCCCGTATAAGTCACCTTGTCTGAGGTGAACTTTCTGGAAATAATTGTCTTCTTCCTTCCCCCAGAAGGAACCCACTCTTCTTTCTTAGAACTGAACACATGCATGTATTAGAGCACTTTTTACTTCATGCTGTACCTAATGATCTAATGTCATCCCTCCCGCTGTGGAGTGCTTAGAGGACAGGAGAATGAGGAAATGACCACTTCTTCGCCTGCTTTTACTCCCAGTAGGTGCCAAGCACAGAGGAGCACTGCCAATGTTTCCACAATTAAATGAGTCAGCTTCAACCATGCAGCGATCCACTCTGCTCCTGGAATGGGAGGGCTTTTAAACCTCAGCCACAGCGCTCTGTCTTCAAAGTGCATTCCACAAAACACACAGATTGTAGCAGCTCTAGCTAGAGGTGGTAGAGCTGGGCTTGTGCATGTGCCACAGCATAGCTTAGAAGACAGGCAGCATCCAGTCATTTGCGCAGAGACTGGCTTTCCTAAAATAAGAATAGTCCCATGGGAATCTTTTTGGGGCTGAAGTTAAAATTTTGGTGACTTAAAAAAAAATCATCCTTTTATCCTTTGCCAGTTATAAAAAATGTTGATCTTGAGTTTAGACTCCTAATGGGCAGCACACAATGCTTTGGAAGAGCTTGTGGGTTCACAGTGCAGGACCCAGAAACGCATTTGTGCCCATGGTGAACCAAAACATGGATTACATCATCCTTCTCTGAAATTCCCCAGACTTTTTAAAATCAGGTATCCAACCCAGCTTGATCAACTTTTACTGAACTTCCTTCAAATACAAAGTATCAGTCAGGTTCTGCCATAACAACTGAAGAGAATCACAAATTCCAAATGGGGTAGAGCCCTGCCCTGCACTCCCAGAGTCTGCGGGCAGCAGGAGCAGCTGACAAAAAGCAAGCACGCGGCAGAAAACCAAGAGAGACTGGATGACTGCTGGGGGCAGGAAGCTGCATTCCAGTGGGAAGGCAGCAGCGGGAAGGAGCAGAAAGGAGTTGAAATATCAAGAATAAATGGAGCCTGGGAGAGGGAGGACCCATTCCAGGTTGAAGAACAGCAGGGACTATTTCCCAGCAGTCGTTCCCAGCCTTTCTAAGTAAAGCATCTGCTTAACACCCAAGGTTCAGCAGAATCCCACAAAACATCTCTTATGCTTTTAATATCCATTGATGAAGAAATATCTAAGGACTGAGAGCTGCCGCTAAGTCAGGCATACTATTGCATAGAAGTGTGCACAGAAGGAGCTACATAGTGAGGGTACCTGCAAAGTTTGCAGAAAAACGGATTAAAAAATAAACTTATTTTTGGTGCAAAAAAAAATTTTTTTTAATCCATGTGTAGTTTTTTCATGATGTACATTTCCCCCTGCATATATCTGAAACTCATTTATTTACCCCTGTGGTGCGATGGTTTATCTTAGATCGTCCCTGCTAATTGTTTGAATTGACAGGCTCTTGACAAAAACTCCCTAGCCCTCCACCAAGAGTCTAAAGCTCAGAGCTAAGAACGTTTCCCCAAAACCATCGGAAGCATCAGTCACTTACATGAAGCCACAACAAAGCTTGCTCCTGCACAGAGGAGGGATAGCCTGTAAACCGACAGCTAATAAAGCCAAACATCTCTTCCATCGAAAAAGGTAGAGGACAGAGCTCGATGTCAAACATTTTGCTGGAAAGCAGAGCAACAAGAGTAAATGATCAGTGAGTGTGTGTCAGGATCCACCAAGGCCCCCCTGCACTGCCACCCAAACCCGAGCTGGTGGATCAGACCTTCCGGTTTGTGTTCTGAACGGTTAATAACATGTCTCATTTTACCATAAGAAAAGAGTTTCTATCATTAGCATAGAAATCTGACAGGGTTATAAACACATTAGCTTTAACCAAAGGAATTGCATTTCTAGGGAATTAGTCACTCCCCAGCACCTAAAAAACGTTTCCCTTTGTACTTTGCCCCCATATCCCACCAACCCTAATTATATTTGAAAATAAGCAAGCAATACAGGGTGCTTATGTATTACTTACTCCACAAGAAGAAAATCTTTTCTGAACCATCTGATATCATTTTAGCTCTAGTTTACAGCTGCTTCGTTTGAAGCCACCACAGATTTTGTTTTCAAAGCAAATGGCATCATACACAGTGTGGGCAGAGTGCTCAGCAAATGCTAGACGTCATCACAGTTCCAATGACTCCGTTCCACTCCTTACGCACCTTAATACTTCCCTGAATTCTTTTAACTGGTTATCTGGGACTTCGGTTCTGATGGCTTCCAGCCACTCCGGCATGATGCATTCCCACACAGACTGACTGATCACATTGTAGGGGATGAGGCAGAGGATTCGGTTGAGACCTTCCTTCAGCTGCGTCACTGTGCTGCAGGATTTATCCCAGTAGCCACCAACCTGGTGGATTTCCATAACCACAGGGAGCAAGAATCAAACACACGTGTTACAATTACTCTCAAAGACATCTTAAAGGAAGTGGGCATGGAGGAGGACCACAGTGCACGAACTCTGAGTCCTGAGCCGAGAACTTTCCGAGTAAGATTTGCACAAGTCTGGAAACCACGGGGAACCCAAAAGTTTTAAAAAAGAAAACATGTTTGTAATAGATCTAAAGATTGATTGCAGACTGAAGTTGAATTATTCTATCATGGGCTTTCCAAGCCACACATGGATTAGAATTGTGAAGATTCAGCCCCAACAAGATAAGCAAACGTTACCTCTAAACTTTGATTAAACTCATTATACAACATGCAGTTAGAACTGTATTTCAGAAGAACATGGCTTTCTACCACAGGCCACTTTGTACAGGTGTTTTCATCACAGACGGCACAGGGATGGAGAGCTCTGCTCTTCCTAATGCTGTATATTCTGCCACGATTTTATTCCCCAAGTACATTCTGGAGCAGAACGAATCAATGCATTTTAGAAAATGGATTAAGATGACATATTTCCTAGATTAGCAAAGCATTCAAATTGTGAATTTATACATGTAAGCTGTTTATAATCCAGACAATGAAGACTGTTCTTATTATAACCATAGAAAGTAACAAAGGGTTAACTAGTTCTGAGTCTTTGCCATGCAGGGTAAGATTTGTGGGAAACAACCCCACTTTAAATGAATCCAATTTTAATGTTTAATCATTATATCCAGAAATCTCAGGGTTTTTCCCCCATAAATCAATCAATTCTATTTTAAAGCTCCAATATTGATGTTGTACCATACCAATCAAAGCTCTACATGACCACATGGTTCCCACAAACAACTTTATTTCTGGGCTTTCAGCAATACAGGTGGTGGTGATGCTGGTTACAGACAGGACTGGCCCTGCCGAGGTCTCCTTGTGGCTGTGATGTTAGTGGTTAAACAGCACAAAGGCTTTGCACTTTGGAAGAGGTACATCTTTGGAGAGCCCAGGATTTCAAGGGTCAGATCCATTGGTTGGAAAAAGCTTTGACATCTAAAAGGAGTTTCAGAGAGCATCTCATCCCAGCTCCTTCCCAACAAATATCCCCTAACTCATATGCAAGCATCAATCTAAAAGGACACATTAAAAAACATGACAAAGGGGAGGGTGGTCTAGTGGTTAGGAAGCCAGTTGGGAGGCATTCCGCTGTGCTCTGGTTTGAGTTCTGGTTCTGCTCCTGGTACTTCCTGGTTGTGCATCATCCAAGGAGGCAATCGAAATGGCTCTAGTAATTGGACCCCTGTCACCCACGCAGGAGGCACAGATGGAGTTCCCAGCACCCACCTTTAGGTTATGACCAAGTCAAGGCTATTACAGAATGAACCAGCAAATGGGAGGGCCCTTTCCCACACACTAGTCAGATAAGCATAAGTCATTATTTTGAAAGAACAACGATGTTTTTTTTAAAATCCCAGTTAGTCTGTGAGACTCTTTTAATGAAACTGAAAAGCAGAAATATTTTAGAACAAAAATTGGAAATCTGTACCCATCATGAATTCCCCTCCACAATCTTCATCCTACAAAATAATGCAATTGGAGGGATATTTAGGACCTAGCAGGAACTCTTAGGGGAGCTTTCCCTCCAAATAATTGGGCAGAAGTGGAAAGATGTGTTCAGAAGGTTGGATTATATCCCAGAGGCACAAAAGCTTTGCTGAATGATTTATAAAAACATTCCTAAAGCATGCTGCTGCAAATCCAGAAGCCCCAGAGCATAGGGCATTGTCTGCTTCCACATTAGTTGAAGATCACCAAAGCAGACTGCCCCTTAAGAAGATTTCCTCTTGACACCCAGGAACCCAAAAGCTTCCTGCTGTATCTCCCTATCCTTTCCCAACTTTCTGCTTTAACCATGGCTTCCAGCCACAAGGGTCTGATCACTCTCTTTCATTCTCTCAGAGTTTTCGTCTGTATTGATTTGAAGGGCAGTTAGAGAGAGATATATGGAGAGAGACCCAGAGACAGAGATATCTTCCATCTGTTGGTTTACTCCCCAAGTGGTTACAATGGCTGGAGTTGAGCCAGGTCAAAGTCAGGAGCCAGTTTCATCTAGGTCTCCTGTATGAATGGCTCGGGCCCAAGTACTTGGGTCATCCTCCTCTATTTTCCCAGGTACATTAGCAGGGAGCTGGACTGGAAGCAGAGCAGCTGGAATTCAAACCAGTGCCCACGTGGGATGTGCCACAACACTGTTCCCAAAGTTCCTGTTTACTTAGAAGAGTTACTGAAGACTTATTTGCCCAGATGCAGAGCAATCTGGACATACACAGAAGAAAAACTGAGCTATGGTCCCATGGAGATCGAAGCACACAGTAGCCCTTTCAGGAATGAGGGATCCAGCGAACAGGGAAAGCCCATGTTGGAGTTAATCTTATGACCCTTATCCTAAATGCCCTGATTCCAAACCCTCCAGTGAGACCCTACCTTGCCAGTGTTTCCTCATACAAGTCTCTCCTATCTAACGCATACCATGTGCTGCAGTCTCTTCTTCCTCCACCCCTGCCAATGAGGGAAGCACATATGAATCCTATTCTTTGCTTCCGTTACTATCCAGCAAATAAAGCCTTTCTCTCCTCCAAAGACTGGTGTGGCAGATTGGTCTTTGTACACCTTGACAATTGACCTATCTCTATTTGGTAACGTTTGCTCTGATCCAAAAGAAGCAAATTCACAGTAATAGAATTTGATGAGTAGGCCAGCTCCTTCAGGCAATTATTGAGGCTGCCACCCAATGCCTTGAAGAAGCAAAACAACTGTCCTCATCTTAGTGATCAAGCTTCACAGAAACAGAAAAGTGACTCTAGGAAAGTTGAGGCACAGGGAACTAGGAAAGTTGAGGCACAGGGAAAGGAACTGTCCAGCATCAAGAAGAAGAAAAGCTTGAACAGAAATTGCCATCAGGCTCAGCTTCTTGGCTCCCCGCTCACCTTGTCACTGAGGCCATGACCCTGACCTATAAACACTTGCACTCTCCAAACAAGGGACTCCATCCATCTCCAAGCCCTCTTACAACGCTGGCTTGCCTCAGCGCTCCGCTGCAGCATCCACTGCTTGTCCCACACGCAGCCAAACCTCACCCTGCGCCTTCAAAACCCTCTTAGAAGAGTTACCTGCCAAGTCTGCATCTTTTCCCTGCCCCTTTGATATAAACCTTCCAGCAAAAACAACTCAAACACTCAGAGATGTCTCTTTAAGAAGCAAATATCTGAGGAAATATCCCTGATTTTCAGCCCAGAATTGCTTGTCTTAACTTCTCTGGCCATAAAAGAGGAGGAATTTATTTCTCCTCCAAATAAGCATCAGTTAGTGCTCTCTCTCTCTCTCTCTCTCTCTCTCTCTCTCTCTCTCTCTCTCTCTCTCTCTCACACACACACACATACACACACACATATACACACAGAGACACACACACACACACACTACCTAAGTAATCCCACTGCCTTCTCCCTTGGTCCACCCCACCATGCAGTAACTTCTCACACACCTGAGCCACAGCCAACGTGAGGTCACCTATCAGAGCAGATCAAAAGATCTGAAGGATTCCCCCTACAGATTCAGATAAGACTTAACTTTGACATTGAACAGGAAATAGGTTATTCTATCTGATAGAATCACAATTCAAATAAAAGTAGGGCAAAGATGAAAACCAACTCTTGCATAAACTAGCGACTTGTACTCTGCATAAACTTTGAAAGTTAATAGGTTTCCTTGTGTGCATCTTTGGATAGATGTGATACATGTGTAAAACCTTAACTCAGAATAACATTGCCAAGTTATAAAACCCATTAACAGAGTTCTGTTAAATTGCTTTTACTGAAAAATAAAAAATTCCTTCTATTGTTTAGGTACCTGCCACCCACATGGTAAATCCAAGTGGAGTTGTGGGATCCTGGCTTCGGCCTGAGGTAGCCAGCTGGGGCCCTTACAGCCATTCTCCCTCTCATCTTGTCATTCATATATATTTCAGATTTATTTCATTTGAAAGGCAGATTTATAGAGAGGCAACAGAAGACAGAAAGAGAGGGATCTTCTGTCTGCTAGTTTACTCCTCAAATAGCTTAGCAGCTGGAGCTGAGCTGACCCACACTCAGGAGCCAGGAGCTTCCTCTGACTCACAAGTGCAGAGAATCCAGGACTCGAGCCATTCTCCGCGGCTTTCCCAGGCCACAAGCAGGGAGCTAGATCGGAAGTGAACCAGCCAACACAAAGCAGTGCCTTTATTGGATGTCAGCGTTATCTTGGTAAAACCAGCCTGACTTTCTTTATCTATAGCATTCTCAATGTTAACTGATAAATGAGGAAAGTCGCTTTCTGATATATGGAGGACTTCCACAAGAAAGGATTCACCTCATCCGCAGGTGCCGCAGATGAAAGTTGATCGTGAGTCTTGGTTCAGATGATGGGATCAAGAGACTTGATGAAGCCCAGTTTGAGATTCCTTATAAAATTTCTGGTAATGCAAACTTTACAAAGCACTATGTGGGAACAGATACTTAACCTAATGTGCACATCCCACATCAGAGTGTCTGGGTTCAACTCCCAGCCACAGCTCCCGGCTCAGGCTTCCTACCAGCACAAGTACTAGGAGGCAGCAGTCACTGATTCCTGGCCCTGAATTGAGTCCCTGGCTCTCGGCTCTGGCCCTAGCCTGTCCCAGGCTGTTGAAGGCATTTGGGAAGTATATCAGTAAATGAAAATGCCTCTCTCATTCTCTCTCTCTCTTTCTCTCTCTCTCTCTTTATCTTTCTGTCTCTTAAACATTTAAAAATGAAGAATTCTTTTGTGGTCAGTTACCATTCTTGCTACATTTACACAAATGATCAGAAAAAATTTAATAAAACTAGGTTCATTTTCTGAACAGGAGAAAACTTCTTGTCTCTTTCATTAAAATGAAGGTGACTACAGGGAGAAATTTTATTTTTCAATGGAAAACTGCAACTCCACCCAGTCGTAGTCATCTTTGAGCTGTTTTTTTTTTTTTTGCCTTTTTGTAAATTGGGTCCTGCCGTTTTACACATTTATTCAGTGAATCACAATTTCACTTTTGTGCCTCCTTCCTGACACAGTGCCAATGAGAACCACATTGCCTGGTTTCAAAGTCCTAGAAGCAAACGCTAGATGCCTCCATAGGAACTTCAAAGGCCCTATTACTCTGGCACTTTAGACCACTCGGGAAGTTCATCAAACACCCTCTCTACTCTGGGAAATAACCAGGACTGCAATGCTGAGCCTCCATCATTGAAAGATTTAGGTTGAGTGACAGAGAGAGCAAAGCGTAGGCAGGAGACATCTTAATCTGCTGCTTCATGCACCCTGATAACTGTAACAGTTAGGGCCAGTCCACACTGAAGCCCCCAGGAGCCTTAACTTCATCGGGTCTCCCCAGGGTCTCCTCCCCCTCCCATAAGAATCCATCCCCCGAAAGGCCCCACCAGCTCGCCACGTCGTCATCCTGGGGACAACACCTCCAACACATAAATCCTTGAGGGACAAACCGCACCCAAGTCATTGCACCCTCAGAGTTGCACAGTGACTTCAGGGTAAAACCACATGAGCTGCAGCAGCACGAAGATGTCCACACCTCCTTGTGTGACTTGGGGCTGGGGCCCCCGAAAGCTCACCTCCAACAACTCCCCCACCAAGGGAGTTTCCTGGGATTTCAACTCTCACCAAGCTCTCCCTTGGCATCAACAAAGTCTAAAGAACCTCCCATGCCTTCTCCCAGCAGCACTTCACAAAGTGCTTTGAGAGTCTGGCCTATAAATCCTGTCTCTCTAGTTATTCAGGGAGTAATTCGGTCCAGAGTGTTTCCATGTGTGCTCATAAACAAATCTTGCCTTCTCTCCCAATAATCTGTCTACTGAGCTAATTTACAGGCTCAGCACTGGATTGAAATTGAAAGAGGAAGATTTCCTTCTAATACGATCATTTCGTATCCTCCAGGATCAGATGAGGACCATCTTTCAATATTCTAAGAAAAGTAATCATAGAAAACATAAGCCAGTATAAGAATACTAGGAAATGGGAAATTTCCGTTATGTGAAAATTCAGTTTTAAAGTGAACCAGTAGGTGGCACCAAAGAAGGAGGAAGTATGTCTTGATAAATGCAAAGACCTCTTGGAGTTCTAGAAATCAAATCAAGCTACTGCTTTGGATGGTCTGTTCTGTTTGATCCTTAAATGTCCCATTTTAGCACAGCTTTAAATTGAAATCTACCTCAAGACCACTTTGAAAGAAGACAAAAAAATCATGAGTAAAAATAAAAAGTTGAGCCTTCTGGTGAAGATGCCCAAATCCCTTATATAAGTGCCTGAGTTCAATGTCCAGCTCCAGCTTCTACCCTCAGCTTCCTGCTACTGCAGCTGGGGGTCAGCAGTGACGGCTCAGTCAGCTTCCTGTGTGGTGTCCTTAGCTCTCAAGTTTTTTGCTTGTTTTTCAGGATTTATTTATTTTATGAAAGTCAGTTACAGAAACAGAAGGAGAGAGAGAAATAGACAGAAATCTTCCATCTGCTGGTTCACTCCCCCGATGACTGCAACAGCCGCTAGGTCGCTAGACCAGGCCGAGCAGGAGACAGGAACTTCATCGGGGTTCCCCATGTGGGTGGCGAAGGCACAAACGCTCAAACCATCTTCTGCTGCTTTTCCAAGGTGCATCAGCAAGGAGTTGGATAGGAAGTGGGGCAGCGAAGGCTTGAACCAGCACCTACGGGGGGTGTCAGAGGCTCACACGGCAGCTTTACTCTATGCCACAATGCTGGCCAGAGCTCCCAGTTTTTGTCCACATGCAGTTCAGACTTTTGTGGCCATCTGGGGAATGAATGGGAGCTCTCTATGCCTGTTCTATCTCAAATAAATACACGAAAGTATTTTTAAATTTTCAGAACAACAAAATTTAGAAAACATGTTGAAAACAATTATGCATTCCTGCCAAAAAGATTCTAGGCCTACAACCTTCCATGTTAGACCAAAGTTGTATTGAATTGAATCAGAAGTCTTCCCAGCAGTACCCATGCATCCTAAGACTGACCGAAGCAGGGGCAAGGATGACACAGACAAATACATCCTGAACCAGAGGCACAGGGGCATCTGGGTGCCCCCAGACTTGTGTGGCACTCCAGGGGGCAGGACAGGCCTCCCAGCACTGAGCCAGAAAAACAGTGAGCTCTTGACGCCGCTTAGAAAGGAGTGTTGTTGTTGTAAGTTTCTTCACAACTAATGTTCCACAGTGTCAGGAAGTCGGCGTCGTCTTACATTCCTAAGCACAGCTCACAGATTCATCTTGTCATTCTGGCCCCTCCGTAACCAACTTCAACAGCAGACCATCCATCACCCAAAGTGTCTTTGACACACTGGACTCTCCCCTGACGGAATTGGGGAGATGTTTCTCATCTGAAGACACTAGCTGCTGCAGCGGCTGAAGCAGCAAGGGTCCCCAGACGCCCCTTTCTCTAATGAGATTCAAAAGAAGGCTTCCACTTACCCTGGCAAACTCCATGGGTTTGGGAAGAAGGCACATGACCATGACATCAAAGCGAACGTCGCATACAGTCTTCAGCCACTTGGTGACAAACTGAGGCTTCAGTTTCTCTACCAAGCTTCCCACTTCATCATCCATCATGTACGCTGTGGAGTGGAACCACTGAAACACCATGGCCACGAGCCGGGCCAGGCTCTCCGTGGGCGTGTTCTCGCTGGGCGTACAGAGGCTCACCTGGAGGCAAGAAGAGCAGGGGCTGCTCAGCCTCCATCTGGCTTGACAAAGTGCTGACAGGCACACGGGAAGGCAAGAGGATGTGCCAGCTAACCCACTGCAAACAGGCAGTTTTAAAAACCATGTTCACTCATCCACAAACTGAATTCCTCTCTCCTGGGATATGTGGATTGCAGCAATAATTTCCCCTCCAGCTTTTACCTTCCAATATGCACTTTTCTTCTGCAAGAAATGTGTTGCATAACCTGTATTAAATAATTCACCTGAAAAGTTAAGCCTGTGAACTCAGATCTCATCAATATTTCCAGGGAAAAGTCACTGATATGCACTCCAGTTCCAAAATGATCAGGTACAGGTAATGATTTATTTTTTAACTCAGAATTTTGAGGCTCTGAAACCTCGCTCCTCCCCGCCTCGTACAATACTTTTTAAGGCTGTCATTCCTTCTGAAACCATCTTTTCTTGGTCATTAAATCAGGGTCCAGGGATACAAAAAAATAAACCAAACACTGTCCCTGACTTCAAAGAGTCCACAGTAGTAGCCTTGCTGTCATTGGGCAATAAATCTGAGGGAGCAAGACATGTGAGATCAACAATGACCTCAATCTGGTAAAGACATTTTCTGGAAACTATGTACAAACATGAAAAGAGACCTGTCACCATGGAGACCTAACAAACATCTCACAAAAGCAGAACTGGCCAATTGACCTCGCCTGGGACTTCGGGTCTGCACATTTGTACTCCATTGAATCAATGTTGCAGTGGAATCAAGTAATCGCGATCACATCTCTTGCCTCCTCTGGGCTATCACTTCTTGGTGTGTGGAGACCTGCAACAAATCCCCCAAATCCCCCTAGAACTCTCCAGAAGCTCTTCAAGGATGGGAGATGGTGAGAGGTGAACTACATGGACCCCAGTGTTTGGCAACACACACTAGCAGCATCCCCACTTATTCCTTGTGGTCAGGCCCTGGTACTGACCACAGGTTCCAACACCTGCCCATTCATCAAAATCAACCAGGGAGCTTTTCTAAAACAAAATTCTCAAGATTCTTGGAAAGGATCTAGGCCTTGTTATTATTTTTTTTAAAGGTTCTTCTAGATAAATCGAATGTGTATGCCAGGGCAGCAAGCTGCAGCCCCAGAGGACACAGGCCCATTACAAAGGTCAGTTTTCACTAATTATAGTGTTGTCCTTTCAAAGGCACAAGAGAAATCCCTCATGGGGGCAGTGTTGTTGAGAGGAGTCAGAAAGCAAAGAACAGTAAACATCTTTGGCTTACTAAGAACCATATTCCAAATTGGCTGAGCAGCCTCTGGTCGTGTTTATCATCGTCCTTGTTATCAAAGTCCGTGTTGTCCAGGGAGTGGTGGGACGAAGAAAGGCCCAGCTGCCGTCGGCGGTTCAGCTCGTGCTCTCGCTGCTCCGCGTGGAACTCGGCTTCTTTCAACAAGCTGCCAAGGCAGGACAATTTCAAGTCAGTCCACCGGAAGGTTCTAGATCGTGACCCACTTATAACATCATCAGTTGAGCACCTCTCTCTGAAGCCCTATTTCACTCCCTTACTACTTCATCCTTTGTTCCCATTGCAGAGACAGACACACAGAAGGTACCAAGAACCACTTCCTGCAACTAATGAGAAGTGAATTTCTGGTTCCCACTGGAAGTCATTGCTTCCACTTAGATCTATCATGAAGCCATGTGACAGTAAAACACATGATACAAGGGGTGACTGGGAGACCTGCACCCAGTTGTAAAATTCTTTAATACCTAGTGGTAAAGACCTGAACGGGAACCAATGAAGACACCCTTTCCAATCAGCTTTACAATTATCAGTGTTAGCAAGAATACAACAAACACTGGTAACTTCGTATGCATTGCTGGCATTATTCATTCATGAGCATGCTTCAAGAAGCAATTTGGTGATATATCAAGAGCCGTTCACATAGTCATATCCTCTGATTCATCAACCCACATCTGGTAATCTACCCTAGGAATACAGAAAAGATAGGAAGGGCATTGCCCACAAAAACATTTATCAAAGAGGAATTTATAAGAGTAAAAATCTTGGAGCAAGCTAAACATATAATGGTGGGCAAAACTAAGGTATTTCTAGATGAATATAAATTATTATACACCCACAAAAAATGGACAAATATAGAAAACACAACATGAAAGAGAGCTAAGAGTATAATACCAAAAAGAATTCTGGACATCCTGTGATTTAGTTACACAAGTGAAAATACATTTGAATAAAATAGGAACCTATGTCAAAGCTGAGGCTGAGAAAGTGATACGACTGTTTTTTTTTCTCTCTTTTGCAAACTTCCTATTTAGTTGGACAAACATTTATTATAGTTCTGCTAAGTGTCAACCACTCAGATATGGCAGAGGAGTTCATTCCTGTCTTTAAAATTCTACAGTCCTAATATCATCTCTTTAATTTTTAAAAAAATCTTGTCTCCTTAAATATTATACAAAAAGAGAACCTCTTTTGAGGTTATCAGTTGCCATGTCGCTTTCTGTATCAGGTCCTGTTGCACCTCTAGGACCCTCAGGGACCAACCCCGGGGTCACATGACTTTGAGTTCTCCCACACAGTAGTTTTTCTGTGTCGGGAATTTGGTCATGAGACCCTTCATTCTCACAACAGGCTAACACTGCTGTCAGTCAAGCCAGGCACTCCTATCCTGGCACCCCCAGTTCATTACTTAATGTGCACCAAGAGCTTCAGTTTTCCTCGCCCTTGTTCCCTTCTCTTCTCCAGTGCCAAGCACAGTGCCTGGCATTCAGAGAAATAACTTTGTGAAACTCACACATCCAAACATCATCAGGGCAGCCCCATGAGAAAGGGCAATACTCTAAGCTGGGTTCAATATGCTTGTCTGCATGTGGGGAGGCAAGCGCAATGCTCCGTGGGGTCACCTGATCACAGCCTCCACCGCGCAGACCAGCTCCTCGGCGCCACACTCTCGCGTGTTGATGGGTGGAGGGGAGGTCTGATAGAGGTGGGTCTCGGCCGCAGCTCCCACGTCACTACTGTGATGATTCGAGTGGCATCTCTTACAGTACCGAACAGGCCTGTTTCCGTGACGACCGCAGCACCCTGCTGAAAAGCAGGTGACAACTGCTCTTCTAACATGGGAACTGCAATTCTAGAGAGAGAAAAAAACAATCAATGAAAATTGGCCACCATGGGTATGAATTAGAACACTTAGGGGGCCACCCAGAGGGACAGCACTTTTCTGAAGCACCACTGATTTGCAAAATGCAGGTCATTCTGCATTCAGCTAGATGTTGGTCACAGCTCAAAATAAAAGCAAGAGGGGAGAATGGTAGGGAGGTTCTAAATGTTGTATTGGGAGAGCCCTCTCTACCGTCACCCCAGTGGCTGGAGGTGAGGTGACTCGCTTTGTGGATTTCAAGGTGATGCTTGGAGAGTTTCGGCAGCAAAGGGAAGAAAGCAGAAGAGAAGTGCGGTCGGAGAGCGCACATCACAGTGCGTCGGAGAAGAGAAGGGATGATTTTGGCTCCCAGAATAAACTCTTTCAGAATCGAATCCTCCACCAGGTGCAGAGCAGATCTGCGTGGCTTGTGCTTTGCCCGGCCTTGACTCCAGGACAGACAGGGATCAGGGTGTGCTGAGCTGAAGGCCCCGCATCAGGCCTTGCTGTTCCCACCAACACTATCTCCTGATGAAGAGCTATGAATATGTCAGTCGGCACCCTCATGGACAGAAAGCAAAAGCACCCAGTGTCACAGCATCAGCTGTGACATTAACCGCAGAGAGGACTCAACAGAGCAAGTGAGAGGGACAAAACAGTGGGGCCGGCTGAGCCCACGAGAGACCGCTGTCAGACCTGCTTCGACAAGAGCGAGCAAGTGAGGTAGCACTGGCACGGAGCAGCGGAGCAGCGTGCAGGAGCTGTCGGGAACACCCTGATAGCCACAGAGAAGAAGAAAAACATGCCCCAGGCCTGCTGGAGATGCCAGCCACTCACAGAGCTTTCCAGCCTTTGAGTCACACTTCCAACAAAATGAACACTCCAAAGGGTGTGATGCCCTAAGCCATTATGAACTCAGCATTTGGTGGGCATTTGGAGATAGAAGGAAAAAAACAGAAAACGCACATTCCAACACTGACAGTGGACTGGACTGTCGGTGGGAACGACTGTTTACAAGCAAGGCTGGTTCCGCTCTGATGTCAGCTGCAGGCTGCTGACCCTCATTTGCCCCTCGGGGCTTAGGCTGTCATAGTTCCTCAAATCTCTAGCTCTCATGGTCTTAAGACTAAAAAATGTCCACAATTCACCTTTAATGTTTTTGTTAACAATCTTGAAAAAACAGGATGACTTGTTAAAATGCAGTGTCTATTCCATGGTGGAAGCCCTTGTTTTCCTTGACACCCATGTCAGCCCTGACTTCTCTGGATGGGTTCTTTCCCTTGCGTTGTGAGACCTTTTTCTCATCGCAGGCTAAGCCTCCTCTAAAAGTGCCCGAACCCTTATCCAGTAGGAGCTTCTGGTGCTGCCCCACCACATCAGGCAGATCGTTTTACAGTGTTTCCTTCATCCTTCTGAGGGTTGCTATGGTTTCAGCGTCTCCATCTCCCCCGCTGACAAAACATATATTCTAAGGTTGAAATACTAAGCTCCAAGAGAATGCTATTAGAAGCTGGAGCCTCTGGGAGAGGACCAGATCATGAGGTTCAGGGCTCTGGGAACAAAGGAGTCCCATTTCCTATAAGAGGATGAGCAAGAAAGTGCATGGGTGAAAGGGGGTCCTCCCTAGACACAGGATCTGCCAACACACTGATCATGGACTTCCCAGCCTCTGAAACCACAGAAGTGAGGCTGATTGTGGGTGAGCCATTGGATCTGTGCTTTGTGTTATGGCTGCCTATAATGAGTCTTTGTGTCTGTGGGAGTCCCACCATTACTCAAGAATAAGATACGGATGTGGCTTACAGGGTAGCTATTAACGATAATAAAGTCCCAAAATTTAAGGTCTACTATTTCCCACCCTATTTTTTCCTAACCAAATAACACCTAAATCAAATTTCCTGACTTTCTGGTGTAGACCTTTTGGCTCAAAAAAGGAAATTTCTTTTCCCATAATTACCTACAGAGAAGTAGTTTAATGTTCTTCTATGTTTTATTTAAGAATATAGCAAACATATTTAGATACACAAAGAAAGCAGTCCCATAATCTTTGCCAAAGATTTACTTATATAAATAACGTAGACATCAATTATTTCAGAAAAAAAAATGCAGCAATTTCAGGCCCAGCATGATGGCCTAGCGGCTGAAGTCCTCACCTTGTACACACCAGGAACCCATATGGGTGCCAATCCTAATCCCAGCGGCCCCACTTCCCATCCAGCTCCCTCCTGTGGCCCAGGAAAGCAATCGATGATGACCCAAAGCTTTGGGACCCTGCACTCTTGTGGGAGACCCAAAACTGGCTCCAGGCTCTTGGCTTTGGATCAGCTAAGTTCTGGCTGTTGTGGCCACTTGGGAAGTAAATCAACATACAGAAGATCTTCTCTATCTCTCCTCCTCTTGGTATATCTGACTTTGCAATAAAAACAAATAAATCTTTTTTTAATGCAGTAAGTTCATCTATCTTGCTATCTTAGGAAAGCAATAATAACGGCTTCTAAAACATATACTGTAAACCTGTCCAATACCAAATCCTCCACCAAGTCACCAGCACCCAGAGGCTGCGTATCTGCATGTTCCTATTTTGTGCTCCTGCACATGTGCACATGAATCAGACCTGGGCAAATAGCAACACATGTTCCAGGCCTGGGGAACCTCACCTATCAACAGGTGGATGCTGTTTCCTCTGCAGTTGAGATTGAGATCACCCTGAACTTATTTTTGAGTAACTGAATGCAGCAGACATGATGCTGGTGTGATTGCCAAGCTTCCACCACGTTGAGTCTAGACCTCCTGGAACCCTGTCGCAGAGCGAGGCCTCCTAAAGAACAAGACGACCCACCGGAAGGAGATACTCAGCTGACCCAGTACAGTTCCAAACATCTCAGCTGAGGCCTCAGACACAGGACTATGGATGTGTGGGACCAACCAGTAGCCAATGTACTACCAACTATCGAGGCAAACAGGAAGAACTTCCCAGTTATTCCCAAGCCAAATTGCTCATCTACTGGCTGGTGAACAAGTCAGTGGCTATTGCAAGAAGCTATTATGTTTTTGCTATAGCATAACTTGGACAGAAAATGGCTCCAGGTCCAAGGTGCTGCCATAACAAAGTCTGAAAACACGTGATAGTGGTGTTGAGGCTGGGTGACAAGTAGGAATCAGAGAAGCAGTGTGGCTGAAAAAGGCAGTGAGAGAATTGTCTTTTGAACCTAGAAGAAAATGTGACCTATATTTTCTAGTACTGAAACAACTGGAAAAACTGGGATTTGAGGTCCACTACCAGCATCGAACTCCAGTTTCCTGCTAATAAGGATTATGGTATAGCAGGTGATGGGTTAAAAGAGTTGTATCCCTGCAACCCACATGGGAGACCTGAATTGAGATCTCAACTCCCAGCTCAGATGGTTCCAGGCATTTGGGGAGGAAAGCAGCAAATGACAGCTTGTTCATTCTCTTTCCCCTTCTCTCTGTCTCTCAAATACATAAATAAATATGGTTTAAAATAAATGAAACAAAGAATGCATTGTTTGCTTGATGACAGTGAGTGCTTGAGGGGAAGTTGGTGGGCCTCAGTCAGATGGGTCCTGGAGAGGATGGAGGAGAGAGTAAAACTCTGATTGTTGGAAGAAGATGCTTATCGACAAGGGCACAAAGTCTCCCAGGAGGCAGCGCTATGGACCCCAATCTCACTAAGAATTTTTCAGGAGGGTACCTGGCTGCTTCTAGATGCCTATAGAAAAATGTGACAGGACAGAGATAAACAAATTGCTCCATTCTCAACTAGAGTTTATTGAGCACAGGACGGTTTGCCAGCCAACACAAGGGTTCTCAAGGTAAACATTAAATATGGGGCCTTTTAAGGAAATGTAGTCTCCTGAAGGAAATGATGGCAAGGGCTTGAATATGATGTATTGTATACAAAGAACTTGTAATTTAACATGGTGCATCACAGGCTCTCTGAGACAGACAAACGGTCTCTGAAGCATCATTAGGGTACACTTCATCATCCTCTCCATGAGCAGCAGGGCTCCCAGCAGCCTCATGGGTTCTCCTTCTGACCCAGCTGCCAGCACTTGATAGTTCACGGACTTGGGTCCCTGCCAGCCACATAGGAGACCTGGAATGAGTTCCAGGTTCCTACCTTCTGCCTACCCCAGGGCCAGCTACCATAGACATTTGTCTCTCTCTCTCTGTCACTCTTTGAAATAAATATACAACCTTTTTAAAGAAGCTTTTGGACTTACAAATAATGAATAGCAAAATAATAATAAGCTGATACAACAACTTAGCAAACAGCCACTTTTCATGGGAAAGAAAAGAGAGGCAACTCATAGCAGGGTAGAAACAAAAACCAAAGAGATGGACTCCCAGGAAACTGGACTGATTCCAACGGAACTGGTGGCATGCACCTGCTGAATGCCCACTCGTTGTGTGCCTCCCCACCGCTCACATTTCATGCCCCTTTCCTTCCCAGCTTTTCACAGCAGGAAAATCATTCCTAAGGGACCATAACTATTGCGCCCCATCCACATCTGGATCTGATTTAGAGAAGACCCAGGCTGTATGGGAAGAATGTAACCAACGTGCGGCCAGACAGGTGTATGAAGAAATTATGCTGACTTCCCCTCCTCTGGAGTCTGAATGGACGGTGGTGACTCCAAGCAAGCAGGAATGGGCATGAGCTTTCACTCAGCTGCCCTGAAATGCTCTCTTTCCAGAAGCTTCCTCATCAGAATGCTTTTCCTAGAACTCTGCCTTAAAGTCAGGAGACAGGCAGTGATTACACCTCAGGTCAACAGCACTGGATAATGTACCTTCAAGTTACCCCAATCCCAAGCCCAAACACACATTCTGGACATGCTAGATAAGTGCAGCCCCCAGCTACTCACACCTTCCCGGAGGAGGTCCAAACAGCAAGCAGAGATAAGTCATCTCCACTGTGCCCTCTCCAAATCCCTGACCTACAGATTCTCGGAACACAGTTAAGTGCTGCATGTTTTATGCTGGTACATTTTGAGTCATTTCTTATGCAGTATCTGTATTTACTGCATGTGATGGTACCCAGAACACCAATCTGCTTTGAGCCACTGACTCTAAGCAAGATAAGCAACAAAATATTTCTGAAAACAATATTTGGTTGGGGCCAGTGTGGTGTCTAAACAGGCTGCCCCTGCACCTGCTGTGCTGTCATCCTATATGTACACTGGTTCTAGTCCCGGTTGTTCCACTTCCAATCCAGCTCACTGCTTACAGACCTGAAAAGCAGTGAAGGATGGCTTACATCCTGGGCCACAAACCCATGTGGCAGACCTGACAGAAGCTGCCAGCTCCTGGTTTCATCCTTATTCAAACTCCAGTCACTGTGGGCATCTGGGGAGTGAACCAGCAAATGGAAGACGTCTCTCTCTCAAAATAAATAGTTTTTTTTTAAAATTACCTTTTACTTTTTACTTTCAGTACAGTACTAAACATTATAAGATATTCATCACATTATTATAAAGAAGACTTTGTGTTAGAAGAGCTTGCAGCTGTGGGCTAATGCAAGTGTTCCTAGCATGTTTAAGGTAGATGAGGCTGAGCTATGCTGTTTAGAGAGTTACATTAAACGGATTTTTCAACTTACGATATTTTTCAACTTGGAAAGGGATCTTAATCCCAGGTTGGAAAAACTGTAACTCCATGTATTTGTACCAAATGGCAAAAATGAAATAAATCAAGGTCTGTTTATCATTCAATCATGTCATAACTTGGTTTATTTCAAATCTACTGTTCAGTGTAGGAACATACAGCTCCCAGAGACATTAACTGTGCCTAGAACAAGATCAAACAATTTTGCATTTATATGAACTTGACCATAGTTCTCCAAGTTAGCTCTCTTAAAATAAATGTTTATTAAGGGACAAGAAATAAACATATGCTAAGTTGAAGCTTATTACTAAAAATAACTTTGTCATATGAAGCAGAGAAGTGTTTAAAAAATAAACTGCTCTGGGTCTCAAATATGCTAGGTGAACACTTGAATATTGCTTTAAAGCCAGGTCCTGCTGATTAAGGACCTGGGTGCTCTTAAAAAGTTCCCAAGGTAGAAAGGGTCTCAGAAGAAGGATGAAATCAGGGTCTGCTGTATGACTGCAAGATCCCATAACCAGATTTCAGCAAGATACCAGGCAGCATCTCCCCATGGAGCTTCTCAGCTGGAACAGGGCTTCTCATGATTTCAGGGCAGAATGAAACGCTCAAAGTGTAGTAGAAATGGCTGCCTCAAAACTCATTACAGAGGCGGCCTTGGGAGCACAAAATTCCAACAAGATTCACTGGAAGTCCAAGACATTTTTAGGAAACACATACCAGCAAAACCCCTGCCAGCTACAACTAAAGCGGACACAGTTGAAAATGGAAAGAGGTCCGTGGGATCCTCAATTTCCACATGCAGGGCACAGATTAGGAAATCAGTCAGCTGCAAGATGGGCTCCTTGTCATTGAAAAAGAAAGCTACCTCAGAGTACAGAGCCAGTTGCTCTGGAGGACAGCAATGAACTAGGCAACTGCAGAGCACAACCAGATTCTACTAAAGACAAAGGAACTAGTGACATGTTCATGGCGGGAGCTGCTTAGACAGACCAGTTACTGCCACCTGCTTCCCTGTTCTATTCTTGAACACCCCTTTACCACTGTTATCTATCCTCATCTCACCACTGCCTTACTCATACAGAAAGCAGGTAACTCTCCCCTTTTGGTTCTCTAAAAGAATGTATCCCCCAGAGAGTCTCCTCAGTGACAACACGAGTTTCAAATCAAAAGATCCTGAACATGAAGCCTCAAGCCTTAAGTCGGTAAGATTTGGTGGGAGAGGAGTCTTCATAAAGCACCAGACATATTTTGCACCTGGTAAGAATATAACTACTTGGCGCCAGCATTGCAGCATAGCAGCCCCCACAATGCTGAATTCCATAGTGGCCACCAATTCAAGTCCTGGCTGCTTCACTCCCTTTCCCGATCCCTGCTAATGCATCTGGAGCAGCAATAGAGGATGGTCTGAGTGCCTGGACCTCCGAACCCATGTGGAAGACCCTGATGAAGCTCCTGGCTTCAGTCTGGCCCAGTCCATGTCCAGTCTTGGCCATCATGCCCATTTAGGGAGTAAACCAATGGATGCAAGATCAATCTTTCTATCTGCCACTCTTTCCGTGTACAACTCTGTCTTTCAGATATATACATACATATTTTTTTTAAAAAAAAAGAAGGTACATAATTAAGCCCAGAGAGCACATTGTAGTAGACTAAATGCGATCACAAAATTCTTGCCATGCCTCATGTAATCAAGAAGATTATTCTCCCACTCTTTGAATTCATGCCTTGGTACTTGCTTCGACCGTAACAACACAGCAGAAATGACACTGTGTGACCTGTGAGCTTCTGTCTCAACTGCTTCTGCTATGAACTTACTGCTTTGTGAAGAAATTGAGCCTGACCTCCAGGAGGAAGAGACACTGTCTGGAAAGAGGGAGGCCCAGACACCCGAGTCATCCCAATAGCTCCAGCCATTGCAGCTGAGGCCAGCCAGAACCAGCCAATCTCCAGCCTGCCTATCAACACACATGAACCTAGAGGTGCTCAGCAGAGCAACTGCCTAGCTAAGCCTAGGACAAGCTGCTGATCCAGAGACACGTAATGAGAACTTGGTTGTTGTTGTTTGCCACAACTAACAGGACAGTTGGTTACGCAGCATAACTGAGACAGCCTCCAACGTACTGACTCCTAATTAACATTCCAACAAGTCTAAAAGACTTGTACAAAAGCCACATGGTTAGGAAGGAATAGAGCTTGGCAGAACCTAAGCATCTCAACCAACCTGTATGATACCCCACTATCTCTCCTTACATTTTTCAACTGTTAAAACAATAAGAGAAAATTTGTTATGAAATATGGGTAAAGGAAATTTTGAAGGAGAAATCTCTAGCTAGATACATTGTTCAGCTTACGTGTAAGTGAATGTTTCCCACAAAGAGTCAATCAAGCATGCTAGATGACACCTGGAAATTGAACTGTTTATATTCTTCCTCAAAACAAGCAAGACTTCAGCACATGAGATGTATCTTTTACTAAAGTCACATCCTATGAATAGTGCAATCATTCAACCTTTTTTTTTAATAAGACTCCTTCTCAGAATTACACATATGCTTTTATTTCTGATTACTTAACAAAAACACTATGCACAGGATGAGTGAGCAAAAGCAGAGATGCAAGCAAACTATTTAGACACAGCAATTTTGCATGCTAAATTATGTCCTTTCCGCCTTCACAAAAGCAGTGACATGTACACACTGGGAAACCAGGGCACAGAAATGAGGCAGATGCCAACAAGTGGATTACACACAACACAGCCGATCATGCTCCTCCACACAGATGGCCGGCGCTTACCTTTTTCTGACATATAGCCGATATCTCAGCTGCAAAGGGAAGGTACACAGAATATCAACAATGAAAGAGAGCCCGTTTTAAATAAAGGCAGCCAGAAAGAGAGCATAAAGACAACCTAGTAACACCACTTCTACATCAAAACAGCTTTTGACCTGTCTTGTAGATTTTTTTTTTCCACAAAGCCTGAATTATGTCTCTTTTCAATCTAGGAGTGACTGCAGAGGTCATGGTTAATTGAGGTCCGAAACACCTGTATGCCACAACGACTTCGCCTATTCTCACAAGGAATTCAAGCTTTTCATCCATGACCTAGAAACCAGAGCACACTGCAGCTATGCAATTTTAATCCGATCTCACCATCTCATAGATAACAAAGTAAGGGCAAGTGGGCTTGGATGAGTAACTCAAGATCACACGAGCTCTCCCTGAAGGAAGCAAAAGCAGAGCTCCAGTCCAGGGATTCACTAGCGCTGCCCTTCCCACTGCACTGTGACACCAGCTTGACTGGATATATTCAGAGCACCAACGTGGGGTAATTTACTAAACCAACACTAAAGAAAACTCTGACTCAGGCTATTTAGACCACAGCCATTAATGCATTTACATCTTGACTGGTGTACAATCAGCTTTACTATTCGGAAAAAGCAGTTTTCAAATCCAGTTGGAGCAAAACTATCAACCTACGATCCACGTGTGGCTTTAATCCGTAGATTAGAATTCTTTATTGGGCTTATCAATTATTTCCATGAAAACTGGTGTTTGAGAGTACTTGAAAATAACTTTTCTAAGAATCTGGTAATGTTCTCCTGAAACAGTTAAATGCTCAAAAACTGGACTGACATTTGGATATGATCATCTATGTTACCATTTGTAACACAGTACAAAACCAAAAGTAAGAGTTCCTCAAATCCTGTCTAAACAGTATGAATCAGTGGATGTCAAGCCAACGAAATTTACAACTCAGTTTTAAAAATTACTTTTGTCCAATTAATGGTTACTTAACAGTTTTGTATCCTTGAGTTCATCTTCAATAAACTGAATGAGAATCACATTTAAATGGAAATTATGAAATGTTACTATCAATATGAATATTGCCTGAAGATATTGATCAGAATTCAACAATATACCCAAACTTAAAATGCACCTTAGATCATGGCTATGGATTTTATCAGAGACCTAAAGAACAGAGTCAACTTTAGTCATACAAATCTTTCACCAGATATTCTTCAGTAACTTTTCAAAATGGCCACTTGAAGGACACAGACGCTAATGCTACTGCCCCATTGCAAAGCACTCACTAATAAATTAGCTTCTTTCTTAAGGTGGAGATGAATATGTTAAGTTATACTAGAAAGAAATAATGTATTTTCATAAAACAAAAGACTCAGTTTTTTAAGAACCGCACTCATAGAATTTAGTCTCTGTAAGATTCTTGCCTTTCCTTTAAAACAGGCTTTTCAGATGAGTCTCCCTATTATCTTCATTTTTCTCCTGTGTGATGTACACAGTATGCCCTCAGCCTGTTCCACTTTTTACCTTTCCCTGTTTTCCTGAGTGTTTTTCTTGGCATGGAGTTTCCAGTTAGGTGGCTGATATAGCCACTTTTCCTATGTGTGCAGGAATGCTGTCTGGACCTGCCAACCTTTAGGACGTGGCTCTTAGAACTCTAACAGCCCTCAGAAAGTATGCCAAACCTTGGCTCTCCCTACAGGTGAGTTAGCTGAAACTGATCCACCCTTGACTGATGAGGAGACTAAATCTCAGAGGAATTACATAATTTTTCCCCAAAATAATGATAGTGACAGGAAACAGCCCTTTATTCAATTCTCTTCCATGGTGTCTCTCTTCCCCTCTTGGACCTAGTCCAGCACATCCCACTGGCAGCATCTGTAACCTGTATGGAAAATTGCCCCCCACATAATTCAGCAGAGCTTTAGTCATTTGGAATCCTAATTGCAAAATCTAACGTTGGCTTTAGGAGTATTCATACTTCTGCTCTTATTAAGTATATGCGTGGGTTTATTACACACAAGATGTTGATAAGCACTTCATATCAATGAAGAGTCATAGAATATAATGCTTTGATTACTGTCTTCGTAAAATAAAGTAGGACAAAGAAGATGAATTAACCACATCACTAGTCATGATTACTCATTACTCATCCTTTCCAAAGTAAACCGTACCTTGTGGCAGAAGAACATCAACCAACCACTCGCTGTGGTCCCTGCAAAGAAAAACAAAACTCATTTTGGAGCTGCACTGAAATTTTCAGGAATCCTTCCACATGAATGTTTATAAGTTCCACACTACTGCTGAAAGGCTTTTAAGAGAAAGAACGTACAATTAAGAACATGATCACAATAAACATTTTAAATGTGTAGTGCATTCCAGCTAAATTATAAATTCCAGGCATTTCATCAGACTCAGTTATCTTTAAATGATACTTTCCAGATGCTAATTATGCCAACCCAAATACTGCAGGATCTGTAGAAAGCTGAGCATGCATCGAAGCAGCCGCGAGGAGAACCCACTTGAATTCCATGTCATGTTTGGAAATTGGTTTTCTTTTACATCTCGTTTTCTTTGTGGCCTTTCTAATGAGGTTGTTTCAAAACTGGAGCTGCTTTATTAAAGTAAAATCGTTTTCTCATGTCACATGGAAATACTGCAAAAACCAGATTTCAAAACTGAAATAATCCAAACAGAAGTTCTCTATCCAGTAGACATCAGACACATTAATCATCAAGAAACACAAACTAGTGGGAAACTCAGACAATGTAACCAACTCAAGTCCACATGATTTTCTTCATCCCCCTTCTGTTGCCCTATTTCCTTTGCTTCCAGGGTTCTGATACCTACCCTGCGATCCTCTCACTGCATTCTTCACAGAGGTACAGTGGGGGTGGCTTATCACCCAAAGCTACCGACAGAGAAGGGTCTATGCACATCTGAAACACAGAAAAACACAGAATGAACCTTCTGGTCCTGGCGACCCCATACCCTTCACCATGAGTGACAGCGCACCGTCAAAGCAAAGTGCAATAAAGATGTTTGGAGAACTCACTCAGTATTATAACTCATCCCTAACATGGCTGAGGGTCCACAGGGAAGATTCAAACCTGGATGTTGTACATTTCGTTTCTCCTGTTATTTACAATTCAAGTAGCAACTAGTATCAAACCATCTACTCTCATTTCACAAAGTATCATATTCTGTCAAGGAGCTGGCCTGCCAGTTGGGCTGGAATGTCCATGTCCCACTTCCTAGTACCCAGGTTCAAGTCTCAGCTCTTCTTCCAATTACAGCTTCCTGTTAATGAACTCGCTGGCAGGCAACTGTAGTTGAATCCCTGCCACACTACAAGGGGAAATCTAGATTTGGCTCCTGACCCTCTGCTTCAGCCTGGCAAAGCCCTAACCATTCCATTGCAGGCTTCCAAAGAGTGAATCAACAGATGAGGTGTCTCCCTCTCCTCTCTCTCCCTCTCTATCTCCCTCTACCTCTCTCTCTCTCTCTCTCCTTCTTGTTCTCCCTCCCTTCCAAATAAATAAAACTTTTTTAAAAGAGAAAAAAATCACTGGGAGCAATGGCTACTCATATTTGCTACAGAGATGATAAACGCAGAAGTTGCCTTAGGAAAAGGAAAATACACCATCAAGATTGCAAATCCGGGACCCTGCACAATAGCCTACGGGCTAAAGTCCTCGACTTGAATATGCTGGGATTCCACTTGGGCGCTAGTTCATGCCCTGGTGGCCCCACTTCCCATCCAGCTCCCCACTAATAGCCTGGGAAAGCGATGAAGGATGGTTCAAAGCCTTGGGACCCCGCACCCACATGGGAAACCCAGAAGAAGCTCCTGGCTTCAGATCAACTCAGCCCTAGTTGTTGTGGCCACTTGGGGAGTGAATCATCAGACGGGAGATCTTCCTCTCTCTCTCATCCTCTCTCTATACATATCTGCCTTTCCCATAAAAATAAATGAATCTTTAAAAAAAAGATTACAAATCCTTACTTGATACCAAAATTCTAGCAATAGAGATTTTTGCTTCTGAAGACATAAGCTCATTCAGAAAAGTCATCATTAAATAGAACATCGAGGGCTTCACTACTCCTACTCTGCAGGCTCAGATGTTTCTATCAATCATCCAATGCTTCATTCCCATGTGTGTTTGCTTGGTTTGTTTCTACCATGTCCTATAATTTGTTGGCCCCTGCTGTTCCTGAGTGTTTACGGCTGCACTCAATCTTTCAAACCACAGAGATGAAAAGTGTTAATTTCACAGTTCATCATCATGATCTCTCAAATAAACCAAGTCAACAAGTATCCGGATGACAAGTTACATCCTGAACTCTGTATCAGTTTCAATTTCTGAAGGATGAAGCCCTTTTGAATTCTGTTTCTGTCACTCCAAGATAAGCAACCCAGGCTGGAAGTGATTATTCCGTCATATGCTTAAAACTTCTTTGCAAATTCTTCCGAAACTTCTTTCCTTTAGTTGGTTTCACTATTTTAGATGTGGTAAACAACTCAAACATACAACTCAAACAGCTTGTAATTCAATGTTAAAATCACAAGGGGTTTCAATGAGTGGAGAAAAAAAGGGATAGAATAGCTACAATTTTTAAAATTACGACATCAGATTTATAGATTACATATGTCCTAATGCTAAAGGTCCCATATACCTAATGTAAGTTCCTTGTTTGTTCAGGGGCAGTAAATAAAACTTTCTGATATATCAAATCAGGAATTGATAAACGTTTCCTATAAATGTCTAGAAATCGATACTTCTGGTTTGTGGTATGGTACAGAATGCTATCAGCAATATATAAGCAGATGAGCATAGCTGGGATCCAGAAAAACTTTATTCACAAATAAGCATCAGGCTACACTTGTTTGTTTCCCGTTGTTCGCTTTCCAATCCTGTCTTCTTCTTAGGTAATGATCTGGGCTCAGAAGTGTTTCATAACGTGGATTTCAAACAGATACCATAAACTATTAGCTCAAAACAGTTCCATCTTTAATCCTACCACAATGCAGGACTCTTGCCCCAAGAATAATTCTTTTGCAGCCTACGGCAACAAAACATCACAATCTTTGTATCTGGCACATTCTAAGCACCTACTGATTTAGCTCACTGCTGCAAACATTGGGCTCTTCGTGATGACTGATTCATTTCCCTCAAGTGTTTCCCATGGATGAGAATTCACTCCCTTTTAAGGACCACCACTTTATTTTTTCTTCCAATGAGTCATTGATACCCTTGTCCAATAGACATATTTTTTCACTGACTTCAAAAGAAAAAGCTTCTTGGATGCAGGAACTACAAAGGGCCATCAAAGATACACTATTCAGCCAATGATTTGTTCAATGATTTTTCTGACATGGCCCACATATTTGTAGCTGTTGAGTTAGCCTGGTTGTACCTTAAACAGGTCAGCATACACCCACATTCATACTAATGTGTTCATTATGATTATTACATTAAAACTTTATTTTTCTGTTTATAAATATAATCTATGAGTGTACTTCCAAAAGTTAATGGGGAAAAAAATTGAATTAACAGGGCTCAGCATGATGGCCTAGTGTTTTAAGCCCTTGCCTTGCATCCACTGAGATCCCACATGGGTACCAGTTTGTGTCCCAAACTGCTCCACTTCCCATCTAGCTCCCTGCTTGTGGCCTGGGAAAGCAGTGGAGGATGGCCAAAGGCCTTGGGACCCTATTCCCACATGGGAGACACAGAAGAAATTCCTGGCTCCTGGCTTCAGATCGGCTCAGCTCTGGCTTTTGCGGCCACTTGGAGAGTAAACCAGCAGACCAAAAATCTTTCCCTGTCTCTCCTTCTCACTGTACATCTGCTTTTCCAATAAAAGTAAACAAATAAATCTTTTTTAAAAAATGGAATTAGGGCCCGGCACGGTGGCGCAAGTGGTTAAAGGTCCTCGCCTTGCACGCCCGGGATCCCATATGGGCACCGGTTCTAATCCCGGCAGCCCCGCTTCCCTTCCAGCTCCCTGCCTGTGGCCTGGGAAAGCAGTCGAGGACGGCCCAAAGCCTTGGGACCCTGCACCCGCGTGGGAGACCTGGAAGAGGCTCCTGGCTTCGGATCGGCATAGTATCGGCCCGTTGCGCTCACTTGGGGAGTGAATCATCGGAGGGAAGATCTTCCTCTCTGTCTCTCCTCTCTGTATATCCGCCTTTCCAATGAAAAAATAATAAAAATAAATCTTTAAAAAAAAATAAAAAATGGAATTAACAAATGAATTTATTTTGCTGCAAAAAAAAAAAAATGTGTAGTTCTTTCAGAATAAGTATTTTTTATGTATCATTGGAAGCTCCGACCCATGCCCTATATAGAGCCTTGGGGAAATGGAGAAATGAAGGTCATTTTAAAAGCTCACCAACCTTCCATCTTCATGCCATCCTGGACCCTCTGATGAGGACTGCCAGTTATTTTGCACTATGTATGTAAGTGTGAATACACATATGTGGAAATTTTCAAATAAATTATCATCCTCCCCCAAAAAAGCAAGAAATAAATTAGCATCCCACAGAATTCTCTAACTTTTTAATTTCACATACTTTTGCAAGTGCCTGTTGGATACCTTTGATCTGCATGTCATATGGTAACAGTGCAGACCTGAGGTTGCTCACTTTGTAAGGCCGAAACAACACTGGTCAAGACCCTTGAGAGTGCCAGCACACCCCACTACAAGAAGCATTAACTGACAGTCTTACTGTGCAGTGACTTGAGTCATCAGCTGAGAGGCCTGCATCCAGTACCAGAATACCTGGGCCAGTTCCTACCTCAGTTTCCAACCCAGCTTCCTGCTCACACAGGCAGGAGTACATCTGGGAGGCAACAAATGACGGCCCAATTACTGAGTTCCTACCAGCCACACAGGAGATCCAGATGGGCTTCCTGGCTCCTGCCTTTGGCTTGGCCCAGCTATAGTTATTGTGAGCATCTGAGAAGCAAATTAGTAGATAGAATATTTTCTCTCTCTCTCTCTCTGTGCTGTGTATTTCTCTCTGTGTCACTCTTCCTTACAAAAAAATAAGAAAACAACTTTAAAGATATCTTCTACAAAGTACAAAGTGAAAACAAAAAAGGAAACACTTTAGATAAACTAATGCTAAGAAAGTGAAATTTGGGGGGGAACGAAAATGTCTTGGCACTACACAGAGGTTGTGGTCACAAACACTGTGAATGTGCCAAGAGCCATTGAACTGTTAACTTGAGATTAGTTCCTTTTTATGATATATACACATCAACTTAATTTCTTTAACTATAGAAAATAAGATGGCTGAGCTTGTCTTGGAGGTGTGCCTTTTGGGGAAAACATGAGGCCGACCCATAGGAGAGTTTAGGGCTGTTTGCCTAGAAGGAAAGGGGATTATCCAATTCCGATGATTTCTTGGAGGAAGCCAGAAAATATGACTAACCAGGATGTCAAGGAACACCTGAGCATGCAGGCTGACACACAATCCAGGGAAAAGTAACTGGAGAATTCAAACAGGAAGAAGCCTCTTCCCACTGGTGTCTGGGCGAATGACAAGGGGAAGAAAACAAAAGCAAGAAGACAGAAGATCAAAATGGAAGATGGAACAAGGAAAATCTCATTGGGGTGAGAAATCAAACTTCACTCCGTGAATCATACATGAACCTACATGTGCTTAGCTCAAAACATCCTCATAGCAAAGGAATGTACTATGAACTCCAATACCCTGCTCCTGGGGAGCACAGAGGGAAAGGAAGAGGCTAGCCTCACCGGCTCCTTCTCCACAAAACTTATTCAACTTTTCTTCATCAAAAGCAGGTAGATGTTAAATAAACACGAAGATGTCCTTTATTAACATGTTAGACCTGGATGTTATTGCTGGCACTCCTCTGCCACTTTTGGGGTGTGAAACATGATTTTGTTTCCTCTTTATGCTTGTTAGATCTACCATTACCACTTCTGCATTGATTCTATGAAGCAGCAGTGTTTGTATTCTATTATTCAGTAATCTGCACAGTCTGTGTGCACAACAGGAGAAGCAAACACCACAACACTGGGTTCTCAAAAGTAACTGGGAAGCCTGATAAATTGAGCTGACTCCCACGCTTGAAAATACAAAGCCTAATCCTTGAAAATCCAGATACAGCCAAATAAGCCAGATTTAACAAATATACTACGGGGAATTTTTTTTTTTGTAAGATGTGACTGTTTTTTCTTAATACTCAACTTCCTAGACCTGGGTTAATATCAGAACATAACCAGTCTGGCGAAAAGGACAGAGAATGAAGCTGATAATCCGAGTACCGCTCTCTCTTTGCAAAGGGACTCCTTTAAACCACTCTCTTTTTACCGTTCATGTAATTCCACCTATGCTAGCTGCTCAATCATTCCAATTCAGTCCCGGGTGTGATTTGAGCTGACCTAATTTAATCAAGTTTTGTTTGGGTCCTATAATTCCTGGATTTGGAAAACCACACACTTAGCATCCTTATTTTCTAGTATATACAGGAGAAAAATACATTTCCCTGAGTTTATAGACTCAGAGAGAAGCCAGCAAAGATTATGGAAAGCTTTGCAGCAGGAGTCTCCTGATAATTAGCTCAGCGTTACACAGCACTTGGCTATAAACTCATCGCAAAACCCTTCGGATATCACCATACCCATTGTTCTGTCTCGACACAATCTGCCCAAGTACTGCTGAATTAAACACAGAGGTCCTTGGTTTTAAAAGAGAACACAGGCTTCCGATTAAGGATGCAATCCCACTCCATTCATTCAGCAATCTGCTAATTATTTGACCACTGACAATACAACACGACATCAGATCTAATAACACGGTACCTTCACAGCTGGTTTGTTAATTGCATTGTGGCATTCAATGTGCTGGCAGTGGATGGGATTCCAAGCTGTAAAGCAAAGCACAGATCATGAGTATTTCTCATTAAAAATGTTCATATCCAGTACAAACACAGTAAATATTTCACTTGTTTTCTTTTTCCTAAATAGAACGATCACCACAAGGCTTCCTAACAAGATTCTTTTCACAAATATAAAATTGGACAAACATTTCAACTCTTTATCTATTTTCTTAGGGGACAAGAGAGGACAAGCCAAAATCAGATGGCACATACAACATAAGATGGCGAACAAATAGTAGTGTGACAACGATGGGTTTTATAAGGCTTTTACAACTATGATTTCATTTAGTCCCCCCAACAGCTCTGTGGTGAAGGATTCTTAGAGCTAACTATTAATCTCATTTCACATAAGACTAAATTAAAATTTAAAAGAGTAAGTAAGTTGATAAGATCACAGAGCAAGTGAAAAACTGGGACCAACAGCCATATCTCTTGGTTCTTGACACTGCTCATTCCATTATAACATGCTATGGTAAACATCCTATTCTTGGTACCAGAAAACATTAAGAATTGAAATCAATAGAAACACATCCTTTAACACCACATCCCTAACCACATTGGAGAGAGGAAAGATGAGGCCGTCTGCCCGGATGAAACACTCTCTCTCACATACACACTCTAAACACTTCACTACTGCTTTGTTACCACCTGTACCCAGCACACAAACAGAATGAAGAAAAGCCCCAAGGGACACTGGATAAACCAGCAAAACTCATAACCAGCAAATAGCACCGTCTAGATTAATCTGTAGCCTGGAGCACTTAGCCAACAATATTCCATCATTTAAAAAAAAAGAAAAGATACTAGGCTTGCATGCTTTAAAGCAAGATGTCTCAAAGTGTCATATTCTAATCTTGTAGGACAATGATTGCCTTGATATTCAAGAATTTTCAGATGAGAGCATATTTCTCCTTAGTTAATATTCCATTACAATTCAAATACATTTAATATTAATGATCCAGGATCCAGATCTAATTTATACTGCAAATATATTACAAAATGTTCTATTTAACAGTCTCCCAACTTCAAATCTTCTATCCTATTGTTAGACAAGGTGTAAGACTATGTGTCTCATTTGGAATTTAAGGAAATACAGTTAATAGAGTGAATATTAAAAATGTACAATAATGAGGCAAAAACAAGAACACTGCTTAAGATGCTTATAGCGATGCTGTGCCCCACATCCGAGTGCCTGGAACAAGGCTTGCATCCCTGCTTCTGACCCATCAAGTGAGCGGCAGGGGGTGACTGAAGGGCTTAGGGCCCTGACAACCCATTGGGAGAGCTGAGTTCCAGTCTCCTGACTTTGTCCTGGTCCAGTCCCAGCTACATGGGCATCTGAAGAGGGAACCACTAGGTGGAAGATCTCTCTTTGTCTTTCTTTCAACTACAGTGAAATAAACTTTAAAAAACGAAAAATGAAAAGAGATTGATTTTTAAATAAAATACAATGTACAAGTTGGAGACTACTTCTACTAGCATAATATGATATGAATAATATTTTTAGAGAGAAAGGCAAGACGAATGAGTGAAGTGATGGGTAAAGAAAAACTGTCTGTAGAGGAATTTCACAACTGTAAGGCTTATTTCCCATATGTGGTAAACTCACAATAATATAAAGAAAAGCAACATGTTCTTGTGCAATTAAAGAAACTTAAATGAAAAAGACTGCCTTGAATCAGTACATGCATTGGAAATATACAGGACGTACGTCCCATCTCCAGTCTGAAACCCCCTCACTGCAGCATGCCTTCCTGCTAAGCACAGAACAGCCTCAGAATCCCACTGTGCCACCAGCAGTCAGCACTAGTGAATACAGAGTCAACACAGTGAAATCTGCTAACCCTTTTAGAATCAGCGTAGTGTGAGTGTTCCCAGATGGCTCAGGAAATAGTAAGAAGCTTTGGACGTTTTCAGACCGAAGTTAGATTCAAAATATGTAACAATCTCTATAGCACAGACACAAACAAATCAGAATTGCCAGACTTCAGCCCTGTCAGAAAGTACTACTTTTTTTTTTTTTTACTGAGGTCCTAGCCCCCATTTTTTGCTCCATTTTTACTAAATGTCATTGGGAAAGAGCAGGCTGGATGATATGCTATTTATGGTCATCAAATTTATGGTCATCATATCAAATTTCAGCTTATTAGACCAGTGATTCTAAACTGTTCTGTGTGTCAGAAATCACCTGTCAAGGTTTTTAAACAGAACGTCTAGAATCCATGTGAAATCAACTGAATCAACAAGCACAATTGTTTGTAATCAGGAAGAGCATTACATCTGATTCTGATACAAGGACCATGCACATGCCCTATTTGGTGCAGAATACAGTCATAATATATCCCTATTCAGACATGACAATAAAATATAATTTTAAAACACAACAGGTAGTTTGAGTGGTAGCGGGAGCGGAGAGTGGACCCCAGAGAGCCCCGAAGAGCCCCATTGCCGCCACCAGCCTAGTTACCATCACACCCCAGAAGGAGCCGAGCTGCCGCAGCCACCCACGCCCTCAGTGCCACCAACACCAAGCCCACACCAAGCCCGGCACCGCGGGCAGCAGCGCAGGGAGCAGTGGCCCGGTAGCCTCATATCCACGGCGCCCGCAGGTGGGGACAAGAAGGTCATCCCAACGAAGGTTTTGGGAACAGTAAAATGGTTCAATGTAAGGCACGGATACGGCTTCATCAACAGGAATGAGACCAAGGAAGACGTATTTGTACACCAGGGTGCCATAAAGAATAACCCAAGGAAGTCCATTCTCATTGTAGGAGATGGAGAAACTGTGGAGTTTGTTGTTGAAGGAGAAAAGGGTGCGGAGGCAGCAAATGTTACAGGTCCTGGTGGAGTTCCTTCCAGTACAAGACAGTAAAGATGCAGCAGACTGCAACCATTATAGACGCTAACCACGCCGTAGGGGTCCGCCACGCAATTACCAGCAGAATTACCAGAACAGTGAGAGTGGGGAAGAGAGAGAGAGATTGGAGAGTGCTCCCGTCGGCCAGGACCAACAACGCGGCCCTTACGCAGGCGAAGGTTACTGCGTGCGGAGACCCTGTGGGCATCGACCACAGTATTGCAACCCTCCGGTGCAAGGAGAAGTGATGGAAGGTGCCAACAAGCGGGGTGCAGGAGAACAAGGTAGACCTGTGAGACAGAACATGCATCGAGGTTACAGACCACGATTCCGCAGGGGTCCTCCTCGCCAACGACAGCCTAGAGAGGACGGAGATGAACAGGAGATGAAAACCAAGGAGAGGAGACCCAGGGTCAGCAGCCCCCTCAACGTCGGTACGGCCCCAACTTCAATTACCGACGCAGACGCCCAGATACCCCTAAACCACAAGACGGCAGAGACAAAAGCAGCCGATCCAGCAGCTGAGTGAAAAAAGCGGTTTAACGTCTCGACCATCATCTGATTTAGTCATCCAACAAGAAGAAATGAATATGAAATTCCAGCAATAAGAAATGAACAAGATTGGAGCTTAAGACCTTAGAGCTTGCTTTTTCCCCCCGCTGACCAGATAACTAGAACTATTATATTATCTATGCAGCATGGGGTTTTTATTGTCTTTACCTAAAGATGTCTCTTTTTGGTAATGACAAACATTTTTTTTTTAAAGCCTGGTTTTTCTCAATACACCTTTAAAGGTTTTTAAATTGTTTCATATCTGGTCAAGTTGAGATTTTTAAGAACTTCATTTTTAATTTGTAATAAAAGTCTACAACTTGATTTTTTCAAAAAAGTTAACAAACTGCAAGCACCTGTTAATAAAGGTCTTAAATAATAATAATAATAATAATAAAAAAACACAACAGGTAAGAATTCTGTTTCCAACTATGATGAGACAATTGGCATTAGACTTGCCTTCCCAACTAGGAAACTGGGAAGTACCTATGAAAAAATTATTTTCAGAAATTAAACCACAAGTATTGTGGGACAATCATCCTTGATAGGAAAAAAAAAGTGCAGAAACCCTACAATCACACTGACTTTCTCACTGGAAGTCGTTTCTACCCTGAACCCAGGAAGGGAAAGAACAGGGTAGGATGTCTTGTTGCGTTAAGGCGACAGACACTGTAATTTGGAGACACAAGATGGTTAAAATTTTTACAGTAGCATGCCAATGAAGAAAAACCTATGCAAAGAAACACCACCAAATATCTGAACAGGATTTCCTTTGGGTCTTTGGCCTCAGCCTAACCTGAACACATTTAAGGTAAACTCCATGAGACTACATAAAGAACTACTGCATGGGCTTGCTAAGCTGAACAAGTGCTAGAGCTCATACAAGGCGTGGAGATTCTTGGGTTCAAATCAGCAGGGGAGAGAGAATTTACTGAATATTTGAGAAATTCTGAAGAGATTCTAGGAAAGTTGTATCTTACAAACAGAAATTAACTAATATATGGAAAAGGGTGCCCTAGGTTGACCTAATAATGCTCAAACACAAACATCCAGAGGGCTAGACTGACTCGAGTAAACAAAGCTAAACAAACTTGAGGACACTGTTAACAGAAGACAACAAAATCAAGACACCACATGCTACAATACTCATGAAATCCAGCATCCAGTCCAAAATAAGTTGATATTTGAAAAAGGAAAATATTGTGTACAACCTGATTGTGGGGAGCATACCAATAAACAGAAACAAACCCAGAAGCTACAGAGATGAGGTAATTAGCAAACAAAGACATTAAACAATATATATAATTAAACAATATAATATATATTAAAATATATATTATATATAAATATATATAATTAAACAATATAATATATATTATAATATATTATATATAAATATATATAATTAAACAATATAATATATTATAATATATATTATAAATATATGCAAATTGGTCTGGCACAATGGGCTAGTGGCTAAAGTCCTTGCCTTGAATGTATTGGTATCCCATACAGGCACCAGTGCATGTCGCAGCTGCCCCACTTCGTATCCAGCTCCCTGCTTGTAGCCTGGGAAGGCAGTGAAAAATGGCCCAAAGCCTTGGGATCCTGCACTCACATGGGAGACCCAGAAGAGGCTCCTGGTTCCGGGCTTTGGAGCAGCTTGGTTCTGACCATTGAGGCTGCTTGGGGAGTGAATCAGCAAATGCGAATCTTTCTTTCTCCTCTGTGTAAATCTGCCTTTCCAATATAAATAAGTAAATGCAAAGGTTCTATAGATGAAAAAGGCAATATCTGAAATGAGAATTGCCCTTAATGGGCCTAATAGAAAATTAAACAATGCAGGAAAAAAGAAACAGTGAATTAGAAGACATAACTACAGATGCTATCAAACTGAAGTACTGGGAGAAAAATAAATACAGCTTCATTGAGCTTTGGGAAACTTTCCACCAATATAAAATACAAGTACTAAAGTCATAAAAGAAGAATAAATGGAGAACTCTTGAAGAAATGATGTTTAGAATTCTTTTTAAAGTTATCTAAAAACTATCAACACAGAAGCTCAATGCATTCAATGCAAGATAAAAGCAAAAGAAACTCATGCCAAAACTCATGAAAACCAACGATAAGAAGGAACTCTGCAAGCACCCAGTAGGGGTGGAGAGAGGAACACATTGTTTAGGAGGAAGAAACACAAGAATTTGCTGATTTCTTGTCACAGACAATGCAAGTAGGAAGACAATGGGACATTTTTAACAGGCTGAAAGGAAAACAAAAACTTGTCAACTAAGAATTTATAGCCAGCTCAGCTCCAATTAAGAATAGGAAAGGAGATTCTTCAAGCTATGGAAAATGACACCAGACAGCAGCTCAGACCCATACAAAGGCCTTAAGGATACGGAACACGGTAAAATAGGTACCATAAAAACAAAAGACTTTATTCCTCATATTAACATGCTGCTAAAAGATGAATAGTTACAATCAAGATGGTGGAATAGGGTAAGGACATGTTTAAACAGATAGAGAAATATTTGCCAGTGTGAAGCAGAGAGGGCACATTCCAGGAAATAGAATAGGACAGAACAACAGCAGAGGGGTAACTGCAGAATGACAAAAAAGCAGCAAAAACAACGATGTGGTGTTGCAGTGACTGATACCCCAGTGGTATTCAGCAAGTGGCGATCTAAACTCCACCAGCAGCTGGAACTGCACCAGCAACAAGGTGGGAAGGGATATTTACCAGGAGTTCCAGAGGTGAACTCAGCCAAAGAACTGTTCGTCCTGCTGGCCTATTTGATTTGACCAGGAACAGAGACAGAGCCTCAGGTCCCAGATGGGCAGGTACGGGAACAGGATGGATTTCATAGCTCAGTCTGTCCCCTAGAGCTGTATCAAGCACCGTTTTATTTAAGGAGGCAAGGGCTATGGGGCAGGACTGCACATGCACTGAGCTGGGAGTGAACTCATTTCTGACTCAGTGAACTGCAACACCATGGCATCCAACAGGGTCCATCCAAAACAGGTCTGGGTAGCCCTCAAACCTGATGGCCAGCAGATCAAGAACTCTAGCAGTGGTACATCAAGCGCCATTTTATACACTGCGGTGATGAGTTTAAGACTGCAGGGGACACAGTGAGTTGCACATGTGCTGAACTCAGGGAAAACTCACTGAGCTCAGAGCATTGCACTGGTCCCAAAGGAAAATAATACTGACTACGGCATCATATGGGTCAAAATAGGTCCATGTGGCCCTCAGACATAATGGCCAACAGAAACTGGCAAGATCAGCACCAACAACCACCTAGCTATATAGGACACCTTGTGTTTCCCTAATCCTGGAACCTACTCAAACCAGAAGTAGGAGAAAGGTTGTACAGGCAACAGTGCAGCCTCAGCATGATATCACAGGAGGTGGAAACTGGTGAGCCAGGAGCTGGAACTATGGAGACCATCATGGAAATCTAACAGAAGAACCCAGACCTGGAACTCACTGGAGGGAGTGGCACAAGTGACTGCAAACAAACAGCCATGTACCAACTGCAATAAGTAAAATCGAACTATAGACCTGTGGATTACAGAGCTTAGAAATCTGCCCCAAGGAGAAGAATCTGATAACCAGAAGTACAATGACCAAGAGCAAAAGAAGAGACAGAGGCACAATGAATATTACTGAAGACTCCCCCGCAAAGGAGCAAAACACTTTGCTAACTTTAGTGTTCACTGAGGAAGACATTGAGAAAATCGGAGATACAGAATTCAAAACAAGGAATTCAAGGAATTTGTCACACTGAAAATGAATTAAATGAAAGCTTATATATCAGATATGAGGAATACAGTGAAGCATCTTAAAAGTGCAATGGAGAGTCTCCAAAATAGAATGAAGGATACAGCAGAAAGAGTCTCAAAACTGGAAGATATTTCCTGTCACCAGGGGGAAACAAACAAAAAGCTAGAAGCAGAGCTGGATCAGGCCAAAAAAAGTATTCAAGAATTGAAAGACACTATTAAAAGGCCAAATACAAGAGTTACGGGAGTCACAGAAGGTGCAGAAAGAGAAGCTGGGTTTACAAATGTATTTAATGAAATAGTAAGGATAATTTTCCCTAATCTACAGAAAGAATTGGGAAACATCCAGGAGGGTCACAGAACTCCCAACAGGGTTGACCAAAAGTGATCTTCACCAAGACACATGATAATCAAGCATCTTCAATCGAACATAAGGAAAAGATCCTTAAATGTGCACGTGAAAAAAATCAACTGACATATAAAAGAATGCCAATTAAACTCACAGGAGACCTCTCTCAGGAAACTCTGTAGGCCAGAAGAGAATGGAGTGACATATTCCATATTCTAAAAGCAAAACATTGTCAGCCCAGGATAAAGTACACAGCAAAGCTTTCCTTTGTCTTTGAAAATGAAATAAAATTCTTTAACAGTAAAGAAAAGTTAAAAGAATATGCCTCTTCCAAACTTGCCCTACAAATGATACTTAAAGATGTTCTCTTGACAGAGAAATGGAATAGCACCCACCAAAACCAAAGCAAATGCGAAGAACATCCTAGTAAAATAACAACAACAACAAAAAAGACTAAATCAATGAACAACTCATTGCTAAAATGACAGGACCAAATTACCAACTATTTGTATTAACCCTGAATATAAATGGCTTAAACTCATCAATCAAACATCATAGATTAGTAGAGTGGATTAAAAATAAAACCCATCTATTTGTTGCCTACCAGAGACATATCTCACCAACAAAGATCAGCAGAAACTATATCTCATGGATTTTGATTTTTTTGTTAGTTTCATCTCTTCAAAACACTTTCTTCTGATTAAATTCTTCAATGACTCTGATCATACAGTAGCAACATTTTCTTCAAGAAGGTTTTTTACTTTCTTTTTCATTTCTTCAGCAACATATTAGTCATTCAGTAGCATGTTATTTAACTTCATGGTGTTGTTGATTTCTTTTTT